AAACAAAACAGAAATAAAAAAGATAGAGGATAGGAGCTTTTAGCTCTGATACCAAATGATATAAGATCAATGGGATGATCTTATAAATGGTTGGGTGAATGGGTGGAAGCAAGCAGCTGGACTGAAGTCTCTTTCTACTTGCTCAAGAGATGATCGAAGTGGATGATTATGAGATCAATCCTGCTGGACTGAAGTCTCTTTCAGGCTTGATCGGTGGATGAAATGGAATAGAATGGTGGATCGAAGAACGCCACTCAAGGGTGTGAAAGCCCCTGTGATGAGTTCACAAACCTAGTCTCAAGGCATCGCACACAAGAGATATAGATTTAAATGTTTACTAAGTGAAGAATTCCATCTTGCTTAGATAAACAAAAACAAAACCAAAGCTTTAGAGAAAAGACTCTTTTAATTTCTAAAAATTTCTATATTGTTTTTACAATGAGAACAATGAGCTTTTATAGCTCTTACAAAAGATCTTTATAAATAAATACACTTAAATGAAATTATTTACATTTAAACAAAAAGAGAAAAATAAGCTAAATCAAATAAAAATCTTCTTAGCACTAATTTCTCTTTAGACTTGAATGAGAATCCTCTGATTTTGTGAAATGATGAAGGCTAAATTCTTATAATAAATCCACATAATGAAGATATTTGATTTAGTATTTTTTCATATTGTATCAGTTTTGGTATGATCCAATCTTGATTGGTTAGATTCCACAAACCTTATTAGTTATTACATATGTATATAAAATTTACATATACCTGATTTAACTAAAAGAAATACGGAAAATAATTAAGAAATTGATAATGGCCTGACGGCGGAGAATTTCATGCTGGGGCAGTCCAATGTCCCATATCATTTTAAACTATCCGCTTAATCAATAGATTATCGATATTGTAATTTTAAATCAAATTATAAGATGTAAACTGCATAATTTTTTATTAAATAAAATGATCCGCATACTTATAAAAAATACAGAAATTGGCTCCACCGTACATCGAATACTCATGAATGCTAATCATGATTAGCATGTATATAGCATTCATTCGTTTTGCTAATTGCTTTGCCCCATCAAGATACATCCATATTTGTTTACAGACAATGGGAAACGCAATATCGAACATATACGTGAACAGTCGAATTATATCTTTGACCAAACGTATAGATGATCAAATATATATATATATATATATATATATATATATATATAATCGAAAAGAACGAGGACCATTATATTCAGTTTATGGTTAAACACGTTTTAAAACACTAATGGTCCATGCTATTCGATTTTGTGTAACTTATCTATTACATACGAGTGAGATTTGATTTTATTGGTATCTAATCAGCAGGAAAATTATCGTTAGTTTGTCTCCACTAACTCGTAGATGACGTATACTTTCGCATTAGATGAACACTAGTCACTAGGCAATGCATTTTCCTCTTTTTACAAAATAATTCATTTGTCAAATAGGTTTCGTCTATAAGAAGGGGGAGAGAGCATGCAACACATATTAACAAAGTCGGTCTATATATTAGTTTTTTTGTCTTGTTAAGAAAATTTTCACACCTGGAATTCGAGATTCAAACATCAAACTATAAAAACTATTCGCAAATCTTAGTTACCAATAAATAAAATGTCAGTAGGTCGAATCATTAATGATTTTTTTTTGGGTTTTCTATATTTTGAATTATTCGTTTAATGGGCGAAAGAACAAGGGACATGGCCAAGTGGTGTCAAATGGATGCGCATTTAAAATGTTAGTCTATATTAGTCATCCCCAATACAAAAGGGATGTTCCCTAATTTGGATAGCGTTTTCTTACACAGTTACACTGTTGAGCAAAATCTTTTAACCTTTGTTTCATTTTACTCGACAAAAATGATGAATCACAGCGAAAGAGTGCATCGTTTCACTGGTTGAAGTTACTTAGAATGTATAAATGTATGATACAGTTTACTATTTCATTTTTGGTTTGAATGTCCTCATGTGATAAAAGTACAAGTAGTTTTGGGTTTTATATATGGTTAAGAAGCATTCGTAGTTTCCGTGACATAGGTGAATACATTCGTTTTAACGGGATTTTTTTTAGACCAACCAAAAATCAAACTAATTACTGAAATATTTAAAACATTATCTTGCGTGATAGGTCTCATGTCTTTGGTTCATTCTAAGTATGTGGTACTCAGTTTTTTTTTAATACTATGCAGTAAAATTAATTTTACGATAGGCCATCCACGCATGATTTAAACACACCTTATCATATAGAGTTTTAACGGAATATATATATATATATGTTATGTGCTCTAATTATATGAAATCAAATGATTCCTTTATATTATTTTCATTCACCAATTATGTGTAATTTTTTCGACAGCACCAATAATATGATGTAATTAAAGTGGAATACCTACTCTTTTGTATAGAAATGAATCAAAATACCCCACAAATAACTGATAAATGCGTAAGTCTCTTCAAAGTATATGATACATAGTATCTCTTACTTTAATCTATAGTTTGATGGTACGTATAAACTCTTAATCATTGTGCCAAAGACACTATGGATCCACAGTTTATGATTATCATTTACGACATCCGTTGAAAATGTAGTAAGAGGCTTTTGATTCATACTCAAGGATTAATGAAACGAAGGGGACAAAAGTAGAGATTGCATGGTTTCACATGGAAATTTACATCTAATCACCAAAGCTTATTTCATTAAAAAAAAAAACACAACGAAGGTTTTGCTTTTACTTTCTCCTTTTTAGTACAAATCCCATCTCTTAAATTACAAGATTTACGAGGCAGTCAGAGCAAAGATTCACCTCTATAAAATAATAAGAATTGAATCGTATGTTCATCTGTTTTTTCTTTTGCTTTTATTGTGGGGAGGCCCACTTTTTCTTTATGTTTGCTTGTAGGCTATGTAATGCCCGTTTGTATTTAGAGTCGGGTCATAATATACAGTATAGCATTTTCAGAAGAATTGAAGAAAGAACAAAGCTTTAAAAATTCAAAGATGGATATTGTCTTGGATAACATTAACTTGCTAATATTCCTCCTATTTTAAGTTATTATCCCTTGATCTTAATGATTATAAATTTCCAAAACAAGAAAAGCTGTTTTGCTCAAAGATATCAACAAAAATAAAAAACAATTCAAGTTTCTTCTTATATATAAATGGGGATAAATTCGATGGTCGGTACTCTCGGTAGAGCAAATTTTCTTTTACAAGCCGGTTCGATACGTTTAATCGGTCCGGTTTGAGTCAAAATACTCTGACCGACCCTCTTGCCATCTCTGTTTCTCTGGGCACTTTGAGAATTCTCCCAAGAACTAAACTCTGTGAAAGTCGCAAACTTTGGCATATACTCATTAGGTACGCTTTCTCGGCTTTGGAGGTTCCTAATTCTGTTCCCATTAACTGTTATGCTCTCTAATTAACTGCGGGAATGATCTTACGGATTTTTAGTCTCGACAAATTTGTTTTTTAACACTGCAACTTCTTTGGTTAAAAGGAGCTTATAAATATAAAGTGGTTTGAATTTGATGAGATTAATGAATATCGTTGATAAGAAAGATATTCCTTCGATTTCAACATGTTTCATAAACTTAAACAAATTAGCAGCTTTTTGGGGGCATTTGTGATTTTCTTCTATCTTCTCTGCAAATCTAGAAATTTTCGTGTTGTACATCCTTGCTAGTTCTACTTCTAATTAAGCATCATGAGCAGTGACATCTCTTTTGCTTGATATATGCAGGTCAAATCTTTCTCACTTAAATTCTACATGATTAGCTTCCTTCCAGTCACAAATGCTATTACAAAGGTTCAGTTTTTTTTCTTCACAGCATTCTTTTGATATTTCCAGCAAAAGACATCTACTTTCTGGTGGCTCTGACATGTGTGTAGGAAAAATGTATCCAAGGATGAAGACAGATCTTGATTCATTTGGAACTAATGAGTTTCAAGTGCCAAAACTTTGATTGTTACTGGAATTCAAGATTGGAGCATGCATGAGTAGAATGGGGTTTCATCTCAGTTCAAGCTAGGAGAAACAGTGTGCGATACGTTTGCAGGTATTGGGAAGTTTGATATTCTTGCTGCACATAAAAAGGATGCTAGTGTTTAGTGATTGAAATCCAGATGATGTTTGGTAAAGTTCAAAGTCATTACTATAGTTGGGACTGGGAGATGTGGATTTAGCAGTAGGAAAAGATGAAAACTAATAAAAAATGGGTTTGAAATAGGAGACTGACTATTTGGGATTATAATGACGTGGTTACTTTTAACAGCATTTTAGTGGTGATCTTAGATTCGATAAAGTGGATGATTATTACATTGCGATACTGTTTTAGTGTTACTAGTGAATGTTGGCTCTGTCATTGGTTTTTCTCAGATTGAATGAAGTATTGAAACTTGAAAGGGACCTCTTTCCTTTGAACCATTGCGAATGTTTTATTCGTGCCAGTAAAGCCCGAAAGATAAGAACTTGCTGCAAGAATTAGCCATGCACTCTCTCATGTTCCGCCTCCTAATTTTGTTTCACTATTACTTTTCTTTACCAAAGATCTGGTCTTACTTCCTGCAGGCTCAATTTTTTATGTTCCCACAAGTTTAGAGATGTTGCTCCAAACAAGGTATGATCCAAATTTTGTTTTTGTCTTGCTATTTGAATGAGTTTCTTATAGAAGATTCAAATATATCTCATCATTACTTCTTGAGTTTATTTTTGGTTTTGACATTTCAGGCAATCTCTTACCTGACCTCTAGGCTGCTTGAAGCAAAGACTAAACACAAAAGGAATAAAAAACGTGCTTAGGAACTTTTGTTTCTCAAATTTTGGGTTATTATCATTAATACGTCAGACATACTGTAAGTATTTTGTCAAGATTTACTAAAGAGATATCTAATATACGAAGATTCAGCTTTGGTTTTTATACTCAAGAGGGCCATGTTTTCGACCTTTATAGTTGATTCCATAGCATCTAATAAACTCACTGCAACATAAAACATCCTGCTATGTAAGTCAAAGTTCATAGCAGATAATGTGAAATGGAAACAAAAGCAAAGTTAATTTTTTTTTTTCTGAGAATGAGGATACCCAAAAAGCATTCCACAAAAGAAAAACATAATAAGTCTTAAAAATAAAATAGCATCTGATATCATAGAAAGAGATGAAGCGAAAGAGTTTTGTGATGGCTCATGGCATAAGTACGCTGAAACCTTCAACTAAATCTGCTTCCTTTGGTTGGACAATAAGGTTGTCAAACATATCCCCAAGGTTCGGATGCTGCACCATAGTGTCCAACACTTTGTCCTCCGTCACAGCTTCAGCAGCAATCTTTTCCTTTCCCTTGTCATGAATCGAAGAGCTTGCAAAGACCTTCTCTGATATCCTGTCCTTTCGTGCTTGCTTACAGTACTTTGGTCCCTCTGGAGTTCCTTTCGCAACCAAGTGATAGGTGTAAACAATCCGCTTCTGCCCGATTCTGTAAGCACGGCTTATAGCTTGTCTTTCGACTGCCGGGTTCCACACAACATCCAGAAGAATCACCCTTGATGCTCCTACCAGATTGATCCCTTCAGAGCATGCTTTTGTTGAAGCTAACATCACTTTGGCCTTGGATTTGGGATCGTTGAACTCGTTGATCAAGGCTTGTCTCTGCTTTTGCTCGAGCTTGCCGTGCATGTACACCACTTCCTCCCCTTCAATCCATTTGAACCGAGAGACCAGATGCTCCATTATCAGGTTCAATGGGTCGATGTATTGGCTGAAGACCAGCACTTTCTCCTTTATCACTTCGCATAGCTTGATGAACTCCATGAGGAATCTTGTCTTCACGCTTTGGTTTGGATCGAATCTTACCTTCTCTAGCTGTGCAAGCAAAGCATCGTTAACGGTCAAACGTTCTTTCGGAGACAGTTTGCAGCGAGAGACAAGAGACGGATGGACTGAGACCAGAGACAGCTTGTGTTCTGTTTCAAACACGTTTTTCGTCTTCTGGTTATGAGTGACTTCTATGGATTCTAGGACTCTCCTCTGAAGCTCAGGTGGGTTTAACACCACAACACATTCTCTCAAACCAGGGAGGCTCTTCTGAAGAATGCTTCCTTTATGAACATGCACAAATGGAAGCATGACGGTCTTAAGCTCTTCGATCCCTCGGTCGTTGATTTCTTCCCCCAAAGCTTTTTTCCCTCTTTTGGTCACATTCATCCCACTCTTCTTGAGTGTGGATGTGAGCCTCTCCAGATACTTAGGTCTTGCAAGTCCCAGAACATTGCAGAGCTCCTGGAAGTTGTTCTGGAAAGGTGTTCCAGAGAGCAAGATACGTTTCTGCGTTTCCACTTTGGATAGTGTTTTCCATATACAGCTTCTCTGGTTCCGAGGTGTGTGCGCCTCGTCAAGAACCAGCAATCCAGGCATCCCCATAAGTATCTCTCTGATGGCCTCTAACTCTTTGTCTGGTTTCACTTCTCTCGCTGTCTTTGTCTTTTTGTCCTCATCTTTAACTCCTGCAAGCTTCTCATAGAGGTTGTAGCTGATCCCGAGTATGCTCTTTGATTTAATCCAGGAGTATATCTTCACCATCCTTATCTCATTAGTGCTTCTAGCACTCGAGTTCTTCTGCATCAAAAGTTTCGAGGCCGCTGAGTTCTCTTTTCCAGTAAAATCCAAGCTGCTAAGGTTGTGGAAGGGGATGCTTATGTTCCATTTCTTGAACTCCTCTGCCCATGTGAGAAGCAAGCTTGCAGGAGCAATGATCACTGGTTTGCAATTTGGGAAGCATTGCAGGTAGGCCTGAAGGAAAATCATGGTCAGGCGAGTTTTCCCTGTCCCAGGAGCGTGTGACATGATGCATCCTCCGGTTTCATCGCTGTCCTCAAAGTCCTTGAGCTCGTTCAACATAATAGTACCGGCCAAGTTCCTCCAGATAAACTCAAACCCCTCTTGCTGGTGAGGATACATTTGGGATTTGATCCCTGGGATCTTATCCCAAACAGTTCCTTCTGCAGAAACACATTCCCCATTTGAGCTGTTCTTGCTATGAGCTTCAAACTCAAGATTCCCGATGAAGCTTCTCGTTCCTTCCTCTTCAGATCTATCGACTTTTCTTCTTTCCCTTGTGTACTTCTCTCCCTACATGAAGAAACATATATTAGAGTTACCATCAAACGTTTTAGCTAAACTTTTTGAAATCACTTAAGAAAAAACTGAAATCCTTACCCACTCAGCTACATCTATGCTCCGGATCTCTCTCAAGACAAAGCCGCAGTGTATACACTTCAAACCAATCTCAAGATCTAGACACAGTTCGTGATTTCCTTTCTTACAACATGCTGCAGGAGTTTCATCAGTTGATATTTCTATCTCAATCTGCAAGAAGTTCAATGTTTTGAACAAAAGGAGATATAAAAATAAAACCTGTTTTGAAAGAAAACAAGGAATTACCTCTGAAGGAAGCTGGATGCCCACGTCGTTTGATCTCTGGCAGAACTCCATTTCTTCCCACAACCTATCTTCCTCTAACTGCGACTCAGAAATCACAGGTGGTGGTTTAGGATCCTCAGCACCAAAATTCAGTATCAGTGGTGGTGGCCTAATGATTAGAAAACCATCTTCGTCATATTTTCTTTGATCTTCTTCTTCATATGGGTCTTCAGGCGAAGAAACCAGTTCGTCTTCTCCTTCTTCCTCCTCTTCTTCGCCTAATCGATCTCTCTCCCAAACAGAGTTCACAAGAAGCCTGAAAAGATCCACCTCTTTGCGACTCCCATCCATCATTCTCCACTCTGAGTTGTTATTAGGCTTTACCTCTTTATCTTCCAGTGAAGCCTCAGATTCATATTCAGATTCATCTGCAGAGCTGATAGAAGAAGCAGGCTCAGTATCCATTTTCTCATTAGCCAGATCAGGCGTTTTAGATCCTTGTGCAGCTGAAGGCATCCTCAACCCCAAGCTGTTGTTGGCTTGGAAACCGTTTGCTTTCACTGGATTCTGTATTTCAGGTCTTGATGGCTTTTCAGGTGCTTGGACCTCTTTTGCTTTCTCTGAATTCACATTATCAGGTATGTATGTGGGTGGCTTCTCAGGTGCTTGGACCTCTTTTGCTTTCTCTGAATTCACATGATCAGGTCTGGATGTGGATGGCTTCTCAGGCGCTTTCCCGGAGTTGATGGAAACAGAATCTTCATGCCTTGCTACATTGTTTGAAGCAAGGTTGTTCACACCATCATCTTCAGCTCTTGTTGTAGCATGTGGCCTGACGAAAGAGCTGTTTGAATCAGGGATTCCTGTGTTCTCCTTGCCACAGTGAGCACAAATGAACACCGCATCGCTCTGCTGCTTCGTTGCTCTTTCAACTTCTTCTTCTAGGCGGTTTAACAGGTGAATTTTCTTGCCCTCTTTTCTAGGCTTGGTTTGAAACTTATCTACCTCTACTTCTTCTTCTCGGTGGTTTACTTTCTGAATCTTCTTCTCCTCTTTTCTAGGCTTGGTTTGAAACTTATCTACTTCTTCTTCTCGGTGGTTTACTTTCTGAAGCTTCTTCTCCTCTTTTCTAGGGTTGGGTGAGTAAGAACTCTTCCTTTTATGCCCTCCCAAAGGCTTCCTTGCCGCTATAGAGACTTTCCTGATTGGTGAAGTGGGCTTTCTCAAATCATCATCATCTGTATCGCCAACTACCTCCTTTAAATTGAAGTCATCATCACTCGAGGAGGAAGATGAAGATGACGATGATGATGATGATGATGATGATGATGATGATGATGATGATGATGATGAAGATGGATCCCCAGAAGATAAAGACTCCACCGTTACATCATCTTTGGCGCCATTGTCATCACTAGCTTCATTTTCTTCTTCCTCTTCCTCGCTTTCATTAGTGTCATCACTGATAGAGTTTAAGACTCTGCTACCGTCCTCAAAAAGCTTCTTCTTGGCTGAAACTCTCGCTTTGGTTTCAGACTCAGAATCTGAAATGATCTCAATTTCATGAGCAACTGGGTTTTCGTATTCCAAACCTCTATTCTCAGAGGGACTCTTTTCCTTCAGACATGTGTTCTGTTCTGAGTCATGTCTTAACCCAGAGGAGCCCGGAACTGATCTGTCCATGTCCAGATCCAAGTCCAATATCTGATCAGTCAGCTTCTCCATAATACTTAAGCCAGAGGAAGTGGGAACTGACGGAACTGATCGGCCCACATCTAAATCCAGAATCTCACTCGACAACTTCTCCTTAACGCTTAACCCAGAGGAAGCGGGAACTGATCTGTCCACGTCCAAGTCCAAAATCTCACCGGACAACTTCTCCTGAGTACCTAACGCAGAGGATGTCGGAACTGATCTGCCCACGTCCGAATCCAGAATCTCACTAGACAACTTCTCCTTATTACTTGAGCCAGAGGAAGTGGGAATTGACGGAACTGATCTGCCCACATCCGAATCCAGAATCTCACTCGACAACTGCTCCTTAATACTTAGGCCAGAGGAAGTGGGAACTGATCTGTCCACTTCCAAGTCCAAACTCTCACCGGACAACTTCTCCTTAGTACTTAACGCAGAGCATGTCGGAACTGATCTGCCCACTAACAAATCCAGAATCTCACTAGACAACTTCTCCTCAATGCCTAACCCAGTGGAGCTCGGAGCTGATTTATCCATACCCAAATCCCTCTCTCCAAACAAACTCTCTGTGTTCGGTTCAGACCCATTTCTTACAACAGAGGAGTTCTTGTCGCCGACTTCAGCAGCAGGGATATTTTTGTTGTAAGTGTCTGTAACATCCTCAATGTCAGAATCACGGTCAGTTCGTCTTCTCCGCCTTTGTTTCTTCCGAGAACGCGTGGGAATGGCTGGTTCCTCCTGCTTCTTCCGCTTCATCACCTCTTGAAGACGCTGCCTGTTCCTTGATTTGATTCTTTTGCCAATCGTACACTCCATTAGAAACTGAGCAGAAAGAGATCTGAAAACAGAAACAGAGAGAGAAAGAGAAAAGACCTAAGAAACTGATATTTCTGAAAGAAAAGCAAAAAAGAAGAAGCAAAGATCACTCTTTTAACTGTACAGAAACATAGAGCGAAAGAAGACTGTAAAAACCTTAAAGACCAGACTTCAGCGAGAGAAACAAGAGGACACACTCAAATAAAAACTTCAAGGTCGTGGATTAGACAATCAGAAACAGGGGCATCCTCGTTTACTAGCTTCGGAATGGCCTCTAGATCTGGTTTCAAGGACCCTTGAAAACCAAAACTCTGCTTCAATTAGTCTGCCTCGCTACCAACCAGTGAATTATGTTTCAATTTGTTTTTGGAGTAAGAAAAATGGTTTTTGCTAGTTTGAGGAAGTGGACAGCGAGTGAGAGAGAGAGAGAGAGATGGGATGGGGGGGAAAGAGAAAAGGCATGAAGGAAGCGTGATGACAAAGCATAGTCTGCTATTTCAGGAAGTACCGCCAAAACTTTGACCCAAAACGTACTAATTTCCACACTAGCCTTCTTCTTTTGCTAATTTTTCTTAACATTTCCATAAAGCAGCTCATGGATCAGTTTCCGTTTCGAGCATTGTTATTTACCACTCCTGAATCAAAATTTATATCTTATTTTAATTTTAATACTTTTTTATTTATTTAACAAGAACTCAAATCACCCCCAATGAAACAGAGATGTCATAGGAAGACAAAAACCGTGTAATATAATATTAATATATTATTGCATTCCGAAATAAATCTTTCGTTTACCACAAAAGAGACTTGTTATTCAATTTTGAATGAAAGAATTCCAATCATCGTTTTATAAACCAATTTCCCAAAATCTTAAATCGTCTAGTTGTAGTGTTGAATAATTTAATATTTTGCTAGCATTTAATTTCATTATCACCAATTATCAAAGAAAACATGATAAACATTCATTTATGACGCAAGAAGGCTGATCAAAGAAAAGCGAACTACTTTCAACCAAAAAAAGAAAAAGAAAAGCGAACTGCAAAAATCTCCCCGTTTGTAATTATTAGATATTTTCAACTTTTCATAATGACTAACTTGACATTGTTTTTAGTATTAAATATTAGTAATAAAGAGGTGGATAATAAGATTTAGATACAAAATTAGCAGATAAACAAATTAAAAATGAGTTAGAACCTGCTGAGGAAAAAATTACTAATAAAAATTATAAAACATGCCATCATGGGTATATAGTCCTATCTTTCTTATTTTTTTTATTTTCTTCTTTTTTAGTTATTTTTTTCTTTGCAAAATTAATAAAATACAAAATTTATTAAAGATTTAAAAATAATGGTGTAAAGAGGAAAAATTAAAAAAAAGGATAAGAAAAAATATGACGATAATGATAAAATATGAAGAGAATGATAAAAATATTTTGATTTGAAAAATTGAACATGTGAAGATAATATTAACTTTATTAGTAGTTAAATATTTAAATATTTTTTTGTCAATTACTCAATTGACTACAAATCTTATGTTAGTTATCCAAATTTTTTTATATTATTATTAAAATTTGTAACTTCAAAAAAAATAAGTACTATTATACAGAGGAAATAAATAAAGAAAAAAAACAGTAACTACATATTAAAAAATAAGATAATATTCTACAGTAGTTGGAGTAACAACCATTAAAAAGATGGATAAATAATAGTACTACGAAATTCAATGATCTTGGAACTGAGTCGTCTTCTCTTCATCATTACTAAGTGCTAATCACTTTGGTGTCTACCTTTATCTTATCACATCAATAAACATCACATTAAGCAAGCATTTGACAAACAATGAACAAAGCTGAAGTGTGTGCAAGCAAGTAAAAAGGATTACAACTTCTCGAGGGTATCATTAATTAATCTTCTAAAAACTGCATATACAACAACAAGAGGTATTCATATCATTGGGGGAATGCAAACTGGAACATATTCCACGTAGACCATTGCATGTTCCACGTAGACCAGTGCAACCTTTCAGTAGTACATGTTCATTTCAAAAATGTGCAACATGTTCTGAAAATTGAGAAAATGCAAGCAGAATCTTCTTTGTTATTTGATCTCCAAAAAAAAATTTTCTTTGTTATTTGCTTCTTCTTTTGGTGTTTCTTATTTTTCCGGCGGCGAACATGTTTAAAATCTTTCCAGCGGTTTACTTAAATTACCGGTGTTTACGTTTTTTTTTTCTTTTTTTGTTCTTTCTGTTTTAAAATAAGTGTCATTTTGATATTTTTCAGAATAAATTAAAAAAAGTATTAAAAATTATGTTTTACTTTTTGTTTACACACAAAATAACATTTTTTTTCTATTTAATATATTAATATAATAAAGTTAAAATATAATTTTTATTTAGAAAATTATATTGGAAATACAAAACGACACTTTTTGTGAAAAAAAAACTTTAAAACGACGGAAAGAGTAAAAAACTTGGTTCTTTCTCAAAAGTCAAATCTGATCTTTCCCGTATTGTATACTATACGACGTGGCCACTTTTTATTGGTGCTGGCGATGGCTCAACCTCTTCGTCTGGGTCGGTAGCGAGCATCGACCTAATTTTGTTTTATTTTCACTCTTTGGGTCTATATACAAATTAACTGAGACTAATCTTTCACTAAACCCATTTTAAAATTAATTGATTGAAATCAAACCTTCTTGCTTTTTTTGATGAGATTTCTTAAAAAAAAAGTATAAAATTACTTCTCTCATTCGGCTTAGCTCGCGAAACTGAATCTGGTGTGTTGTACTAAATAGTACGGACATTTTCAATTTCGCAATCCGGCGAGAAAGATGGGTTTCATAGTCGGCCTTGTAATCGGACTCGCCGTTGGAATCACCATCATCATCGGTTTTGTCAAAGCGGAGAATTATCGATCCAAGCTTCGCTCTGAACTTGTGAGTTCCCCCACCACTGGTTTTTCTCCTTTGATCGATTCGCTTTCCCAATTTGTCAGCTCTTTATCGGGATTTGTTTCTTTATCAGGCGAATACGGTGGCTGCTTTCGCGAGGATGACTGTCGAGGATTCGAGGAAGCTTTTGCCTGCTGAGTTTTATCCTTCCTGGGTCGTCTTCTCCGAGCGTCAGAAGTTAAGTTCCCAATTTCCTTCCTTTTAGCGTATACATATATCATCGCTATGTATGATTTGGTCATACTCGCCGAGTGCTTTTGGTTTTTATATATCTGCTGCATCACTACGCCGTCTCTTCGTTTAACTGTGGCACGGGACTGATCCCAGTTGCTTGGCATTTTATTTACTTCAGTTGACTTGGCTGAACCACCACTTGACAAAGATCTGGCCTTATGTTGATGAGGTATGTTAGCTTGTTCTCTCGATTTGTATTTGTCTAGATCATTGAGTGAGAGAGATGTGATCTGTGTTATGGATAAAGATACTGTTTTTGATGGAGGTTTATCTCTGTTCCTGTCCATCGGAGTTTAGGCTGCTTCTGAGCTTATAAAGGCATCTGTGGAGCCTGTTCTCGAGCAATACAGACCTGCCATTGTGGCCTCCTTAACATTTTCTAAGCTTACTCTCGGTACCGTGGCGCCTCAGTTTACAGGTCTGCTTTGTTCCATTATCTCAAACTAACATTGTGCTGTTGCTTTAGAATTTATGAGTCTGCTTGTGCTCCTTGGTGTTCCTTAGGTGTTTCCATTGTCGACGGTGATAAAAATGGGATGACCATGGAACTTGATATGAATTGGGATGGAAATCCAAATATAGTACTTGGCATCAAAACCTTAGTTGGTGTATCTCTTCCAGTTCAGGTACAGGACATTCGCTTCATGCCGGCCTTTGATTTCTTCTTTTTATATCTTATGAGATGGATGTTTGAGATCTAATTTGACACCATATTCTCCTTAAAATCCGTTTTCGTAAACAGACTTGATGTTTGAGGATAAATTTGGTGATATGCAAACAAAGAAACAAGGCAGAAGTAGCTACTGATGATTTACTTCTTGTGACAATATCACTCTTGGATAGCTACAAGCTGATTACAACTGATATTTTATTCTCTGTTTTCTAGGTGAAAAACATTGGATTCACTGGTGTTTTCAGGCTGATTTTTAGGCCACTGGTTGATGAGTTTCCTTGCTTTGGAGCTGTCAGTGTTTCTCTTAGAGAAAAGGTTGGTGCCCTCTGAAGCTTTTGAAGCTGTAGTTGATTAAGAGAGTCATTTTTTTTTTTTTTTTAAATTGTTTAATGTTGTTGCATCTTTGAGAGTACTTGCTCGCATGCACGTGTGTGTGCTTGATTGGTTTAATTGAATAGCTGTGGTGACACAAAATCTTCGACTGGCAATGATCAGTTTTGTATGTTGGTTAGCTTAAAACATTGAATTCTGTGTTGCAGAAAAAGTTGGACTTCACCCTTAAGGTTGTTGGAGGTGACATTTCAGCAATTCCTGGACTTTCTGAAGCTATTGAGGTTTGACCTACTTTTTTTCCCCCTGGTGTTGTGCACTTTTTTGTATCATGATAGTGTCAGGACATTTACTCTTTATCCGACTATCTTTCTTCTTTTTTTGGTCACTGCTTCTTTTCTCGATGTGAAATCTTTATGTCATACTGGAGTTTGAGAGAAGTACATGTGGTTTCAAGTCTTTGTTTAACTATGAAGTTCATGTCGTCGATAATCACAGGGCGTTCTGCTTATTACATTTTCCTATTTAGCATCTTATTTTTTTACAAGTGATTAGGTGGAACCATATGTGTTAATCTTCATACTTGCTACACGGCTTGGCAATTTCGATTGACTTTTTTGTATAGAAATAACAGTTTTCTTATAACACATGAAACCTTGTTAATATGCTATTCTTTTTATTAAAAAAAAACATAGTCGACATTCCTAGTTTATTCTCCTTTTCCATCCCATTTTCTTACCCAACGCTCCACATGATGCTATTGATGCAATGCTGTAAGTTGATATGTAACAGGAAACAATACGGGATGCCGTTGAAGATTCAATCACATGGCCTGTTCGCAAGGTCATCCCAATTATGCCTGGTGATTATAGGTACACTTCAAATTGAATATATGGAAATTTCAATGCAGAATGAATATGTGTCTGGTTTTGGATTTTTATTCAAGATATTTTGTGTTTCTTTTTTTTCAGCGATCTGGAGCTTAAGCCAGTTGGAATGTTGGAGGTGAAGCTTGTGCAAGCGAAGAACTTGACTAACAAAGATCTAGTTGGAAAATCAGACCCCTTTGCTAAGATGTTTATACGCCCTTTGCGAGAAAAGACTAAACGAAGCAAGACAATTGTAAGTAGTCCATTTTATTCTCTTTTTGTGCTAAACCTGCCAAAATGATCTGATTTATATTTGTTCCCATCAGAACAATGACCTGAATCCGATCTGGAATGAGCATTTTGAATTTGTTGTCGAAGACGCGTCAACTCAACATCTAGTGGTCAGAATATATGATGACGAGGGTGTACAGGCATCAGAGCTTATTGGTTGTGCCCAAGTCCGGCTTTGTGAACTTGAACCTGGTAAAGTGAAAGACGTCTGGTTGAAGCTTGTCAAAGATTTAGAGATCCAGAGAGATAACAAGAACCGTGGAGAGGTTAGATAAGCTATAAATTTCAGTCAGATTAGATCGTCATAACTGATCAATCTTGTGGTTTTGTGTCTGTGGATGGATAATGAAGACACGCAAAATTGTTGATTCTCTGAAATGTAGGTTCACCTTGAGCTATTATATGTCCCTTTTGGTTCGGGAAATGGCATCGTAAATCCCTTTGCCTCTTCATCGATGACTTCCTTAGAAAGGGTGCTCAAGAATGATACGACAGACGAAGAAAATACAACATCCCGTAGAAGAAAAGATGTCATCGTAAGAGGAGTGCTCTCCGTGACAGTGATATCTGCAGAAGAGATACCGATACAAGATCTGATGGGGAAAGCTGATCCATATGTTGTTCTCTCGATGAAGAAATCAGGTGCTAAGAGCAAAACACGGGTATGATCTCTCATTTAAGCATCAAAGAGTTATTTTAAGTTATTGATTTTTTTCATCTTCCTCGTATCTGACTAATTGTGATTTTTCTTCACCAGGTTGTCAATGACAGCTTAAACCCGGTTTGGAACCAGACTTTTGATTTTGTAGTTGAAGACGGGCTACACGATATGCTAGTCCTTGAAGTCTGGGACCACGACACCTTTGGCAAGGTAAAACCAAACCGCGACTCATTGTTACTTTGTTAGCGTTAGACATGAAATAAACAAAGATTGTTGGTTTACTGTGTGCAGGACTACATTGGGAGATGCATTTTGACGTTGACAAGGGTTATAATGGAGGAGGAATACAAAGACTGGTTCCCGTTAGACGAATCCAAAACGGGCAAGCTTCAGTTGCATCTCAAGTGGATGGCTCAATCAATCTATCGCGATTCCTAAGTTTGTTTGCTCAGTATACATATATATTTGGAGGATTCTCAACTTCGAATGTACATCTTGTCTAGTAGCCTCAAAACGGATTTGTTCTGTGAAACAGAGTCGAGTCTGCGTGTAGCCCAAAAGCTACGAATTTCGAAATGAGTTCCCGCGTTTTGTGAAAACCCTAGACAATACGTGTGTTACTTGCTTCATAAGCAAAAATGTCCAACTCAGATGTCATAAGAGTTTTTTGCCTGCATCAAAAAAAAACTTCTTCAATAATGTTTTGTCTAAATTTGATTCCGTGTAAGGCGCATTGATGTACACGTATCACTACATTTGTCTACACCAAGATTGTCTCACTAGCATAATCAGCTTTTTGAGAAGTCTTAGTAATCCGACAAAACTTTATGACTAGTTCATATATATATCCTAAACTGAAGCCAAATAAGCCACGCACACTCGGTGAGACCTTCAGTGTTTGACATGTGTCGTAGTCCATGCACATGCCCACTTCTTTTTAGTAAGACCAGACCCACGAGTTCCGTCTTCTTCACTTGCCGCTTCTTAGTTATTATCAGACGGAATTTGGAGAAATTAAGAAAGAGAATCAGTTTGTTCAATGGAGAAGGCAGTCCATTTGTCCACTAAAGCTGGACCGGCGGTTCCAGGAGAGCCGACGAAGACCGGAACCTCCATGGTTGACACCGCCGCTGCAGCCGTACAAAGCTTCGCTCCTGTTAACCAAATCCACCAACATCTCTGCGCGTACGCTTCTCAATTCGATTTAGAACATGCATGCATATATGAAACTTGCTCGGTAAAAGCCGTTATGATGAATATATAAATCCTATATATTTGGCGTCGTAGGTTTCATTTTTATGCGTATGACATGACCCGACAAGTGGAGGCACACCATTTCTGCGGTCACATCAACGAGGACATGCGTCAGTGTCTGATCTACGACGGTCCTGATGCCAACGCTCGTCTGATCGGTCTGGAGTACATAGTGACAGAGAAGCTCTTCATGACATTGCCTGATGAAGAGAAGAAGCTTTGGCACACTCACGAGTGGGAAGTCAAAGGAGGGTTCTTGTTCATGCCCGGTGTTCCTGAACTAATTCAACGCCAAGATCTCGAAAAAGTCGCCAAGACTTATGGAAAAGTTTACCATTTTTGGCAAGTTGATTTGGGGCATGAGCTCCCCATTGGCTTGCCTAATATCATGATGGCCGTTACTCGCGACGGCCAACTTTATCCGGAGATGGTCAAGGGTAAATCAGTCACATATTATTTTTTGGATTTATCCCATAATTAATGAGTAAAACTTGACAAGTTAAGAAATGTTTGGTGGACGAATGCAGAGACGGAGAAGCGGTTTGGGATCTCAATAGACAAGGAGAGAGAGTCGAGGGCTTATATGAAGGGACCGGACCATGGGATCCATCCGCTGGCGAACGGAGGAGGCAAAGGGCTCAAGCTGGAGTTGCGAGAGGTTGACATAAAGCCGGTCGAGTCCGTTCCAAGAGTCTTCGTTTGAGTTTAGTTATAAATAGAGAACCTCAAGAGAAGAATAAATAAAGAAGCGATCGAGCTTTGCTTTTGTTTTATCCCTCGATCATGTGTATTAAGTTGTAAAAGGCACCTGTATTAGTAATTAAAAGATTTTACTTTAAAAGATATATGATCCCGTCACAATAAAGCAAGCAATCGACAAGGCATGTATTCATTAAAGTTCTTCCCCTTTTGTTCATCAAACGGGACGTAATCACATTATGGACATCTTTTAGAACATTGAGAGAAGAGTCCAATTTGATCCCTATCCCTTACTTTTAGTTTGGTATTAGTTTTTCCTTATAATAAAACAGAGCAATGTCAAATTATCTATCTTTGATGTGGTAGACGACGCTAAATGAATGTCATCATGATCATTTATTAACGGATTAATAATTAAAACATTGAAATAACAATACTGACCAAATAAAACTACAAAATTTGGTGAAGTAACTATGATAAACAAAAATCTCAGTTAAAATAAACAAAAGCATAGTCTTGTCATGTGTGTGTATAAAAAAACTAAGACACCGAGACATTCTGGTGAGCGATCGCTGCATCTTCTTTATTTGAATTGCTGGGATTCGGTCTCAGACTTCTCTCAATCTGTAATTTAAGTATTAAGGTGAAGAGCTCAAAATGACAGAAACGAAATGCAAATCAACAATGAAGATAGAGGGACCTCTGTGGTTTCAAGATTGAACAGCCAATTTCTGAAGATGTTGGAAGAAGACTTGAAGACTAACATCATCCGTGAAGATTATATCAGAACCTGCATTCATCTCGCTCGCGTTGTTGTATGTCGCTGACGGATTTAGCTTCGCTAACAAAAATCTTGCCTGTCCATTATTACCAAGCGTGTTACTCAAAGTTCACAAACACTAGAGAAACACTAAAAAATGAACCACAAATTGAGGGATGAAAGAGTTTGAAAAAACTAACCTGCGATCCATGTTGATCACATACAACCAATCTCGGTACAGGGAAACGTTCACGGATGATCATCTGAGCATCTTCTTGAGGGGCTTCCAAAAGTTGTGCAAATGCCTTAACATAAAAAAAGAAAAGAAATGAGATCAAACGAAACATGTAAGGTTGACACCAAAGCTCCTTCAAAAAAATCCATTATCCATGGTCAACTGCAACTTGCATAGACCATCATTACCTGGTGCTCAGGCTGATTTTGATATCCCATGTTGCGCCACTGTGCTATGGTCATCCCATGGAAGACGACAACACTAATGTAAGAATCCAACAAGAGGATACGGTCTGCAGCGATGGAAGCAACATCCAACAATGCAGGTTGAGGTAGTGAGTTGAACGAATATGTTGTTAGAGATGGCTGAATCATAACGGCTGCGTTTGAAATATTTTCTCGGTTCAATAGCATGCGGCTGTAGGCAGTTTCGTCTGGACTATTGTTGAACACCTGCCAACATCACATACGAAAACCAATGAACATTACGGATTGGCGGACCAGATAATATTTTAGCCTCTCCTATTTCACCACATACCTGCACAAACTGTGATCGTCGGAGATTAAACGTAAACTGAGGGAATAGTGAAAAGTTTGGATTTAGAGTAAATGAAGCAGGATCATCCTTCCGGTAATCACCAAATTTAGAACAAAGACGAATAAGGTTCCGGTCCAGCCATCGCGTAGCATCAAACCCCTCCTGAGAGAAATATAATTGAAAGCAATAATTAAGTTTGACAACCAAAGACTGGGTTAAACAATGGTCATATACGTTTTCAACATACAACATGCAAACCACTTTTTGCCGATAGATAAGAATTGGCAAAAATGCTATTCGGCAGAAAGGCACACCGGAGTAAGGATTGAGATTCGACAATCTAAGTTTGAAAGTGCCTGAATTTAATAATTACCTCTGTTTCCATTTTCAAGGAAGCTAATCTCGCCACTACCACAGCCGCAGTTTCTTGATCAAACCCTTGCACCAATTCCTGCAGATATTACACACCTCATTAGCATCCATGTCACGTACCAAGACGAAAATATGTCAATGTGAAAATTCACGACGGTGGAGGAATAATACTAACCTCTGTGTTAAGAGCAGTATCTACCCATTGTCTGGTAACAGTAGTAACTCGAAGTAACGTTTTACCTTCTGGATTTTGGTAGCTGCAGTCATGAATTTAAGATCAAATTTCTATTACTTTGGTGAACATGCTCAAACCCAGAATTGCATGAAGAGGATACCTTGTCAGAAACTGTATATATAGCTGGGAATTTACACCTCCAGGATTATTCGACTGATCACTAGAAGAAAGGTCAAAGAAGACAGTCAGACAAGTACTTTTGTCGAGGCCACACATCTTCCATGCTATAGTATTCCCCTCCCCTATAACTGTATCAGCAACGCTAGGTCCTTTCTGCAATTGTTCCCAAAAAGCATCACTGTTAAGTAAACTACCATAATTTAAAGACAAAAAGGTAAACTTCCGAGTATGAGAAGCTTCAACCTTTTGCATTGACGCGCAAGGGCCAATAATCCCTTGGATTTTTATGTCCTTCGAACAGTTGATCTCAAGTGTACCACTGAAATTGTAGTTTGAAAATAAGTGAGAATGCCACTAGCTGAAGGTTTTGGATTAGCGACATAGCAAGAAGAACATAAGGCTATATCAGCAGCTCACTTGAAACAAAGACCGAGAGACTGCTCGCCATCTTCAAAAACTCGTTTAAAAGATTCCTTAAATACAGAATGGCCGAAACTTTCTGATAAAACAACAAGTCCTCCAGTTCTTTCAACCGCAGCTTTCATTTCAGCAACACCAACCTAAAATTCAAAACATAGAGAAAATAAGTATGATCCAGTTTAAAGCAGAGTTGAAAAGAATTCCACGTCTGTGAGTGGAGTTAAGAGTAAACCCGCAAATAAATTAATCAGAACAATCTTGTCCTTGAAGCTACAAAGTTCATTGCGACTTGCAAATGAGAGGAAATGTTATGCACCATCATATTTTCTTCATTAGGTATTACCCTAATATGTTCATAACATTCAGAGAAAAGACATACCTGATCAAGTGCGGATGCAAAAAGGTCCAGTACATGTCCTTGGTTAACCAACTGGTTTGCTAGACCATCATAGAATTTCTCTGCTTTCTTATAGAACGGAGCCGCATCTTTGTCGAGGTCTTTATGTGAACGCAGAGGTTCTGATAGATCCTTTGAAACAATCTGCAGAAGCCAGAGGTAGTAGAAGAACTTTGTATCAGAGGCCAACTAATTAACAAGGAAATTTTCTGGTGTGGTGCTCTTCTCCTAAACACTCTGATGACCATTATACTTGCAAGAAAAACGGTGATAGTATATGGAGATGCGTAACCCACACGTCGCTCAACAGAACATGAAGAAAAAATCCATCATAGTTAACGATTGCAGCCCAACAGATTTGTGATGCAAAGTCAAACTAATTTAAGCAACATACCTATAGCTTCATCTTATTCACGCTACACGAGGCATCTGTTCAATCTAATTCAAACAACAGATAATAACACATATATCTCATCTTCTCCTAACTATAATGGCCAATTGTCACCATTACCCATCATTTCAACACCCGACATTGAACAATTCAATAGTTAATAAGCCAAAATTTCTCCCCTTTTCCTCAAGCAACTCTAGAAAGAAGGGCAATAGACAGATGGAGTTACCGTGCCTGGTCCCTCAGAGCATGGTCCTCCAATTAAAGCAACGATTCTAGCCCCAGTTCCAGGGAAACAAGCTCCAAGCAGTCCAGTGGCCACACTCAAAGCCACTCCCGTGCACCGCGACTGGCGACTTCCAGGCTGAACAGGCCACTGATCCGTGTGTAGCTCATCCAACAGCTACACTCCAAAACAAAGTAAAGGTTTATCGTCAACTTTCATAAACCTATATTTTGATCAGAAGAAGAAGAAAAGCACAAACTTTATCAAACTCCAACCCACCGAATCAATCGTGAATTCACACTCGGAGGCTGGCAACAAGAATCTATTAACACCAGAATTGCCGGAAATGTCCCTCCCCATCGGAAACCCACCAACAGGGGTTCGCCTCCCAGAGGCACCGAGCCCTAACTGCTCCAGAATCTGATCCTTGGAGATCTCCTTATCTCCCCTGAAGACATAGACTTTGGTGAGATCAGAAAACCCTAGCTCGTGGACGTGCGCCTGCGTCCCAAAGGAGACGAACCCAACAAGTGCATTCTCCGGAAGCAAGCCGATCGCCTGCTTGAGCGCGGATTTGGCGTACCCAAACTCCTCCTCGATCATGCACGTATCCAGAACAAAAACGAAGACCGAAGGCGATGGCTGGCCGGAAACAGCACCACTCTGATCATAATTGCCGACACCAGTGGGCTGGGAAGGGCTGGGCATAGTGTATTCGACGGTGGTGTACTGCGGATACAGCTCGCAAGGGAGATTGGTCTCGGAGATGACGTGGTAGTGAGGCGGGAAGTGGTTCCGCTGGAAACAGATTGGGCAGATCCAGATCTTGGCGGTGAAATCAACGCGAGCAAAAGGGTTGAGTGCGGCGGAGCAAGTGCGGCAACGGAGAGGAGCATAAGGCACGGATTGGATATCACGGTGGTAACGGATCGGTGAGATACAAGCCGCGACAGGGATCACACACTTGCTCGCTTCAACCTTGTTGCGAGGCCAGACGTTCCACGTCATACGGACTCCGTCGATTCCTTCCGGATCCATAGTCGCCATCTCCGACATGGTTAAGGTTACAGATCGATGAAGAATTCGCCGTGAAACTGGAAGGAAGAATCCGCGTTTTCCCAAACAGGATTTAAGCTCTAACTTCTAAGAATCAAAATTATATTCCTCTGATTTCTGAATTTCAGATCGAAGCAGAGACGTAACTCTCAAAAGGGATCTTCTTGGTGGGATTTTATCAGCTACAGTCGTCTCTATGCGTACATTATTATTACCTTCTTACCATGATACTGATTCACATTACTTTTTTGGCAACTGCTTCTTCGAGTTTTGTTACATTGACCGAAATTTTATAAAGTACAAATCATCTGTCCAATGATCTTGTGACATGTGGCATTTCTTCAGAATTAATAAAAAATTGAATGGAAAAAGAAATTCAGCTAACAGCTAGATTAATAGAGTTAAACTGATTGATTTTGATATTTTGAGTTAAACTAATAATAATTTAGATTAAAAATATATTTTATTAGATCAATATTTTTGAAAATGAGCTATTAAATGTCTGAAATTTGGTCTAGGCACCTGGAGGGGTTCACCTCTGCCCACTCTCCTTGGGCCGGGCCTGTTTACAATGCTTACCCTCCTCTGTTTCACACAACCTCAAAACAGAGTCCACAAAAGCCTCCAAGTTCCTATCCGACGACCCTCCTTCTCCACCCGCTTCAACCGCTAAACGCTTCCACTTCTCAGCGTTTACACTCAGCTCCTCAGCGTTCTCCTCCATCACTGCTTTCAAACACCGCCTTATCTCTCCTGCCTCCACTAAACCTTCCTCGTTCTCTCTCACCCTCACACCTGTCCTCCATGAATCCTCTAGAAGCTTCGCGTTCGTCGGTTGATCCGACCACATCGGAAACGCCACCACCGGAACGCCTAGAACCAAACTTTCAAGCGTCGAGCTCCACCCACAATGAGTCACAAAACAACCTACGGCTCGATGTCTTAAAACCTCCACCTGCGAACACCAAGACACAATCATACCAACCTCTTCAAGCTCGTGTCTGAAACCGGCAATCTTCTCAATCTCTGTCTCGTCCTCTCCCTGTGTCTTCGCTTCTCTGTTTAATTTATCAGTGATGACCCACAAGAATGGTCTTTTCCCTTCTATGAGAGCTCTCGCTAGTTCCCCAATCTGTTTCTTCGAAAGCTCAACCATTGTTCCAAAAGAAACGTAAATAACAGAGGACTCTGTTTTCGAGTCTAGCCAAAGTTTAATACTACTTTGATCTTTAACTAATTCGCTTCCTGTGAAAACATCTGGAGGAAGCAAAGGACCAACTGCAACCATTTCGATATTCGGGATAGCTTTTAAGGCCTCTGGCTCCAGCGAATCGAATGTGTTGACGAGAACTATGGGATTGGATTCTTCTTTGAGAAACTCCATCAATTCAAGATATACAGCTTGTGCGGTTTTGTTCGTGTTAGATGGTGAGAGGAAAGAAGGAAGATCACGGATTGCGAGTGTGGGAAGATTCGGGAACTCGAAACCGGAATTGTTTCCGGTGGAGTGATTGTAATAAACGTTGAAGGCCAAAGCGGGTTGGATCCAGAGAAGAGCAGCAGGGAGGTGATACCTACGCGCCAGTTTCGGAACCCAATTGGGAAGAATCGTGTAGATCAAGCAAGTCACGGGAGAGTCTCCGTTTCGATTAGCTTCGATGAACTCCGAGAGCGTTTTATCGCCGTTGCGGTTGAGGTTCAGCAACCGGTTTTGGACGTCGTCGGTGTTGGAGATGACTCCGTCGTCGAATCCGTCGGAGAAAGTAAGGAAAGAGAGATTGTCGATGTTGTTGGGGTTTGGGATTATTGAGCAGTGGAAGACGGAGATACACGTGGCCAAAGTCACACGTGCGCCGGTAACTTTTATGAGCCGACGAGCGAAACGGAGGGATGGGTTCACGTGACCCTGCGCCGGGAACGTTACCAGTAGAAAATGCGGTGGCGCCATTTTTCTTTTTGCTCCACTGAAATGACTTAAGTCTCTAATTAATACGATGATATGTGTTGTGTTGTGTCGACTTGTTGATTTTGTGCTGTTACATGTATATATATATAGATGAACAATTGGGATTTAATTTTGGGTCATGTGATATGTGACCTGAACAAACACATGCTAAAACACATGACACACAGCATGTGTTACAGCTTCTGGCGTGATCCATAAGGTACGCCATGATGGATATCATTAACTGGTTAAAGTCAAACCCATTTCTTAAAACTTAAAAGTCAAGGTAGCAATTCCTTTCATTATACTACAACTACATGTACATATGTTTGAACCCAAAAAAAAACTTTAAAATTTATTACCAGACATATAAAGAAAAACATACCAAAACTTTTCCCGGAAAAAAATGTTTGTAGACTGAACTAGTTGTCCAACCGTTCAAAGTGAAATGAATATTGTGGGTAAATAAACAAATATAGAAAGTGAATAAAATAAAGAAAGTTGGAAAAGAAAAGCCTTCTTATAGTACCTTGGGCTTGGCAAGATTCCATTAGTTGTCTCTCCAAAAAGGAAAGTTGAAAGAAAAACTTGGTAACTAGTAGCGTCTGAGTGGCTCTGCTCTCTTTTCGATGGTGGAGATTGGAGAAGATACAATATATGGGAGACTTTTTCTTTGTAAAATCATAAAAGGTTGTATTATTTTTACCTTTTATTTTTGCGGTCTCTTGAAATAATATGTCTCAGCTTCTCTGCCATCTCTCCAAGCTCTCTTCCCGGAACAACGATGTTTTGGTATGTAAAAGATTCATTCTTTTTCCCCTTAATTCTCTCTATTTATTGGTTTATAATTAGGTCTGTATTAGTTAGGGTTTTGTTCATAAAGCGTTTTCAGGGAACACAATTGAGTTTGAGTTAATGGACAATAGAATAAGGATTGGAGGGTGGTGGTTGCGCTAGGGTTAGTTAGACAAGATCAGTGTTTGTATTACTATCCACTTTCTGATGTGTGAGTTACTTGGCAGATACACAAGAGCGTTCGTTTATTCTCCACCAGCCCGTACTTGACACTTGGTACTAGGGTTAAGCAAGTTTTGCCGGGCGGTTGCAACATTGGAGATGTTCTCTTGTTCGACCCGGTCAAAGAAGAATTAGTCACGGTCCCGTACAAAACAATCCCCAAAGAGCTCATGGACGAAGAAATGATTGGAGCTTCCCATGGATGGGGATTTTTCCGTGACAGGCGAGATCGTTCCGTACGTATCAGCGACATTTTCAATCCTTTGGCATCCAAATCGAACCCCACCGTGATTCCTCTGCCTCGGCTTACTGCTCTGTTCTGTGGACAAACCGAGCAAGTCTGCAATGTAGCAATGTCGTCTTCTTCTCCTTTTGGTGAGGAAGACTGTGTAGTGGCCATCAAGTTTTCGGGTCGCCAGATGAGTCTGTGCAGGCCCGGTCGTGACCTTGAGTGGACTAACATCTTTACCCCTTTCCACTGCTGTGAAAACTCAAATCTCATGTATTCAAAAAGAGACCAGAGATTATACTTGCCTTCTCCTGGAGGCAATTACCTGTTCTCCTATCATCTCCACGCCAAAACAGAAGACCACCCTGAGCTCCATGAGTTGGTCTACCGCGGCCATCCAGAGTTGGATCATTCCGAGTGGGAGCTTTTGGATTCGTGTTCCAGGAGGGAATACTTTGTGGAGTCACCGTCTAGTGGTGAACGTTACCTAGTCAAATGGTACACTCATTACACCAGTGTGATTAAATTCAATTAAAAAAATAAAAATAGAGAATAATTGTGGTTGCATATATATATATACGTGCAGGTACGCACATGGCTTCTACTCATCGGTGTTAAAAGGAATTGACTACAAAACAAAGAGGTTCATGGTGTTTAGAGAGGAGGAGACGACGGAGGGAAAAGCCATGTGTTACACAGAGGACATTGAAGAAATGTGCATTTTCCTTGCAAGCAACGAGGCTTTATGCATCCCGGCTAGCTCCTGCCCGGGCCTCATCCCTAGCACCATCTACTTTATGGGACGTGGCTTTGGTTCTTACCATCTCACTACCGGAGACACACATCATTACGAAGCTCCCGGTGGCCTTGTCAACACCCCTTACTGGCTTCCTCCATTTTCTATCTAGTCATGATACTCATTGCTTGAAACCCTTTTTTTTTACTGGCGATCTAAACATTGTTTTTTGAGGTTAAGTCGAATCTCGGATGGGTTGTATGTGACACAGCTGGTATGGTTATTGTTGTTGTCCATTTTTTTTGTTAAATGCAAATCTATCGAAAAGAGTAAATGGAGTCTTGACTAAGACGTTTGCTGTTAACTGACATAACAAAGAATACCAATGTACGTATAATTAAGCTCATCTGTTTGACAATGAATCTACTAAGGTACTTATCGTAATATTCTAGATGAAAAAGTGCCACAAACCATAAATTAATAACGTAGAGAAAAAAGGGAATCTTAAGCTAGATCATGTAGAGCAATCCAAACCGGCTGAGAGAAACTAACATCAACGAACTAGGTAGAAAATGGAGGAATCCCGAAAGGGAGGAAAGGAATCTTTGGTGGTGCACCTTTGGGATGATCAAATTGACGAACGGTTCCGGCGGTGAGATCACAAACAGCAAAGCAACGGCCCATCAAGTAGATGGAGTTGGGCTTGAGACCAGGGCAAGTGCTCGCCACAACGCAGAAAGGATCGCTCTTTGAAAGGAAGATGCAAAGATCTCCAATGTCCTCGGTGTAACACATGTTTCTTGTCTCGTTCTCTGTTACCTGATCCTCTCTGAACACCATCAATATCGGGTCTCTCCATCGTTGAGAAGGGACATGTGAATACCTGCACACGCACATATATATATATAGGACCCGAATTAGCGGTTGACCAGAATCTCTCAATGTCTACAAGTTACATACGTTACCATTTGACTAGGAAGCTTTGGCCGGAAGGTGACTCCACCCAATGGTCCTCCCTGAAACGTGAATCCAACAGCTCCCACGCGATCTGTGGCAGCTCGGGAAGGTTTTGAAATACCAACTCACTAAACTTAGGGTCGTTATTGAAGTGGAGATCCCAAGAGCACAAGTAGCTGCCTCCAGGAGCAGACAAATAGAACCTTTGATCTCTCTTGGAAAACATGAGATTTGAGTTTTCCGAGCAGTCGAAAGGGATTAGTTTGTTAGTCCAACCGAGGTCGCGACCGGGCCTGCACATGCTCAGTTGCCTACCCAAGAACTTGATAGCCACCACACGGTCGTCTTCCTCGTTGTCTTGATGAGACATTGCCACGTTCCAGACCACTTTGGTTTGGCCATACATCATACTAGTAAGCGAAGGCAGAGGAATTATCTTGGTTGTGGATTTGGGAGACAGGGGATTAAAAAGGTCGCTGAAACGTACAGAGTTATGGTTGCGCAGGTCGGAGAAAAGTGCCCATCCCTGTGAAGCTCCCACCACACTCGAGTTAACGAGCTCTTCGGGAACTATTTTACCTCGGATTGTGAATAACTCTTCCTTGGCCGGATCGAACAATAGGATATCTCCGGTGTAGCAGCCGCCTTCTCCAGGATTGTCATCCCCAACGCTGCAAAGTGTCATATAAGGGCCGGTTGAAAACAAACGAACGCTCTTTTGTATCTGCCAGTTAAACTCAGAGATCAGAGCCCAATAGTACTAGAGAATTAACACACGTCTTGTTGTCTAACTAAGCCTAGCTTTATTAGGGACAAACTCAATTGTGTTCCACTACAAAGCCCTTTCTGAATAAAACCTAACTGATACAGAACTTATAAAGAGAGAAGGAGGAAAACGGAGAAGCTTTTACGTACGAAAACATCTTTGCTCCGGGAAGAGTGCTTGGATAGACGGCGGAGGAGCTGGTACATGTTATTTAAAGAGACTGCAAAAATTAAAATGAAACAGAGTTTTTTGATGAATTACAAAGTCAAAATATCCCATAAGCCCTTCTCCACTTAGCATCAATTGGTTACCAAACTTTTCTTTCCTCTTTCCTTTTTTGTGAAACAAAATAATGGAACCTTGCCATGCAAGGTACTCGTTTCTAGCAGCAATAAACATTCTTCTTCAAATTTACCTTTTCCACTTTTCTTTCTTTTGTTCACTTTCTATTTATTATTATTATTTATTACCCCAATATTCATTTCAGAAGAATACAATAAATTCACGTGACCAACCACATTTCATACAAACTGTTTATTTATTTTTATATGATAGATCCCTATAATCTACTAGTTTGATCTTATGCTCCGCTCCTAATTAAGATATTTTACAGACTGTCTAAAGGAACAGTCTCAATAAGACCAAAAAGCAAGATCTAAGTCCTAGGGAGAAACCATCGAGCATCCATGAGATTCATGTCGCCAAGATCAGGAAAGCGTTTGAGGGTCTTGGTTGCAAGATTGAAGACACAGATGTCAACGTCACGAGGTGAGCATTGGCAGGGACGGTAGTGACGGGTGAAATAGATGGAGTCTGGTTCGAGACCCAGGGTTTCGTTAGCAGGCACAGTGAAACCCAAGTCCAGGAGCAGGGCCTCTCCATCAAGAGAATCTATCTCAAGAACCGTGTGGCTGAAGGAATCTGGGTCTTCTAGATGAGGATTCTTCTTGTAGAGGCGGAAGAAGCTATTATTGCATGGATCACTCTCAACCAACAAAACCTCGCCTGAGGTTGTAACCGCAATGCTAGAATCCCACAATTGATAATTAGAAAGCATTGAGACGGGTTTACCCTCGGTGATGTCCTTGAAGAAACCTTGCTGTCCAGAGAGATCTAGGACTCGTAAATAACGACGACTTTTTAAGATATAAAGACGGTAAACCCGTAGTACCATGGCAGACAAGCCGCACAACCAGCGGGAGTCTGGGAGGTCTAGAGAAACGTCAGTGTAATAAGTATCCCTTGCTTGCAAAAGAACATAAAAGTGTGGCCAGGGATGTCGAAGAACCACACGCTTGAGCTTGATAAAAGTAGTAGTTGGCCAAATCGACTCTAGAGACGGAAGAGGGATCGTTTTCTCGCTAAACGCATCTATGATGTATAAACTGGATCCAGAATTTAACACTAAGCACCAGTTACCCGAGTTAGCCAGGAATCGAGACCCTGAAAAGTCTCTCAGGTTCCTTTGGAACTTGCCTTCTTTCAGGCTGTACAGCACACAACCACCGTCTTTCGGGAAAAGCATTAGCCCTGGAGATCCGCCATTAAAACATGGAAGATCCTGCATCGTTTGAGTTGAGTGAAGATACCTTTATTATCAGGAGGTAGATTTAAGATTGAGTGAGACGTCACCTTCGGTCAGTGATATTAGGGTTGAGTATATATATTGGGTACCGCTTCAGGTTTTTTCTTGGGCTACGAAGCCCATTAGGAAATCTCTCTGCGATCTTATACTTACAGCCCAAGACATACGAGAAGCTTGCCCGTCAGCCTGTCTTAACTTCCCTATTATCTATTTCAATTTGTTCTAATTTATTCTTAGATACTAAAATACCAACTGATTTCCTACTCAGTTACAAGCTCAGTTACAAGCAAACCGTCACTTTTTCACTACTCGTTTGATGTTTGTGTTATTGTCTTTCATTGATGCATAGGTGAGAAAGAAATATTTTGTCTAAACCTGCGCAAGTTTATTTATCAATGCAAAAATAATTCTGAATACAATTCTTGTGCAATTTTTTAATTTTTTTTTCCAATTATTCTGTTTTTTACTATTAACCTGATATACCAATTATATACATAAACTTTGAACTACCGTTTGAATATAATATAATTTATAAATTATTAATTTAATATTGTATGATAGCCAGTTTTAATTTAATAATCAAATTTATATCTTTTTAATCAATATTGTCTAAAAAAATCTTCACAAACTTAGACATGAATGCCGATGGATGATATATACTGCATATGATGTATCAATTTCTATACCATTAGTAAAGTGTGAATTATTTATGTATGCAATCACAAACTTAGACATGAATACCGATGGATGATATATACTGTCATAATTTTTCTTTTTATGGGTGAAATCATGTAGTAATTAATTTTTAAAATCACAAAAATGATTCCCTAAACATGTTCTTTTTCTTCTTATATCCCTTTCTTTTTCCCATCATCATCCACACCTCTAGCTTTCAGGTCTTTCTTTCATTTGAAAAATTTAAACACAAACCAGTATATGAATCAAGCTTTTATTGAATCAGGTCACAACTTTCAGTAACCAGCAGCGAAAAAAAGGTTTAAGCAACACACATATTCTAGATGATCACTGATATCACCTTCAGTGTTAAATACACATATCAATCCATGGAAGTGGAACCAACAGCATACGCAACCATGAATAATTAGATGATAAAGATAAAAGTATCCAAGACATATGTTAACTATTTTAAGAATATTTTGCAACTAGAGAAAACAGAGAAGTGAACTTAAAAGAAAGTCGAGAGTACACTAGCCTTATTATCGATAAGAACTTTCAACCGTAACAACAAGAACAAAATATCAAACGAAGCACACGTGATTAGCAAACCTGAACTGTTTTTCTCTCCTTTCAGTGTAGCATGATAGATCATTTATGCCACTCCATGCCCCTTCGAAGCTTTTTAAGAACACGTTACCAATTTGATTCAGTAGTTAATATGATACTAATTATGCCTAGATGATATCATGTTATTATTACACCAAAGGTTAGTCCCAATTCATTTTCGACATTCCCGTAGTGGTCTCGGAATGTAAAACAAACAAGAGCCGCGCGGAGAGATATGGTGTTGATGGCAAGTAAGAGAAGGAAGTGGACTTTACAAACTCTCAACATGAATTAAGAAACATAGTGGGCCAAAATAAAATCACATTTGAATATCGTAAAATCCTGATATTTTTTGTGTTATAATGGTAGTGGTAAACAAAGGGAAAAGGTGACAAGATTAGAAATAGTTTTCAACTAATTGAGCAAGTTCGATTTCTCCAAACATTCATTTTTTTTTTTGTCTTCAATCTCATCTGCTTCACTGAAGAGAGTCTCCACAAATCTCATCCACAAAAGCCTCCAAGTTCTTATCCGAAGACCCTCCTTCTCCACCCGCTTCAACCGCTAAACGCTTCCACTTCTCTGCGTTTTTCCTCAGCTCCGCAGCGTTCTCCTCCATCACTGCTTCCAAACACCGCCTTATCTCTCCTGTCTCCACTAAACCTTCCTCCTTCTCTCTCACCCTCACACCTGTCCTCCATGAATCCTCTAGAAGCTTCGCGTTCGTCGGTTGATCCGACCACATCGGAAACGCCACCACCGGAACGCCTAGAACCAAACTCTCAAGCGTCGAGCTCCACCCACAATGAGTCACAAAACAACCTACGGCTCGATGTCTTAAAACCTCTACCTGCGAACACCAAGACACAATCATACCAACCTCTTCAAGCTCGTGTCTGAAACCGGCGATCTTCTCAATCTCTGTCTCGTCCTCTCCCTGTGTCTTCGCTTCTCTGTTTAATTTCTCAGTTATGACCCACAAGAAGGGTCTTTTCGCTTCTATGAGAGCTCTCGCTAGTTCCCCTATCTGTTTCTTCGAAAGCTCAACCATTGTTCCAAAAGAAACGTAAATAACAGAGGACTCTGTTTTCGAGTCTAGCCAAAGTTTATAACTACTCTGATCTTTAACTGATTCGCTTCCTGTGAAAACATCTGGAGGAAGCAAAGGACCAACTGCAATCATTTTGATATTCGGGATAGCTTTTAAGGCCTCTGGCTCCAGCGAATCGAATGTGTTGACGAGAATTTTCGGATTGGATTCTTCTTTGAGAAACTCCATCAGTTCTTGAAACGCTGCGTATGCGCCTTTGTTCGTATCTGTAGGCGTGAGGAAAGAAGGAAGATCACGGATTGCGAGTTTGGGAAGATTGGGGAACTCGAAACTGGATTTGTTTCCGTTGAAGTGATTGTAATAGATGTCGAAAACCAAAGCCGGTTGGATCCAGAGAAGAGCAGAGGGAAGTTGAAACTTACGCGCCACTTTTGGAGCCCAGTTGAGAAGAATCGTGTAGACCAAGCAAGTCACTGGAGAGTCACCATTCTGATTAGCTTCGATGAAGTCCGACAGTGTTTTATCGCCGTTGATCTTGAGGTTCACCAACCGGTTCTGACGGTCTTGGGCGGTGGAAATGCCTCCATCGTCGAAGCCGTCGGAGAAAGTAAGGAAAGATAGATTCTTGAGATCGCTTTGGTTAGAAATCATAGAGCGGTGGAAGACGGAGAGACACGTGGCGAATGTGACACGCGCGCCGGTGGTTTTGATAAGCCGGCGAGCGAAACGGAGAGATGGGTTCACGTGACCTTGCGCTGGAAACGTTACAAGGAGAAAGTGCGGTGGCGCCATTTCGGTTTGTTTTGTTCCACTGAAGTAACTTTCAAGTCCAACAATACAAGAATCTGTGTCTCTGCATGTGGATATTGTGCTGTTATATATGTAGTAGGTAGAATATAGATGGGCAATTGGATTTCGTTACCTGGCGAAGTCTGCACATGTTGCGTCTTCATATAAAAAACACACGCAAAACTGAATCAGATTACTTGTGACGTTTGTGGTGACGCTCAAGTTAAAAATGCCTTGGGCCTCATTCGTATAAAATCCAAAGTTGGTTTTGGTTTTTGCAGATAGATTAAACGCAAACAAATAATGACTAAAATTATCAACAAACAAATAATTAGTCCGTCGTTATCATATGACGCCGACGAGAAGACAATATATCTTATGTAGAAGAAAATTTCAAATGATGCACAGTTTCGTCTTTGAGACGTCAAGAGATACGTCTCACTTTCCTCTATGATCGTTCTAAATGCTTGCTTAAAGTTAAAAGGTGTCTAATGCAGATTACTTGGAAATCAATCAACAGATAATCATGAAATTATAGCTACATTAACATATGTTATATATATCACTCTTTGTTTTTGGAAGACCGGTCTTTTCTCTGACCACCAAGAATACGAGAAATTTGCAGACCTCTGCTAAATGCTTGATTAAAGAGCATTCTTGTCTGGAACTCAGACACAAAGGGAAACCAAGCCAAGAACGCAACCGGCGTGAAAAGAAGCAAGCCCATCACGATCTCATATCCCCGAGCTAGCGTCCTAACCGATGACCATATCCCTAGCCGTTGGATCAGAGGCTTACACGCTTGTGCAATCTGATGATGATGAAGCCAAATGTCACAAGACCATTCAAAAAGTGGTATCTTATAGAGACAAAAGAGGAGTTTGGTGGAAGAGAAATACTTACAAGAAGCATTCCCCATCCAGTTGGCATGAAGGCAAGCATGCAGATGAATAAGTCTTTGATTGTTATCAGAGGAAGTGCGAGGAAAGTTATGAGTATCCCAACAAATGTGAGGAACACAAGACCCTTTATGATCCTGAATAGGAGCTGGAAATTCGTGCTGAATCTTCGCCTTCCCACGCCCAAACCCTGTAATCATCGTTGTTACACAGAAGAAGAAATCAACACTGTGTTTAGGAAACTTTGCAAGGGAGACCAAATGCGAAGGTGAATAAAGATTCATACCTTCACAATGAGTAGAATGAACAAGATCACAAACCATGAAGCTCCATAAACCTATATAAACACACCGGTCATAATCATTCAATACACCAAGGGCTTCACCATTCGGAAGGAAGTAGTTTATGAGCTTAAGCTTACCCAAACGCTTTGATTTTTCCCTTTGAAGGTACTGAGGTGATAAACAAGTCCATACTGAAATATGAAGAAGCGCAATGCCAAGAAAATCTCAAGGATGATACCACGGAACCCCGAGTGTCGAAGATGCTCTAACTCTTTCTCCCACCAAGACTCCCAACTTTTCTCAGGTGGAACACCGATTCCTCCTCTGTTGTATATCCATTTGTTCCAGTCTGTCCAGTCATCAACGATCTTTTGCCACTCGAAACCAGACGGGTTGAACAAGAAGGGAGCAAACAGCCATGTCACCACCATGAACCATATCGAGACAGTGATCAGAATATAAGTAACCACACCCCTATATGATTGGCCAAATAGCTGGTACACGAGTAGGAGAATCATAAGCTCAATGCCCTTCACGAAGTGACTTCGGGAATAGAACCTATAGTTCTCAGCAAATTTCGCATGGAACACCACGAACCCTCGACCTGTTCCTCTGTACTCTGCGCCTCCGTGAAACAGCGTCCTTCCGTAATAATGTGTTTTTGTGCCGAGTTGAAACGTGAAGAAAACAGAAGCAAGTTGTAACTGCATCAGCACAAACTCAATCAACGCGTTATGAAACCCTCTTTCAAGTCCAATCTCCATCATCATGGGCAGAGCCATGAGAAAACCAATCTGCACAAAGGATTGAGAAGCAAGAGCTGCCTCAAGAGGCTTGTTGTTACGAAAAGCTCTTTGGTTGCTCAATCCTTCTTCAAGTCCACTAAGTACTAGATATAGCCGTCCATAGAGAAACACATACACCGTAAGGACAGTTAACTGTAAGAAAACAGAGAAAATGGCTTTAGACTTATAAAAGTTAACCTAATGATTGAGAGATAACAAAAAGGGGAAAATCTCAACGTACCATGGTACTGAAATAGAACCCAATTGTGGTGAAATAACAAGACAGCATCCGGAAGAAATCAAATCGGTGTCCGAGTCTGTACAAGTCGCGACTCAAAGTTTGCTCACCATTTCCATTGGCGATTTTTGCCTCAAACATTGAGATCTGGTTGAGTCCCACATCTCTCCCTTTACCAACTTGTATATATTCATGATGAGTTACGTTTCCTTCACGCAGAGTAGAGTTGAAACCTGAAAGCCGTAAACAGGTATGAGAAAATGAAAACTATATGAATCATATGTGTACCACCAGAGAAGAGGAGATCAAGCAAGTACCTGCAAATATGTCTTCACTGAGATTGATGACTTTAGAAGCTTTGCAGATACCGCCTCTGGTCAGGTGAAATAGACGATCAAAGATATCTGGATGACCGTAATGGAATCGTACTCTGTAGCAGTGAAAGAAAGAACACATTAACTTTGACAATCACGATATCCAGATTTTCCCTCAAAAGGTTTCAGAACAGGGAAAAAACTTACTTCAAAGGACTAGCTAACACCCTTTGCCCAATCGTTACAAAGCTGTTCTCCTGATTTGACATAAACCATGCAAGAGAAGACACACTGGCCACAAGAAACCACAGAAACGTAGGACATGATCAATATGTGCTATGATTCTATGAAACTAACAATCTAAAAGACAGAAACTATATTATACAGTTAGTACCTTCCAGTGAAAATATGCTCTCTAAGACCAAGAATCGTTGGACATCTTACGCCTCCATGCTTTACAAGAAACTCTTGCAGCAAGTTCCTCATTTTGAAAGCTTCTTCCATGTAGTTATCCTATTTGTCAAATCTTTAGAGGTTAAGAGTCTCCCATGGTGATCATTCTTTTAACTAATCATAAGCATAGATGAGATTTATTAAGTGACACATCCTAGACAAAGGAAAATTATGCAATGCACCTGGTTCATGTCTATTGTCTGCAACCCTTCTCCGCGTGTAAAGATGATAGCATGGTTCTGATTTTCCGGCTTTCCCTCTCCGAGTATAGCCGGTCCGGGAAGCTTAATCCGATAAATGAGCTAAAAGAAAAGAAATATAAACTCAGTATCTCCAGAAAATAGAACAGCAACATCATTATCCTCTGACTTCACTGCATAGGATTATCCTCCTTGTGGTATTTTAGAAAAAAATGGGCACCAAAATGTTAAGTATATTAGAAAAATCTCATTATATGTACCTGATCTAGTGTTTGAACAGATTCAGAAGAATCCATTGGTTTGGTCTGAGGAGCAGCTTTAACAAGAGCTGAGTAATAAATCTTTTCCTCTATCCCCTTATTACTCTCTTTATGTGTTTGCTCGACCTCATCAATATAGGCAACACGAATAGAAGGATACCTGCCACAAAGAGATAGCAAAATGAGGCTATGAAATAATAACAAATCAACTGAGAAGATCAAAGGATGAAGAATAATTAAGAGGATTACGTTGTCATAAGTCTCAATATGTCTTTAGCACGTTGGTCACCAGATCTCTTATGAATACTGTATTGTTGGCAAGAAACCACGAAGGTGAATTTCATGTCCGCAAGTGCTTGACACTGTGCCCAGAGTGACCCTCCGCTCTTTGATGCTTCTTCACTGGTTAACTCGAGAGCCTTGTAGCCTTTCAGTAATTCTAGAACCAAACGACCAAAGATATTTTAAGGATGATTTTTACGCTTTTTAAGAATCAATATAGATAGCAGTGCAGATTATTAAATCACCTTCATCCTTCGCCATGTCAAGGAAGGCCTGAAGTTCCAAAGCCTTTCGGTAATACATCATGCCTCGCACTTGTTGAAACAAATCAGAAATCAGCACAATCAAAAGATTTTATTTCTCAGTTAGCAAAACGAGGCAGATTTCATGGACGCTAAAGTCTATATACCGGTTTTGGTTAGAGTTTGGCCTCTGTAAGATGCCCATAGACGAAGCTCCTCTTCCAAATCCTCTCTTGCTCTTAGTTCTTCTTCGCTGCCACATTTAACTCGTTCCAGAAAGTTCGTCCATTCGTCTGATGTAAGCCATGGAGTCAGCTGATGGCTCAAACAGAATAATGGCGCCATATGAAAGATATTAAACTAATGGAGAAGTGAAACCTGGGAAGATCTTCTGCAAGTAGAAAAGTATAGAGACTCCATCCTCATTTTGCTGTTCTAAGCCATATATGGAGAAAAGAACATCCTCTGAAAAGTATGGTGTTAGGACCCTATAAAAAAGCAAAATGGGAGATGTCAAGATATATGATAAATATAGTACGGCTATTGATTTTCACATATTTTCACTGCTTGTAGGAAATATGAAACTGAGAAGACAATGAAGAGATGTATCATATGTCTGCAAAATATAAAATGAAATCGAAGAAAGTGACTGGAACCTACGAGAAGGAAAGCATGTTGCGGATCTTGGGTGCGGGAGGCATGTCCATGAATAATGAATTTGAAAAGAAAGTAAGACGCCTTCGAGCTTCCAAGTTTGACGGAACATCCATAGCTGACTCCTTGACAGTAAGCAAAAGATGAAGCCTCTTGATCTGCAAAAGGACAAAAAAAAAGGAAGGAAAGCAGATAAACCACTTAGACGCTCCTCATGCCAAAGGGGACTATTTGTACCACTGTAATGGAAACAAGAATGAGAGAAATGGAAGAATTTTAAAGGAAGAGACTTGCTTTTTCTTTCCAGGCTTCTTTTTGAGAGTAGACTGGGAATTGAAGTTGGCTGAAATATTTGCGTTGTTGATGAAGAGGGGTCATGACGTCGTACTTGACATAAGATCCATTGGGGGCAGTCTCTAGTAAGCTATGGAATGGAAACTATTTATCAGAGTGCTTCAAAAAAAAAGTAATGGACCACCACTCAGAAGACGGTTCATGCAAATGGTCTTACCTTGGAACTTCTTCTTCCATTATGTCTCTAGTCACCACTTCCAACATGTTCAGCAAGACAATTACAATTTGATCCTTGTCCTCCTCTTTGTTTTCTAGCTGTTGCAAGTAGAACAAGATTGGTTATTTTTCTCAAAATCCATGCTAAGCTTGACAGAGATATTAAACATCGTAATGCTACAGCTAGTACCAAATATTCGATTAGTCGAACAAACTGGCCATAGAGATCAGGAAGAGCACTCAGGTTCAGTTCTGTTATCAGTGTTTCGTTCTCGATATGCACATCAATCTTGGAGAAAATTTCGTTTATGACCCTGTAACAAGAACAAGCCAGTTAGAGAAGGGCAATGTAATTCCTGGGTTGGAATTTTGGCAAGGACTTACTGTCTTTCTCTTTCTCCCATAACCAAATAATTAATGAGATTCTTAAAAGAGGCGTAGCACTCTCTAACTGCACAAGTCATGTAGCTGTCCACAGTCAATCTCTTTTTCAGTTCACCGTCTTTTCCATTGCTGTCTTTAGCCATATCCAAAGCTATTGGGATCTATGACATTTAATCATGAGCACGTCAACGCGAAAACTGAAAATGTAACACCAGAAAATAAGTCAAAAGATTTGAATTTTCACCTTACTAGCCAGTAGAAAAGGTGGCCACCGTATAAGATCCAAATCAGGGTCAGACCAATACGGCACAAGCAAAAGTTCCATTTCTCTGTACACATACAAACTTTATCAATATATCTCTTACTAAAGATGTAACTACTTTTGCAAACGTGGATAGAAAGAAGACTAGTTGTAGGTTTTTGGATGAGAAATTCGGAGAGGAAACTCCAAAGAGAGTAAAAAGCAGAGAAGAGTGAGCTAGATTCTCTTCTTCTTCTTCTCTTTTACTCTCTCTGGAATCTCCTGTTACAAATGTTTCTAGTCTTCTTTCTGTAAATGTTTGAAGAAGAACCTAGCTTTCATTTTCAGACTGTGATAAGGATGAAAATATTCGAACCTGTCACTAATCAAATCCTCTTCTCGGAAACTACTGATTATTTTGTTCCACATCTGAGCAAACCGCGCTGAGTCCTTGTCTTTACTAGTTGGGAGCTGGATACAAAAAGAGAACACAAAGCTTAAGATAGAGTTCTGATACAGAGCAACTATAGTGACAAACGCTAAACATAACAGCAGTAACCAGACCCGATCAAACTTGCGAGAGAAGGTCGCCTTAAATCCCTTTTTCTTTGTATCGTCGCTCTTATCACGTGGCACCAAGCAATCATTAAAGGCTCCTGGTATGGACTCAAATCTTGACCTCAACATTCCAAGTGTTCGGATCTGAAGTGAAACAAACATCTTTTAAGAGACCATCTCACTTGAAAACCACTCCGAAATGTAAAAATTAGTCCAATTTGATTTGTTATGGAGGAATTCAATAATAAACCTCTCCAAGACGGCGGAAAGCTCCATTTAAACCTCCAACCAGAGTTGAAACTATAGCATACCATATTTGAGTGTCCATGAAATAAACCTGCATAGAGAAGTAAGCATACTATAAGGGGAAACCATAAAAACGAAAGAAGATATAATCAATGAACACTAAAAACAAACTCACGAGAATAACTGGTGACCAGAGCGCAATGACAACCCCTAAATTATTCTTGGCTGCAGAAACCAACGAAACAACGGCAGAGTTATTAAACAAAACGGCAATACAAAATAAGCAGATCCAGACATTCTATTATCCATTTACCATGAGGGAAAAACTCATGCCAGCTGTAGACGGATATATGGATTCGCATTATATCTTTAGTTGGACCAACAAGGGGCTTAATCTGCATTGAAGATGGAAAGCATTAAAAAATATCCATTGATGGACTCATATGAATGTCGTTAGAATCTCAGTGCCTTTTAGTAGAAAAGATCACGTTTCCAACTTCCAAATAAAAGAAAATGTGATACCTCAGCGTAGTAACTGAATGCCAGCTTTGAGATCAGCAGAACAACCCAGAACATCGTGTACCTAGAAATCATTAAGCAGTGTTGAAAGACCAACCAACATATCAGCGGCCTAAGTGTGCAAGTTATAGGGTCCTTACTTGAAAAGTGACAATGCGCTCTCATGCATACCCCTTCCTATATACAGCCGAGGCTGTATCACCAAGAACCATGATAAGTCCACCTTTTTCGGCTCAACACTCAAGGACCAACATTTTATTAATATAAAAGGCACATGAAATAAGTACCTGAGACCACCACATCATCAGCATCATTATCTTAAAGTCAGACCTTTCAAGGTAACGTCGAATGAACGGGAACAAAAACAGCAACCCGGAAAGCATGTTCGGGGATAAGTAGATGAGAATCGCCACAATGAAAAGAGAAGGTGAACTATGGCTGTGTCCCCCAAACCAACCCTTAATGGTCTGAGCAAAACCAGATGCGTCTTTCCAGCTGTACGCGTAAGCAACCGGCATGACTACAACCCATCCTGCAGCCGCACCAGCCTTCAAAAGATATCTGAGTTTCACATGGAATGACATGCTATGTCTTGCCTTCCAGCTCAGGGATATGTCAAGGACAGCTGATATATTTAGACAAACAGTCAGAAAACTGTAACATGGAAACATTTGCACCGAAACCAGAGGTCAGACAAATTAATTGGTAGGAAATCATCATATTTTAGAGAGGACACTAAAAACTACTCATCCACATGGTCTATGCATGAGATTTCTACATGAAAATGTCACTGCTTAATGTATTATCACCTTGTACAAGCTTTAGTATAGCTGCCGTAATGAAGACGCTCAAAACCTTTAGGAAGACATTTCCCTGAAAGATGGCGCTCAACTCTCCGGATCCATTCCATGCAATAACGATCATTGCCTAAACAAGAAATGGTACATCAAATAACATAACAGGTCAAGAAAATACGATATTTGAAAGACAAACGTTACTAAATACAAGACATTGGTACCTGCAAACACAGGATGTAGAAACTCCACATTCTATCGAAACTTCTAAATATATGCCAGAAGGAGCGTATCTCAACAAAATTGACTTTGCCCATCCACCGATCTCCATTATTTGATTTCACCTGCAGCATTGTGAACATAAATCATGAAATAACAGATACAGAAAACTTGAGGCAAATGTCGTAAAACCGATTTACTGGTTGAAATAACTCTTAAGACATGACGATTAGTCTAAGCGAATAGAGCAAGATGTATTATGATCCATGAGAAGAATTTATGACAAAATAGTCTCTATTACTCATACCTCAGTTTTCTCAACTCGGATTTCTTCAGCTGTCTGACAAAAGAAATCAGCATCAGCTCGCATAGGCCACCCCAAGCGAAAACATCGAATAGACCTGCAAAAGTTACAGGGACAGGGAATTTTAGACCACCCTGACTTACGAAGATAACGTCACATTCCAAAAAGGTTATAATTAAGATGATCATCTGCATTTACCAAAAGTATTCATTCAAGTCATCATAGTTTCTCCACACAGAATGCTTCGACTTTCCTTCTCTACTTCTCTTTGCTTCCTGTAATGCACAAAGATTTAGATGAAAAAAAAAAATAGACTACGTAGATAGAAGAAAAGCTCAAGAAGAAAAGATGGCCACGACTAGGATAAGTGAAGCAAGTAACCTTTGCTATTGTCTTGTATATAGGCGTCACTACTTTCTGCAGGAAAGCTTCATGGTCACCACCATAAGCTGGCTTTACATGCTCCCCTGTCATTTCACTAACACTACCAGCCAACATACCATACAACTCGAAAGCCATCTGAAACAGATACGATAAATCACAATTAAACTTAAATGCTACTTCTTCAGAAATAATCAGAAACATGACTGAGTAAACTGGATTCATACATGGTGATATATATAACAAAGGCATTCCGGCATGAATCTCAGGTTTGCAGCTTCTCCCCAAATTAACAGATAAAGTCCCATGTAAAGCAATTTACGTTGCTGTACTTCTTGTTGAATAGTCGGCAACCTTCAAGAGGATTAATAGAAAGAAAGTATGAGCCATACGATATGCAGAATAAGTGTTCAAATCTTTCTTTTACATTGGTTAGTTAGAAAAAAATATGGATACTCTTTTAAGGCATTACAACAGGGAACCCTCACCAAAGGCTGCTTTTCCGACCCAAATACTTGCACCATTTTTTGTAGTTTCTGAAAAGCTTCTTCATCACAATGGTCAAGGCGCGATCATCCAACTAGAGCAAATATTGAACACAATCCCTTAGCGCAAGTACAACTGCCTTGGCAGAGAGCCAAAAACAAAAAACAAAAAAGACAACATCACATACAAGCCCAACCAAATTGCATACCTTTGGTTCTTGTTCAGGTCTTGGAAATTGTCGGATGTGGACATTAGCAAGTAACAAGATCAAGTGCTCTCTTTGATTCGAAACATTATCTTCCTGCAGTTTAATAATCAGTAAAGGGCAAAACTTTATAAAGCCAATGATTAAGACAGGATATTCGCTAACATCACCTGAAAACCAAACATAGACTGAAGCCAGTCTAGAATGTCTTCGTCGATTTTCTTCTTGTGACCTGCTGCCCATGGTAATCCCCTTATGTTTCTAAGAGCCACCACAGCGGCTTGTATCTCAGGCAATCTCATTATAGCCTGATTCTGACTATCAGGGTCGAGCGGAAGTAAATTGTAAGGCTTGTAAATCTGTGTTTTCTCCTCCACCTTATTGTGCTGTTGCAAAATCTATAGCAGAAAAAGTACCAAGATGTTACATTGGATAAGACTCGCACAAGAACGGAAGTAGAAGATCAGTGCTACATTGGATAATATTATATACTATGAGCTTAATCACCTGTATAGGCAGTGGCACATCTTCGGTCTGATTAACAGCCTTCAAGACTTCAAAGAGAACGGCAGCAGTTTGATAGGCCTTTGTAAGTTGAGCACTAAAGGTCAAATATTGTAATATGAACGTAAGAGGTCGTAACATTGTAAGGAAAACCTGCAAATTTGAAAAAAAAATGTTTATTCGTCAAACACAAACCGGTCAGCTTTGTCAGCAGCATTTAGCAAAGCCTGGATGTATTTCTTGTAGTAGTGTTGATAGAAACTCTGCATTTCACGCGCATCACTCTTTTGCCTTCCTGCCAAAGTTGTTTCATTCTCCTGGAGAAGGTAATAAAAAAAAACATAAAAAGACGGCGTGAGTTAAACTTTACAACACAAACATGCCGGTGAATCTTAGTGTTTGACATTCATTCACCCTTTCTAATCGTTGAAGAAGCGCGGTCTTAAACTGACGAACACCACGTCCACTTGATGTTGGATCAAGCCTATGCGCCTTCTCAAATGCGTAAAAACGACCTGGTTAACAAATTTATGGTGTCAACAACATTTAAGATGAGCAGTGAACCTTTTTTTTACTAATCACGCACAATCAAGCCAACAACTCACAGAGGTAGGCAACTCGTGGATTACTAGCTTCAACTTCATTAGCCACACGGAGAATCGGAGCAATCTCCACTAAAGAAGATGGAACCACTTCACTATCAAGCATAGCCTCTCCGAGACTACCGACAGTATGAGTCCGCAGAATCCGCCTCTGCGGCGGAGGCGGATTGGTTTCCCTTCTTTGAGACATCTTCCTTTAACAATCTAAGATACCAAATCAAGAGTACAACTTGTCAAAAAAAAAAACACAAACATGAGCTATTATAGAAAGAGAAAAGACAAGGACTTTGAATCCGATTTTAATATCCTAAACAGTAAGATTTACTTTAATTGAGAAGCGAATCTCCGATTCATCTTCGCATAAGCTTTTATCACTATACACGCGTAATAAACGCGAAAAGTTGCAATCTTTTGAAAAGAAAACAAACAAAGACCCAACCTTAGCCCCAAAAAGATATAAAAAAAAGCTTCAAACAATGTAAAGCACAAACCTTATCACGAACTTCAACTACCCAATTCGACAATCCATACCCAAAATTAAGATACTTCTGATCATTGAAACAGAAAGGTTTCAGATTTTCGAAGCTTAAATCAATCTCTGATGGTAAATCGAAAACGAACCCGTTTACGAAAGCATCTGGTCTCACTCAAAGGTCAAGTCAAAAGCAGTAAATTAACCCTAAGAATCGGATAAGTGAAACGCACAATCAGAAAAAGAAACCCAATTTCTCGGAGATGAAAATGAAACCCTAGAATCTGCCAAAATCGAAAACAGTGAGAAAAAAGACCCAGAACGCTTAAGTATCACCTGACGAGAGACAGAGGAAGAGAGAAGAAGCAGAGGACCAAATACTCAAAACAGCTTCAGATGCGATCGAGGAACAGTAGTCAAAGCAATCATCTTTATTCGCCGCTTCAACGGGTCTCCGGCGACGACAGACGACTAGAGAGAGAAAACGCCGGAGGGGAAAGCAACGGCTACAAGGCAGGCGCCAAGTTTCTGTAGGTAGACCTTTCCTTTTTTGCAGCCTTTCATTTTAACCAATAATAAATCTCCACGTCATCATTTACGTATTTATAATTTCTAAATAACGTCATTTATTCTTGGAAACTGGTGGGGTCGTTTTCCTACTGTATAATCAATTCAATGGCTATATCACAGCGACGTTAGATAAAACTTTATTCTTATTAGCCACTGTCTCATCCTATTAGTCTCCATTTAGTCAATAGACTAATACCAGTAATGTCAGATACTCCTCTCCCTAAATGCACACATTTTCTTCTTTTTGTTAATTAAGATTAAAGAATAAATGCACACCTTTTCTTCCCACTAGGTAGAATAGATAATCAAGTTTGAGAGAAAGAAAATGAGAAGATATTTCCAGTTAAATAGTCTATATCAATTTATTTATAAAGATTTAAAGAAGTACTAATGTACTACTATACAAACCTATCTTATAATAATCGGTTCCAAAAGATATGCATGAATATTTGCTGACAAAGCTCAACTAATATACTGACGTTTTTTTTTTCTTGTTTTGAACAAGGTCTCACGTCATTTTCTTGTTTTCTCACACTTTAGTTAATTTTGTTTCCATATGACTTACACAAAACATTATCCCATATGTATAGAGCTCGTTTTTTTAAATTTTACGGTGAATTTGTTCGGGGAAACGTTGTACTCATTTTATAGTAGAATTTTGTAAATTTATCAACTTAATTGGTGGAAAAAGTGATGTTACATCATTTTAGCAAAATTTGTATTACTCGTAGAATTGATATCTAAGTTATTAATCTTTAATGAATCAAATAAGAAATGGAATCACAAATAAATTTTATACAGAAAGAAATTTTGAACACTATTCATATATTATCTAACAAGCAAAAAAACTCTCTTCATCCACAGAATTCACCAAGACTAATTGAATCATATGATTCGTAATTAGTTTTACGATGGTGATGATAAAGGAGAAGAAAATCCCATAGAAGAAGGAGACATCTCGCCACTTGCAGGCATGTCTTGAAGAACCGCCAAAATCCGGCTGATGCTGATGGATCTCGCTGACCGGAAACTGTAAACTCTCTTCATCGTCTTTGACTTTGAGAAAACACTCGAAGATTTAGAGAGTATGAGATACACGAGACCTTGAACCAGAGCAAAAATGCTCACTTTCATTAGCATACCTTCCAAACTTCCATCCATTTATGTGATATTAAGATTTAGACAAGAACTATTGCTCCGTTGACTTCTGTTTTTGTTGCTGCTGTGTTATCTTGAGATCGGTGTGTTGTAGATTGAAGTTATTATCAGGCAAAGCCGATTGTTTATATAGAGATCGAAACAAGAGGGAGCCTTATTTGACCACAGGCAAAAACGTCGAAGCAACGAAATAATTTTTAATACAGTGTGTTATCCGAGTCTTATTATCTGGTCAAAGTAGATGTGAATTTTTTTGGCTAAAAAATATTATTGACGAAATGAAATGTGCTTTAGAAACAAAATGAAGATACAATATCTTATCTTGAGAAACAAGACGACAAAGATCATATTATTTAGTACGGCATGTGCTACATTCTCAACCTAATATACCAATATAACTCACATGCACTGATGCACATAATGGCATGAGAATGCGTGCGTGCGTACGTACGTACGTAAGAGATGGGTTATTTTATAACTTATGCTTACCTTGTAATTAAAACGTGTAAAATCGAATTGAAGCTTTGTTTGTTTTAAATAGTACTTGTACTTTAAATTAGCTGATGACTTTAAAATAAATGGAAAGGAAGATAAATTTGTAAGGAAATGAAAAAAAAAAAAAAAACTTTTCGTTTGGTGTTCAATTGTGTTCACATTTTTTTATAAAAGAATTACGTAAAGCTGAAAATACTGTATATATAAAAAAAATCGGAGATTGACACAATAAATGGACCGGAAAATCTATTATGTGAAGTTAATTAATGACCTTATATTTAATAATAATCGCAGTCGGTGATCAAAAGAGATTATAAGACATACACTTTTGCAGATGGTGATCAATTAGTTATTAAAAAAAACTTCATTTATCTAAATTCACTTCTAAACAATTTCTACGTTTTTTTCATCAAACAAAAATTCACTGAACTAGCGAACTTTTTTTTATCCGTCGTCATTTGACAGCTAGAGAGAATCAACAACAATAAGCATCATCACTCTTTGAGAGTAGTCCTCACTACACGTTGATGTCCCAATGAATAACCCGGAATGTTTCTGCACCGTGGCTGCCTTGGTTTAACGGCATTATTTCCCGTCATTGAATCATTCTTCGCCAATGAATTCTTCACCCCTCGACACAACTTCATGTGCGAATGCATCTTCTCGGGTTTGAACGACTTCCCACATTGCCTATATTATGATGAATTATCGTTCATTATAATTTTATCAATCGTTCGTCGTCACAAATCTCATTGAAAAGAGTGAGAGGCTTACGAGCATAATGGAGCCATAGTTGCCTTGGTTGAAGAAGCCACCTTTGGTTTACAAAATTCAATTGTCTCTTTCATCTTTATACCACTCCATGCCCCTTCGAAGCTTTTTCTATAACCAAAGAACACGTTACCAATTTGATTCAGTAGTTAATATGATATTAATTAGTCCTAGATGATATCATATTTTTACACCAAAGGTGGTGGTTAGACCCAATTATATGTGGCATTAACAGCTAAAAAGTAACGAATTTTATGAATTAAATAATAAACCGAGATTAATTAATTAGCTGGTTTATAAAATATGAAAAAAAAATGAGTGCTTTGGAGCGTACCGAGCATTGTGCTGCTGGTTTTGGTATCTGCGTTCATCTTCCCAAGCCGCACCAAAAGCCCCAGACGCAGACTTATTCAAAGGCACCAAAACGGCATCGTTCGTGTCCAAGCCACCACACTTCAGCAAGTTCCTTAACACGTGCGACGCGCGCGCGCTCGTATAGCTCTTACTCTTGATAAAACTCGAAGACGACGTCGTAGAAGACACACTGTGTCGACCCGGCTCTATATCGTTACCCGACCCGTCTCTGCCGCCGGTTACCACTTTTTTCCGATCGGGTTTCTTAAGAACGATCGTTTCTTCTTCTTCTTCTTCTTCGTTCGTGGTGGATTCCTCGGTGACTGTCGACGCTGTCGCCGTCGATCTCTGAGAGCAGAAGACCGGAGATTCTTTGTGGATCGTCTCCGACGTTAACTTCGACTTCTGTAGTTTTCTTTCTTTAGCGCCTGTTCCGCCGTCACCACTGTTTCTTGTTCCCCAATCTTTCTTTTCCGCATGAGAAGAATCCTCTGTTTTTGATAACCAAGAACTCTAATTAAACTCACTTTATCGAGGAGGAATATAGATAGTGATAATTACACGACATACCCTTTGGAGAGCTAAGAAGAATCTCAGATCCTTTGAGGACATATTCGTTATCGGAGATGGGCGTAATAAGATCTTCATCCAATAAATCTTGCCATACATATCCGTTCTTATATCTCCTGTAGTGTCCCAAGATCCATATGTATTCAAACAATTGATACATTGTATATAAATCGATAAATATCGTAATTATTGATCGAGAATTGAAAATTCATATATTTTACATTCATGTTTTACCTCTTACAAGACCAAGAATATTTGTCCGGCATCGCATCGCCTCGTACATCTGCTAACCATCGCTTCACATCTGCGTTTTTAACACAAATTTTAGATTAGACTGATCGAAATAATTAAGAGGAGATTAAAGAGAAGAAGAGTTAATTAAGAAGAGATAATTAACCTCGAAGAAAGACACCATTGCGGGAGATATGATGAACAGGCAAGAGATGAGGATGGTCAACGTGACCCGAACGGCTAAGGAAATAAACTAATTTCAATTTTCTTACTTCTCCTCCTCCTCCATTACTTTCCATCTCTCTTCTTCTTTTTCGTATTCGATTTTATTCTCTGTCTCTCTTTTACAAAAGAACTTCTATAAGACAAAGACAAAGACAAAGACAAAGCTACTTAGATTTTAAACTATATATGAAAAAACTCTCAAAGAGTTTCACTTCTCTGCTTTTCAGACAAGAAAGAGACAAAAGATCGGACTAACACTAGGGCTTCTTTTCTTCCTTTGTTAACTTATAGACCCTTTTAAAATGATGTTTAGAGACCAAAGTTTAGTTTTTTCACAAAAAGAAAAAACTGAATTTTGAATGTTTATTAGAATATTTAAGTAAAAAAACGAAAAAGAAACCACTTAGACATGTTTATGGAGACAAAACCAAACATTTGCATAGATAGAGATGAAAAAGTCTTTGCGGATTAACGGAAACTGCATGTTTCTCGTACGTCTCCAAAGAACAAACATAGGGTTTCGAGATCACTCACCTTTTAAAAATTATTTTTCTTATAAAAAATAGTATATATTTTGGAAGTTCTTTCTCTTATTTCCCCTTTTATTGTTAGAAGGCATAAAATTCTGGAAGAAAAACACTGAAAATATCTTTAAGAAAAAGAAAGGTTTAGTAAGAAGAGATCTTGCAGGAGAGATTTATGGATTATGGTTATATTGGTCTTGGCTCTTAGCCTATGTAAAACTAAAAATAGAAAGAAGAGAGTTTCTCAGCATATATATCGTGATTTAGCAACTTAACATCTGCATGCACCAATGCGAAGAACAATACAGTATAGCTATACGCGCAATAGAGATTTTTTTAATATATATCTCCTATTATTAATTCTTGCCATTAAGACATATTGAGAAGACCAAAAAAGCTTAAACAAATCTCCATTTTAAGAAAATCTATAGACTAATAAGGAAATGCTGAATTATTTAGGGATACGTGAATCGGAGATAGGAAATAATATGTGTCTTTTTTAGAAAGAAAACAAATTTGAAAATACATGATGAACTATGGAAGATAAACTACTTTATTTGCAATATTTAATTCATATACCCTTGCCTTTTAAAAATCTTTGACCAGGACTAGCAATTATGTAAAAACATTTGCCTTCTAATAACTGGACTTTGAATTGAGCCTAATCCTTGAGAAAGAGTGCTTCTTCGTGTATATCTCAGCATGGTCAATGGTCATTTTAAATAATAACTCGTAGTGATAAATAAGTTTTTCCGTAAGACTAGTTTTTGCATAAGATTTATCAACGCCATCGATTTTGTTCTTTGTGTGTGTTTGTTTTGTGTTGTTGGGGATATATATCAAATGCTGATCATCGTTGAATGAGAAAAAGAAAAAAGTGGTTTCGAGAACATTAAAATTAATCGTTTCACAATGAGAACATTCGAAATTCTCCAAACTGAACACCTTTTGAGGACCATTCACATTCTCTTGGCTAATTAAAACAAAAGACCAACAAAACAGAGATTTAAAGATCATATATGCATAAAACTCATTATCTGTGAATTCCATAATGGTGTTCCTCTTCTTCATCATCCCCATCGTCTTCGTACATGGACTTCATAAATGGCTCACCATCATGAATCGTCTTAGCCCCAACTCCAGCGGATTCTTGATTGCTACCGACGGCCCCGACGACCATTCCAGCAGCTGTTGTTCCGCCTGCTGCTGCGGCTTGTCTGTTAGCGGAAGAGAATTGCTGAATCACTAAAACAGAGGCGTGCATTGTGAAATTCGACGAAGCTAATGTGTCCCCTATTGTGCCTAGCTCAGGACTACTGCTCCAATCGTTTAAGCCGGCTGTCACCGGAGAATCTGAGTTATATCCTCTTCCGACAACGTAAAGATCAAACGAATTCGTGTCTTCCATTTCTCTGATCGTAGAGATCGTGTCTTGACCATCATTGACCACCTTTTCGATATATTTCACGGAAGAATCGTTCATAGTCTTGAAATTGAACTCGTAGATGCACTCGTCGTCGACTTGTTTCTCCCTCTCGTACTCCGCCGCGACTTTCCCGGCCGAGATTAGAGCTTCGCGTCCCGGAACGAATCTTACCACGGTCAGTTTAATCATGTGTTGTCCGACCATCCGCCAGGCGTATGTTAAGGCCTCGCGGTCGTCTGGACCGCCCACGAAGAGCATAGCGACCTCTCTCTTCATGGGTTCGCCACGGAACGACTCAGACCGGACCATGGCCATACCACGGTCCACTAAAATTCCGACAGAGCAAGGTGCCTGGATCAATACGTTTTGGTTGATGTCAGCGTGAGACGAGTTTCCTTCTCCCATCCGACCATCTGGCGTCAAGTGTTTGTGGTAAGGCAATATGATGAAACAAACTCGCTTGTCCTCGGCTAACGCGCAGATGTCTTCGTGCATCGTCGTGTAAGGAGAAACCGCGGTGATGGTCTGCACCGTCATAGCGTCGTTGTTGACTTCCATAGCTTCGAAGGTCTCAGCGATTTGGTCCGACTCTGCTCTGACTCTGTCCGAGAAGTTAGCTTTGGGTTTGCATTCGTCGTTCATAATCAGCAGCGAGGCCGTGGTTCGACCGGTGAGCTCCACGAGGTGAATGGCGAAGACGTTGAGAGGTGACTGTTTGGTAGGGTTAGAGACTTGTAAGAGATTGGTGATCCCAGAGACATTGGGGAGAATATGGACGCAAGCTAAGACGCGAAACTCTGTTTCTCCTTTGATCTTTTGGACCGTACGGTGCTTGTAATGTGCCAGTTTTTTCTTGGGCTTGTATGCAACTGCGAGAAGTGGCTCGACCACTAGTGACATCACTAGAAGAGCGATCGTCATATGTGTGTACATTGGACTATCCAGCGCCTGCAAATGGCGAAAAAACTTGACTATGAATAATTTTTACAATGAAATAGATTCTACTGTATTGCATGAGCATAAAAGAAAATGACCATGAGTGTTACTAGTAAATGATGGACCATAATGAAATATATCTCTATTAGTCATATCTTATTCAATGTGCAACAGAATACATTTACGTTGATTAATATTACCTTGGTATCACGACCGGCGTTAAGGACGACAAGCGATAAAGTTCCCTTGGTGTTCATAAGAGCTCCGATGGCGAGAGCGTCACGCGTAGGCATTTTCATGAATAAAGAGACGACCACAGTGGTGAGGATCTTTACTAAGAAGGAAGAGGAAATGACGAAAACCATCATGATCTTGTCAGTGAACTTGAACATGTAACCAATATCAGCTCGCAACCCACAAATGATGTAGAAGAGAGGCATGAGGATTCCAGAGAGGAAGTCATGGAGCTTCTCTTCGATCATGTTACGTATGATGTGGTCGTGCGGGATGGATAGACCGAACAGGAAGGCCCCTGTTATGGAGTGGACCCCGCATGCGTCCGTGATCAGGCCGCATAGGACCACACCTCCTAAAATGAACCAAACGTGGGTGTCTCCGACTTGACCTGCCTTCACGGTTTTGGCGAATATCCACGTAATTCCCGGACGGATCACAAAGATGCAGAGGATGACGAAGAAGAACGTGGTGAGTATCACATACGGCATCATTTTGTTCCATGTCCCTTTTTTTTATCAAAAAAAAAAAAAACAACAATCATAATCCTTGCATTATACTATGCATATCTTCGCGATATAATTACTTTTTTTTTTCTAGTAGAAAATTGATTAATCGTAGAATTCATTCTATTTTCTGTCAATGGAGAGAGTTTATTTAACGGTTTTAATTAGGTTTATGGCAATTAGTTTGGATTTCAGCCTGCGGTCCCAATCATTTTACTATTTTTGAGAAAATTTACCTGATTTGGCAAACGAGGCGAACCCAAAAACGAGGAGGACCCAAGTGCACAGATCAGTGATAATGGCTGCACACATGGCCGTACGGCCCATGTCGGATCGCAACAGCTTAAGATCCGCAAGGATCCTAGCGAGGTCAGGGAAGTTGGTACAGGCTAAGGCGATGGACCAGAAGACACAACCGGCGATGATCTTGTCAGGGTGGCCATTCCCGGGAAGATAGTAGAGGAAGCCACCAACCGGTAAGGCAACGACAAGTCCCGCAAAGGCAATGATGACGGGTTTGAGCTCGGTGATCCGAACCATCCTCAGGTCCATCCCAAGACCAAGGAGGAAGATGTTGTAGACAAGAGCCAAGTTTGCGAATGTCTCAAGAACCATTGTGAATCTGTAGGGGAATACATGTTTGATAATGAACTCTGTGTTCCCAAGCACACTTGGGCTAAACAATAACCCACACTGCAAAAAAAAAAAAAAAACACAAATTAAATCATCTCATTGCTAGAAGCATATCAATAATAACAAAACAAAAAAACGATGAAGCAAAGGGAAACTCACGAGGATCTGAGCTACAAAAGGAGGAAGATAAAAGGGTCGGGTGAGATAGTAGATAACGCGGTAGCTAAGGTTTGCGACAAAGAGTTGCGTTATGAAAAACGGTAAGGAAGATGCGAGCGTGCTTCCGCTCTCCCATCCCTTTTGTTCTCTCTTCTCAAAGAGAAGCGATTGATCGTAACACACGATTTTTCCATAACGCGATTCATCAATTTGGTATGAAGGATTCGTCGTATTATCGGGGAGTCCGGAAGACATTTTCCTCCTAAAATGGCTTCTCGAATTCCCCAATAATCCGACGGTAATGTCCGTCTGAACCTAACCCTTTTGTCTAAACCCCAACGCTGAGTTTTAAATATACACGTGCTAACTGCGTTAACAACTCATTAGCAACCTTTTTAACGTTTTATTTCAAACGTTGATGCCTAATTATAGGTGATATCTTAGTTGTTCTTGGGGAGATATGATTGACCTCTCATTTTAAAATGGATTCTTTCTTTTCAATGGACGACTATATCTGATTTATGTTTTTCTATTACTGCTTTCTTAAACGGCTGGTTGAAAACGAACACTTTATTCAACACATTTTTGTCCGGAGTCCTAATTGTGTAACATACCTTCGGTTACAGGTTTGGTGCAACGACTAACCAATCCTCTTGATTTAGCTTAGTATTTTGGCCCGGCTCATGAATACTTGTGCTCTATTTTATAAATCAATAGGTTTTCATAAAAAACCCTAAAATATCTAGAAAAGATCTATAGTCATCACATATTGTACGACTAAAAACATCTGTATACATATAAAGTATGGGTTTACGCTATTTTTCTTTTGTTTCCCATGAGATTACCGTTTTAGAATATCAATATCATTTTCAATTTAAATATATATATATATATAATTTGTACATAATTAAATAAAATAAAATATGTAAAATATAATAATATATCAATGATCAACTTATTGTGTAGAAGTTATAATAAATAAGTAGTGTTAAACATAAGACATTTACTAAAACATCAGAAATATATGAATGGAAAAGGTACAAAAAAGAAACAAATGCGAAGATAAAAAAACAAATTTGTTACAATATTTTTATTTATTTTAAAAGAAGTAAACATGTTTTTTCTTAACATACTATAATTAGTCTGTTATCATCATAACCTAACAGTCGAATATATTTGATGTTAACAAAAGTTAAAGAATCAACAACACAAGCCAAAGAAAATAAAAAGAAAGAAGATTCCTTTGACGGACAATTTAATATTCAACAAGAATATAATTCTTTTTTTCCCGAATATTATATTGCAATGCTGCTACCAATCCTATTTTTAGGAAGCGAAAGAAGTCCACCGACCTTTGAAGTAAAAGTCAGACAGAAGACGATGAATTTTTTATTTTTGGTTGCAATTTTTAATTCCTAACTCAAATTTGCCGAAAGCTTCTGTGAAGACCATAGCACTCGTCTGTCATTCGCCTCCACTGCAAAGTTTTAAGGGTAAATCCTCTGTTACAATCTCTCTCTTCTTCTTCTACTTCTTTTTTTTTTTTTTATAGTTTTCGCTTTTCTGCAATTCCAGTTAGTTCTGTGCTTATGGAGATTTGGAAAAACAATCAGATTGGGTGACGAATCCTGTTAATCATCTAGGGTTTGCTTCAGAACGCTTTTAAGTCATTAAATTTCAACACTTTTTGCAGTTAGACCTTCACCCTGCTTCTTCTTCTTCTTTCCCCCAATTTTAGTTCGCCTCATTCGATTTTTATCTCCTCGGTTGTTTCAATAGTGTAACATTTACTTGTCTTTGTTCTTGATACTGTTATTGTGATATGTAATGTACACTTTCGTTTTTTTTGTGTGTGTGCAGATTTTGGATAACTATGATAGTTGAAACGCTTTGTGGTTGTACTCCATTAGCAGTATATTGATCCAAGAACAGCCATTTTTGTCTTACACTGAAAACAAAATCATGCGCGCTCTTTCCAAGTTTCATGTGACACTAATCGCATTCCTCTTCTTCATTTCGCTTCTTTCGCCATTGTTCTCCACTGCGGTACCTATCAACATTTGGCCAAAGCCGAGATTCCTCTCATGGCCTCAACAAAAAGCCATTGCCCTCTCTCCAGCTTTCACCATCATTGCCCCTAAACACCAACACCTTTCCGCCTCCGTAACACGCTATCTCCACCTGATCCGCTCAGAGAGCTACTCGCCTCTCATCACCCGTCCTGTCAAACTTATGAAAGGTTGCACCTTGAGAAACCTTGTAGTCCATGTTACGGATCTTTCTCTTCCGCTTCACCACGGTGTTAATGAGTCTTATACCCTCTCCATCCCCGTCGGAAGCTTCTCGGCCCACTTGTCAGCTCACTCGGTTTGGGGAGCTATGCATGGCCTTGAGACATTCTCTCAGATGATTTGGGGAACATCTCCTGATTTGTGTTTACCGGTTGGAATCTCTATTCGGGATTCTCCTTTGTTTGGCCATAGAGGCGTTTTGCTCGATACATCGAGGAATTACTATGGAGTAGATGATATAATGAGGACCATCAAGGCCATGAGTGCAAACAAGCTCAATGTGTTCCATTGGCATATCACTGATTCGCAGTCTTTTCCATTGGTGCTTCCTTCTGAACCTTCACTCGCTGCAAAAGGATCTTATGGACCAGACATGGTGTACACTCCCGATGATGTCTCAAAGATTGTTCAGTTCGGTTTTGAGCACGGCGTTAGAGTTCTGCCTGAAATAGACACTCCTGGTGAGTCACTCAACGCTTGATTGGGTCTTGCACAACAACTTTGCTTGGTTCTAACGGGATACAGTTAAAATTTCACAGGCCATACGGGATCATGGGGAGAAGCTTACCCGGAAATTGTCACATGTGGCAACATGTTCTGGTTGCCTGCTGGAAAAAGTTGGGACGAGCGGTTAGCTAGTGAGCCTGGGACTGGTCAGCTTAACCCATTGAGCCCAAAGACATATGAAGTTGTTAAAAACGTCATACGAGATGTCGCTAAGCAGTTCCCTGAACCTTTCTTCCATGGAGGTGGAGATGAAGTTATCCCAGGCTGCTGGAAAACCGACCCTGCAATCAATTCCTTCTTGTCCTCCGGTGGAACACTAAGCCAGCTTCTTGAAAAGTACATCAACTCGACGTTACCTTACATCGTGTCACAGAACCGAACAGTTGTTTACTGGGAAGATGTTCTGCTGGATGCACAAATCAAAGCGGGTCCATCGTTTCTTCCTAAAGAGCACACAATCTTACAGACTTGGAATAACGGTCCTAAGAACACAAAGAGAATCGTAGCTGCTGGTTACAGAGTCATTGTATCTTCATCTGATTTCTACTACTTAGACTGTGGTCACGGAGGGTTTCTAGGGAACGATAGTCAATACGATAAGCAAGGAGGCGGAGGCGGTGGCGGGTCCTGGTGTGCACCGTTTAAAACGTGGCAGACTATATACAACTATGATATAACAGATGGTTTGCTCAATGAGGAAGAGAGAAAGCTGGTTCTAGGAGGAGAGGTAGCGCTGTGGTCAGAGCAAGCTAACCCGACGGTTTTAGACTCACGGCTTTGGCCACGTGCCTCTGCGTTTGCGGAGAGCTTGTGGTCAGGGAATAGAGACGAGAGAGGTGTTAAGAGATATGGTGAAGCTGTGGACCGGTTAAACCGGTGGAGGTATAGAATGGTGAAGAGAGGGATTGGAGCTGAACCTATTCAACCATTGTGGTGTCTGAGGAATCCTGGCATGTGTAATGCAGTCCCTGGTGATGCTTTAGAAGATCGATAGTAACAAAAAAGTTGAAAACTGGATCAACTTAAAGAAGTTCCTTTTAAAATTACAAATTTTGGATATTATCTAAAATGTAAACTTTAATCCGGTCGTACATTAGCTCACAATGAAGTAAGTACTGTATGTAACTGTAGCATGTTTCGGAGAGAGAGAGAGACCTTCAGGGTTTGTTATTGTAACGTGATGAAGTTTGGAGGTTTTTGTATGAATAGTTAAAAGTTATGGTGTTAATTGTGAATGTACAATGGTGAAGTTTGGAGGTTTTTGTATGAATAGTTAAAAGTTATGGGGTTAAAGTGGAAAAACCTTCGTTATGTCATTACCTTGTCTTCCAAAGTCTATGCATCTCATTTCTTCTCACGAGACTGAACTTCAACGAGGTCCCTAAAATTTACTGTAATATCCGATACTGAAATCTCCAGGTACACTCTCCGTCTATCTGTCGATTCTTAAAGCCTCAATTTTTCATTCATCTTCCATGGCTGCTCGTCTTTCCTGTATACAGTCACTTCAATTGTTTCGTTACTTTTTATGTCTAATTCAATGGGTCAAAGGCGATTTTTTTTTTTTTTTTTTTTTTTTTTGTAATTTGAATTGATTGATCCCGGAATTTGTTTATCTAGGGTTTTCATAAATTTCCTAATTGTTCTTTCTATGGTTTTACAGAATCAAATGGGATATACAATTGCCCCCTGACTGAAAAGTGATTTTTCTTGCCAGAATAAAAAAAAAAGTCATCTTTAAGCTGATTCCTTGATGTTTTGGTGGAGTTTCAAGAGCTTTGATCCCTGAAGAACTTTCGGATTAAAAAGACTGTTATGAGTGTTAGGTGGCCAAGAGTTTTGACACCGACCCTTCTCTCTCAGATCCTAAAGAAGCAAAAGAACCCAGCAACAGCACTTCGGCTTTTCGATGAAGCAAAAGAGAGGTTTCCGAGTTACGGTCACAATGGCTTGGTGTACGCCACCATGATTGGCATCCTTGGTAAATCCAACCGTGTGTTGGAAATGAAATATGTGATAGAGAAGATGAAGGAAGATTCTTGTGAGTGTAAAGATACGGTTTTTGCATCGGCCATCCGTACATTCTCCAGAGCTGGAAGGCTGGACGATGCCATCTCTCTCTTCAAGAGCCTTCACGAGTTCAACTGTGTGAATTGGACTCTATCTTTCGATACCCTTTTGCAGGAGATGGTTAAAGAATCGGAGCTCGAAGCTGCTTGTCACATCTTTCGAAAGTATTGTTATGGGTGGGAGGTGAACTCTCGGATAACGGCTCTGAATCTGCTTATGAAGGTTCTTTGCCAGGTCAATCGCTCTGATCTGGCTTCTCATGTCTTTCAAGAGATGAACTACCAGGGTTGTTATCCCGACAGAGACAGCTACAGGATTCTGATGAAAGGGTTTTGTCTAGAGGGGAAACTTGATGAAGCCACGCATCTGCTGTATTCCATGTTCTGGAGGATCTCGCAGAAAGGTTCAGGTGAGGACATTGTGGTTTACAGGATTCTGCTGGATGCGTTATGTGATGCTGGGGACGTTGATGAGGCTATTGAAATTCTTGGTAAGATCTTGAGAAAAGGACTAAAAGCTCCAAAACGATGTTACCATCATATTGAAGCTGGGCAATGGGAAGGTACAAGTGAAGGTAGAGAACGGGTGAAACGTTTGTTAACTGAGACTTTGATCCGTGGCGCAATTCCCAGTTTGGATAGCTATAGTGCCATGGCTACTGATCTTTTCGAGGAAGGTAAACTTGTTGAAGGTGAAGAAGTGCTTCTTGCAATGCGGAAAAAACGCTTTGAGCCAACACCATTTATTTACGGTGCCAAAGTTAAAGCACTGTGTAAAGCTGGGAAGCTGGAAGAAGCAGTCTCTGTGATCAATAAGGAGATGATGGAAGGTCATTGCCTTCCAACAGTTGCAGTGTATAACATTCTTATCAAAGGTCTATGCGATGAAGGAAAATCAATGGAGGCTGTTGGATTCTTGAAAAAGATGTCTAAGCAAGTCTCTTGTGTAGCTAACGAAGAAACATACCAAACTCTAGTGGATGGATTGTGCGGCAATGGTGAGTTTGTTGAAGCGAGTCGGGTCATGGAGGAGATGTTGGTAAAATCATTCTTTCCTGGTGTTGACACTTACCATGTGATGATAAAAGGTCTCTGTGCTGTTGACCGGCGATATGAAGCTGTAATGTGGTTGGAAGAAATGGTTAGTCAGGATATGGTGCCGGAATCTTCTGTGTGGAACGCTTTGGCTGAGTCTGTCTGCTTTAATGCCGTTGATGATTTTAGAGAGATACTTGAGCATCTAATTACTAGCAAATGTTAAAATCATCGTTTTTGTGAAAGAAGAAACAAAAAGTGTAATTGTTGAAATAACATATTCATTGACGTGTTTACATAGTAATTTCAATTTTTAGTCATGTATTTTTTAAACATTGAAAAATGATGAATTTTGCAAACTGTAAAAATAAATAAATCAGATGATGGAGTTGTTTGGGATCACTGCGTTTCGAAGTATGACAATGATGCCTTCTCTTATAACGTATCCTTCAGCTTCTCTGTTTCCTTCTTCAACATTGTCTCTGTTGATAATCTGTGAATCATGATTATTTTACAAGAAATTAAATACTATGAAAATTGATTTTTAGTTTTTTATATCATAACGTTTGATGTTTGTTTACCATAACGTTTTTGCCAATCCTGGCATTCTTATCGACAATGGCTCTTCTTATTCGACTCTTTTCACCGATCCCTATCCGAATCTCTATCTTCTTCTCTCTCCCTTTTTTTCTCACTTCTTCTTCCATCTGTAAACACACAATTCGTGTATATATTGTTTTAAAGACTCTAATATGAGAATAATTTAGTCTGGTTTCGATCCAAAAAACCGGCCGGTTTACCTCATAGATATCAGAACCGACGATGATTGAATCTTCGACAATCACTTCGTCGGCGATTCTTGTTCTCATTCCAACCACCGATCCTCTGATGACACATCTCTGCTCGATCAACCCCATCACATACAAGAAGAAACGAAACTGTTAATGGATGCTAGGGTTTCAAGGATTTGAAAAAAGAGAGGTCTGCAAATTACATCGAGAATGCAACCGTCTCCGATAATACTGTCGGTTATTACAGCTTCACTCATGGAACTAGGAGGCAAACACCGAGGCATCGTGTACAGAGGAAATTGCCTGTCGTAGAATCTGCAGCTACGAAATAAGAAACGTTGACTTGAGTCACAAGTTATAACAAATTAAGGTCAATTAGGACTCACATGGGTTATACATTACTTGAACCCCCCAATTTTACACCTCTTAATACTCTCCATGTTAGCTCTATAGTAAGCTCCAACGCTCTTCACATCTTCCCAATATCCATCAAACATATGAGCTTTCACCTGAAAAACAGAGTTTCAGATAAACCTATAGATTGCCTCTGGTCTCTTGTCTCATAAACTTTACCTTCATTCCTTGAGAGATGGCACCGGGAATGATCTCGCTGGCCATGTCTTTCGCTTTTACCAAACACTCTCTCAGAAGCTTCACCATCTGTTCTCGACCGATCACGTAAATCCCTGTGCTTGGGACATAGCGAGAAGACGTTCCATCACTCCTTCTACTTGTTCTGATCTCCACCTACACTATATAACATTAGTCACCAGATGATTCTGAACCATTCAGAACATTATCGATATACATAACTCACCGAGACCAAATCTTGCTGACCCTTATGAGGACTGATAGTGAATCGAGTGACGAGATTTGTGGAGTCAACTTCCATCAAACCGAAACCAGAGTCATGGTCTGTGACAGAGCTTAGTCCAACAATGGTAATATCCGCTCTGCTTTTTCTATGTTCTTCGATTAGCGTCTTGTAATCCATTCGGTAGAGATGGTGTCCAGGAAGAACTATAAACTCAGTCACTGGAAACTCTTCAAATACCCACAAGCATCTTCTTATCGCATCAGCAGTCCCCTTTATGTAACACACAGAGATAACAGAGGTTGCTTTAAGAACACGCAAAAACAGGGGAAAATGATTTTATGTGTCGTAGTTTTACTAAACCTGAAACCATCCTTGATCTTCAAGGCTCTGATAAGCGGCGATTACTTCGACGAATCTGTCTTTTCCGAGTCCGAATCCACTGTAAGCTCTAGAGAGATGTGAGTTGAGAGAGGTGGAGTTAAACTGTGTGATTGCGTAGATCTTGGTGATGTCACTGTTGATGCAATTACTGATGACTGCATCGATAAGTCTGTAGTTTGCTGCAATCGGAATAGCTCCTTTGGATCTGGTTTTGGTCAGTGGATAAAGCTCAGAGTCAGATCCACCTCCGAATACGATGGCCGCCACACTCTGGTTCAAAGGAAGCTGCTGAGAGTTTGAAACAGAGAGGCTTGGACATGAGCTTGGAACGAAAATCTGCTTCAAGTTATAGTTATGTCTCCATTGATTATGATGGCTGCTCGATCTTATCATATGAAGATTGGTCAATTTGGTAGAAGAAGAAGAAGAAGAAGAATAAATCTGCATTTTTCGATTATGAACAAAGATGATTCAAGAAACAAATGGAAAAAGGTTTTGAGTTTGAGAATATAAGGTGTTGGTTTTTGTTGTGGAGATTGAAACGTGTGATGGTGGTTGTGGTGAAAACCGTCCGACATTTTCTGTTGCAGACATATTTTTCGCTTTGCCTTTGCTTGTAGAACTATGTCTTCTGAAAAACCTCTTTAAATTGTCCTGTCTCTTTAGATTTGATTCCTAGCTTCTTCTTTTTTTCTCTCTTTTTTTTTGTTCGTTATTTTAAAATTTCCTGTTATTGCTATTATATAGTATATATATAACATATTTGATCAAAGCTAATTAGTGAAAAGAAAGAAGGACACTAAAAGGAGATCTAGGAGAAGCTTGAAAAAGAAACTTCAGAGGTTTTGTGATGCAGTGTGTCACATGAATCATGGGGAAATCTTTATTATAGAATTTAATTATTTACTGAAAAAGGGATACTATTGCCGAATATTTTTGATTAGGATTGGTTAGATCTCTTGGATATATGAAAAGCCAGGATATTTTTTTTTTAGGGTTCTCTCTAATCATACTTAAGGAATTGTACAAACCCAAAATGCACAATTTCTATCAATTACTTTGTTTTAGGACTTTAGAATGTGAGTTTTAGGTTTGTACAATCATAACTCATGACATTAAAAATCAAGTATTTTGTATGTTAATTATATAACAAAAAAAAATGTAAAAATGTTTTTAAAAATTAAGTTCTTTTTAGGTGTAAAAACATCCAAATGACAGCAACAAAAAAACCAATGCAAAATCCTAATTTTTTTGAGAGAATGTATGATAAGGCCAAAATGGTAATAATATCAAGGAATGGCGTGGATCCGAAGGTAAGCATGCTATGCCTTTGTCTATTTTTTTGTTATTTTTGTCAATCTTTTCAATTAGGCAATAATTTGAGTAAGTCTCCAAAAAAGCACAGAAAAAAAAAAACAAATTACCTGAAAGAAAACAAGTAGTTACAACCACACCTGCGCAGCAAGTCCTCCTTAGGTTTTCTCATGAATCACTAAAGCAGAGTTTCGCTTCCCGGATTTAGAATTTCCGGAATTACTCGTCGTCGGAATAAGAACCAGAGCAAAGTAGTGTTTGCCATTTGAGCGAAAAGACCAGAGGCGAATGTTATCGTTTTCCTGTTGATCGATCTCTTTGACCACTTGATTCGACGTTGTAACCAAATTGTAAACGGGACTGTTGTTCATGTTCCATCTCTCTTAACCTAATTCTATTGGAATTTTGAGTTGGTTCATACGATCTTTCATTATAATGTGGGTTTCTTGACTGATTAGGATTTCGAAGTCACGTTATTTTCCGAGTAATTTTTCTTCTTCCTAAATGGAGTAGACACTAGAGATAGGGAATTTACAAGTGGGGTTATAGATCTTTTTAGCATGCAACAGGGAATAGATCCTGTGCAAAAGGTTTTTTCCGGTTTGGTATTTTTTTCATATTTTGGGAAAATAATAATGAAAATGAAAAATAATCATTGCCAAAACTTCTTAACAAAAATTCTAAAAATAAAAGAAAAAAAGTCGAAATTCCTAATCAAGATCTAAAGATAATAATTCTAAATAAACAAACCGTTAAGGAAAAAACCCTAAAAAACACTCTGAAAACAACCCTTTCTTACTTGGATGGCAAGTCATTGATAGACTTGTCATAGATCACTAAAGCAGAGCTTGTCTCCTCGGGTTTGGATTCTCCGGAATCACTAGGCGGAGGAGGAACGAGAGCGAAATGCAGTTCTCCATCAGAGTGGAAAGACCAGAGGCAGATGTTATCCTTCTCCTTAAGACCGCAATCTTTGACCACACGATTCCACCCTGTAACCAAATTGTAAACAGGTGTGAATCCCCCTGATTTCTTCTTCATGTTCCATCTCCTCAAATTCACATCAAACTCTCTTAGATCAGAGCTCACGAGTTTCGCGTCAACTCCTTTACTGCTAGTCTTTCTGACATGTTGCTGTATGGTCCTTTCTTCCACCGGGTTCAAGAACTCCAAATCAACGATGCTGCTGAAAGGCATCGAGAGACGGTTGTGGCCTGAGCTAAGATCCGTTGCCGTCAGCTCCTTATCTATGATCTTCTTCGGGTCGGCTCCGTTCTTGCTTGCCATCAACCGCAACAGCCACTCCGGCGGCGGCTCTCTCATCCCGGAGGAAGAGGCTGCAGCTGCTAAACAACAACGATCGGTTCTGCCTTTTGCCTTCTTGGGTTGTTTTTCCATGGGAGGAAACAGAGGAGGACGTTTCTTGCGGTTTTTGGTGGGCTTTGTTGGAGATTCCATTAATGGGCCGTTGTGAATATGGGGATCAGGGTCTTCTTTACTCACATTCTCCACTACTGCAGTAGAAGAAGAAGAAGAAGAAGATGTCGTATGAATGCGATTGCTTCCTCTCTTCTTTCGTGGAACTGGACCACAAATTCTCTCATCCCTCTCCAATGGCACCACAACACTCCGCCTTTTCGGCGAAGTCTGTGGTGAGCGACACAACATCAATAGTATACGTGCAGCTTCTTCATCAGAAATCATTGTAATATTCTTCTCGTTGTACGTTTCTTAGTATGCCAAAGTAGCCAACAATATATATATATATATACACGTAATTACGTATATTACAGAGAGATCAGAGATGATGATGCATCAGCTATCTCAATTCTATCAGTATTTGGTATCCTACTTCTATTTAAACTATTGTTTTGCCTTTTTGTGGTCTTTTCCTTTTCCTATATGAGATTGAAGAAGCGATTTCGTGAGTTCTCCGTTCATCCTCTTTCCTTTTTTTTAATGGATAAATAATCAAATTCTAGTATTGGGCCTGTTGGCAAAAGAAAAAAGGGTATTGGGCCCGTTGGTAAAAGACGGGACTGGACTAAGATGATCAAGTCTTGTTGATAATGTAAAAGCTGTTCCGGTTTGATACTTTTTGTCTAAACCGAAATGTCGTAAAAACCGAGTGGTTAAATTCAGATTGAACCGGTGTCTGAAAATGCTTTTTTTTTTTCCGTTTCTTTTCCATTTTTCTGATAGAAATCATCGTCGTCTTCATTAGAATAATCGTTGCCTCTAATCTAGATCTTGGCTGATACCTGCGTAGAGAGGAAGAAATATGGAAAATTAAACTGGAAAACTTTGGAAAGAGATCATTTTAAACGTGGCTGAATAATAAAAGTTTTGATTTTATCTTTTATGTGTAGAAACATCCAAAAAGGGTACAACACAGCCACGATTGCAGACTGGAAAAGAAACCCCCTTTTTTAAGAACTCTCTGCTTCTTCTTTTTTCTTGTCTACTTTAGATCAAAAGGATATTCTCAAAAGACTCTCTCTTTTTGTTTGTAAAAAGTAAGAAATTAGCCTTTTTGGCATTTGGGTCCCTAAAATCTCCGCCGCGATGGAAGAGCGCAAGAAGATTATCATTGATACTGATCCTGGAATCGGTATATCATCCAATTTTTTTTTTTTAAATTTTTTTTATTGGATTCGATTCCGATCACTGTGTAAAGCCTCAACCAATAGTCTCTGTGTCTGTATATTGTCTTTGCTCGGATTTGGAAGATTCGGATCTACTGGGTTTACGTGTCTCTGAAAAACATAAGATCCGGGATCGATCCGAGAACTGTATTGATTTTGACTTTTGACTTCACTCGCTCTCATCATCACTGGATTCATTTGATGGCATGTAGATGATGCAATGGCGATATTCGTGGCTCTAAAATCACCAGAAGTTGATGTGATTGGCCTCACTACTATCTATGGGAACGTCTACACCACTCTCGCCACTCGAAACGCCTTGCACTTGGTATCATTTCTACACTTAATGAAATGGAATATCAAAAGCTCTATAACCAATTGTTTCTGTTAATGAAATGTATATACTAGTTGGAGGTTGCGGGTAGGACGGATATTCCTGTGGCTGAAGGAACACATAAAACTATTCTGGTATGTTTCTACTTATATATATGTTACATTTCTAAAAATATATGGATTGGATGCTATACTGTGTTTCAGATTCAACAATTTTCTTAGATCTTTAGTAAAAGCAGGATCAGTTGAAAATATGCTGCATGTCCCATTAGCTGGTTCACAGCTTCTTTCATTCTCAGATTGTGCTGCTACATTGGCTTTATTATGCATGCTCCAAACCATTTTCAATTATATTAATGTGGGATCAGAAACATGCCATTTTTGAATGAATTGATAGATGTTACTCGTCACCTGTCTTGTCAACCTTTAGAAGTCAAACGATAAGCAGCTCTACATGATGACATGACACTTCTCTTGTCCTCTTTTGGATAGTATAATTAATACTAACAAAATTGTTATATTTTCTTGTGTAAAGAACGGTACAAAGCTTCGGATTGCTGACTTTGTTCATGGAAAAGATGGGCTTGGCAACCAAAATTTCCCTCCACCTAAAGGAAAGCCGATTGAAAAATCTGCACCTGAGTTCTTAGTTGAGCAAGCTAAGCTTTACCCTGGCGAAATCACTGTTGTTGCTTTGGGACCACTAACAAATATCGCCCTGGTCAGACTTTTTTCCTGCAACAATTTCATTTTTTTGTGTGTCTGCCGTACTTATATCTATCTTATTATCTCATTCAAGATTTAATCGCCTTGGTGCAGGCTGTTCAGCTAGATCCTGAGTTTTCGAGAAATGTCGGACAAATTGTTCTTCTTGGTGGAGCATTCGCAGTAAATGGAAATGTAAATCCAGCGTCGGAAGCTAATGTAAGTTCTTTCGCCCATCTAAAGTAATGTGAATATGTGACCTTCCTACACATTTGTTTATACATCACCTACTATCAATTGTGAATATAGTAAATCTTCTTACGTAGAGTTTCTTTAATTACCGTATATATCTTTTTTCTCCAATTTGTTGGCTAGGGTAGATTTTTGGTGATCCAGAAGCTGCAGATATTGTCTTCACATGTGGGGCCGATATAATTGCTGTGGGAATCAACGTGACCCATCAAGTTATTATGACAGGTTATTTGGGAAACATTTTTGCTTGCTTTGATGTATTATATACATATGTATACAAACGCTGCTAAGATAATTATGATGATCATGATCGTTGCTTTTATTGCTCTGTGTTGGTTTCTTCTTACGACCAAGAGCCTAATGTAGTGAAACAGAGCTTACTTAGTTGTGCTGAAATCGATCAGCACTGTTCCACAATACCCACACATCTTGTTACCAAATGATTTCTTATCATCTTAACTTCTTGTTTTTATTGTTGTTGTTGTGTGTGTTTCCGCTTGATTTAGCTGATGACAGGGACAAATTGGCATCATCGAACGGGAAATTAGCTCAATACCTCTGTAAAATCCTTGGTGTGTACTATTCTTATCATCTTGATGCTTATGAGATCCAAGGTACGAATACATCATTTGTTCTGTAGACCCAAAAATAACAAAGTTTCCAAGTGAAAATGTTATTATCTTAAGTCTTAACCTGTGTTTTTTTTTTCCGAAGGTGTTTATCTTCACGATCCTACAACGATTCTTGCGGCTTTCCTACCTTCTCTGTTCACTTATACCGAAGGAGTTGTTAGAGTGCAAACAAACGGCATCACTAGAGGACTCACTTTACTGTACAACAATCGAAAGAGGTAAGATTTTCATATTTACATTCACCAAAACAGTTTAATTCGGAAGTTTGGAAGCTAACCAATTGCATGAAGAAGATTAGAACCAAAAAAACTTTGGACTTATGGACGCAAACAAAATCATGTCATTGTGTGTGTGTTGTTTTAATGTGAACCAGGTTTGAGGAAGTGACCGAGTGGTCAGACAAACCATCGGTAAAAGTGGCAGTGACGGTTGATGCTCCTGCGGTCTTGAAGCTCATAATGGATAGGCTTATGGAGTCTTGACCCATTTGGATTCCTTGATGGTTTCTCTTCTTAAGAGCCATTTCTTCTGTTTGTAATAAGGCTGCTTTCTTCCAAATTTTAACTCAAAATCATTTGGGTACTTATCAACCGAATATTATTTATCATTTGATGATGGAATCAGTAATAAAGTATAGTTTTTTTTTTACGACTACAACTCCAAAGATAAGTAGTATCAACAGCAGATCGTGTGTTTTTTCTTGCCGCCGGTGATTGTGGGCTTTCACAGCCACGATCTCGGTTTGGCTTTTTTGTTTTTCGGTTTTGTTTTTAAGTTTCTGGCTTTGGTAAATCCGTTTTGGATTTGGTTTTTCTGGATTTGATGAAGCTTTCTTTATTAGATCTAGATCGGATCTGATCTGTTTTGATTTTCTTTGCCAGCTTTTGATTTCCCCCTTCTAAATAATTGGTTTGGCTTTGCTCGATTTGGTGTTTTGCTTTCTTTCTGCAGATTTCAATTTCGTTTTCTTATGATGAAGAAGTTAGTTTCGGGATTTCTTTCCCTCGCCCAACAGCTTAATTTCCTGTCTTCACTTTTTCAATAATTCTTTTTCTGGTGGTGCTTTTTCAGCTGTACTTCGTTTTTACTTGGTACTGGGTTGAGTTTCATTTTGCAGAAGATCTGGTGTTGCTTAGTTTTTTGAGTTGTATTTCTCTTCTTCGCTATGGTTCTTTGTGTGAGGAGATCTTTTGTGTTTCAATAAGTTGATGTTTCCGTTTGGTGGGCCTTGGGTAAGGACCGTGACCCGTGGGCAAAGGCGGTGACTCTTGTTTGCAGATTTTCTGGAGTTTTGAAATTGTGCAGATTTTAGTGCTAATATCAAGTTTTAGTGTTAGCTAAATTATTTCTGTTTAAGTTGGGGTTTGTTTTCGGGGAAATTCTGTTTTCCGCCGACTTAGCTTCCGGAGATTTTTCGTTTTTCCGCCGGCTTAGTTTCCCTCTTTTGGGCATAGTTTCCAGGAACATTTTGTTGTTATGTATTTCACCCATGTATTTTACCATGTATTCTACTTTGATATTTAATATTACAAGATGACAAAAAAAAAGTAGTATCAACAAAAGTGGAGACCTTAACCAAACAGCGATTATAATGTTTCTTTTGCGATATTTTAAATTGAAAAAAAGTCGTCATAATTACAGTCGAATAAAGATGACATTGCCATGCATTGCACGATCTCCATGTAGATAATTTTAAAAATCAAATCAAAAGGGATAAATCGGAAAAACTTAAGGGGGGTCCATGAAAATAAAACAAACAAACGTGACAAGGACTGGAACATAATATATTGATAATTTATAGTTGACTGCGTCTTCCTTGGAGAATCACAAAATATTTTTTTTTCTTATTATTTTCTCTCTCAGAAGCACAGAAGAAAGGAACAGACTTTCATGAAAACACATTCGCTTCCGTACATTCGCTTTTCGTCATGCTTCTCCCTCCTTCTCTCTCTCCCGCAACGACGTGCTATCCTCTCATTCTCTCTCTCCTGACTTCTCTCACTATCATTTTCTCTTCGCCATTTCTCCACATTCCCAAATTTCTCCATTTCCCGAGCTCCTTTGATTCTCTCCCGCTTAACCATGGATTCGATAACCATCGAAGAAGAAGACGAGGAGGCGTTGGCGTCGCTCGTCCCGGTTCCTCCGCGCCGTAAGACGCATTCCTACAGCCAGCAATTCGACCTGAAGCCGCACCATCAGATCCGCAAGCACAGCCTCGACGAGGTCCCGAGATCCACGACGTTGGGAGCCGAAGCCGTCTATTTCGATTCCTCCGACGACGAATTCTCCACCGGAGGAGGACTCATCGTCAACGGCGAAGGCGACTGCGACGGAAGCGGCGGAGGTGAGGATTACGCCGTCGTCAAGCCTCCTCCTAATGTCGGTGTCGGTGAGGACGATCTCGAGCCACTCCCGGAATTCATCGGCGCGGGAGGCGGCGCCGGAATATTCAAGGTGCCGGTGCGCGCGGCGGTGCACCCCGGACGTCCGCCGTGTCTGGAGCTGCGGCCGCATCCGCTAAGGGAGACGCAGACGGGGAAATTCCTAAGGAACATTGCTTGTACGGATACGCAGCTCTGGGCGGGTCAGGAGAACGGCGTGAGGTTCTGGAACCTGGAAGAGGCGTACGAGGCCGGGTGTGGGATCGGCGGCCAGGTACGGCGAGGGGATGAGGATACGGCGCCGTTTCATGAGTCTGTTACTACTTCCCCTACCATGTGTTTGGTCGCTGACCAAAGCAACAAGCTTTTGTGGAGCGGCCACAAGGATGGCAAGATCCGGGCTTGGAAGATGGATCAGCCTTGTGCTTCTGATGATTCGAATCCTATAAAGGAGCGAATCTCGTGGCAGGCTCATCGTGGTCCCGTGAATTCCATTGTCATTAGCTCTTATGGTTAGTAGTTTGATTAAATCTGTTGGTTCGTTATAACATATCTGATTGTATGTGGAATGTTAAAGTATCTTCTTTTACATCATTGAATTTATATTTTCGTTGTAGGTGATATGTGGTCCTGTTCTGAAGGAGGTGTGATAAAAATATGGCCTTGGGATTTGTTAGAGAAATCTCTTCTGCTTAAACCGGAGGAGAAACATATGGCTGCGTTGTTAGTGGAGAGGTCTGCGATTGACCTCAGGTCCCAAGTTACTGTGAATGGGACATGCAGCATATCTTCCTCAGAAGTCAAGTATTTGTTAATCGATTCAGTGAGAGCTAAAGTGTGGGCTGTGCAGTCACTCTCATTCTCAATCTGGTAGGTTCTTCTTCTCTACCAAATGACACATCGTTGGTCTATGCTCTGTTCCTTTCAATCGCTTCTTGATCATCATTGGTTCTGTGCAGGGATGCTCGGAGTAAAGACCTTTTGAAAGTTTTAAATGTTGACGGGCAAGTTGAGTGTCGTGTGGACATGCCACCTACACAAGACCAACAAGCAGACGAAGAGATGAAAGCGAAGTTCTTCTCAGCTTCCAAAAAGGAAAAGTCGCCGGGATTTCTGCAGCGATCACGTAATGCCATTATGGGAGCTGCTGGAGCTGTTCGCCGAGTCGCAACCAGAAGTGCAGGAGGGTTTGCGGAAGATACTAGAAAGACAGAAGCTATCGTCTTAGCCGTGGATGGAACAGTTTGGACTGGAAGCATGAGTGGCCTAATCGTCCAGTGGGATGGAAATGGAAGCCGCTTGCGGGATGTGAATCACCATCACAGGCCTGTTTTGTGCTTTTGCACTTTCGGGGATCGAATATATGTGGGATATGCAAGTGGCTACATCCAGGTCTTGGATCCTGATGGAAAGTTGATCGCAAGCTGGGTTTCACACAATGAGCCTGTGATAAAGCTAGCAGCAGGCGGTGGTTTCATCTTTAGCTTGGCCACTCATGGTGGAGTAAGAGGATGGTATGTGACGTCACCAGGACCTCTGGACAGCATAATCCGAACGGAATTGTCTCAGAAGGAAGCTTCATATGCCAGACAAGACAATGTTCGAATCTTGATCGGCACCTGGAATGTTGGTCAAGGACGGGCTTCACACGATGCGCTTATCTCGTGGCTGGGTTCTGTCACTTCAGATGTTGGCATCGTCGCTGTTGGATTGCAAGAGGTGGAGATGGGGGCAGGATTCCTTGCCATGTCTGCTGCTAAGGAAACGGTAGGCTCCTTTTATTACACGTTTGGTTGTGCTTGAACTTGAACTTTTTCCAAAGCGCAAAGCTTGTTTGTGCTGCCATCTTACATATTTGGATCGTGGTTGTAGGTTGGACTTGAAGGAAGTGCTGTGGGGCAATGGTGGATTGATGCAATTGGAAAAGCACTTGATGAGAAGAACACTTTCGAGCGTATGGGTTCAAGGCAGTTGGCAGGTCTTTTGATATCTCTCTGGTAAGTGAAAGTTCAGTTATGAAATGTTGCATTCTCGTGCTTAACTTTTAATAAGCAATTGTTTATCTTCTCATGTTAAACTCCTTGTGTGTTGTAATGTTCTGCTTAGGGCGAGGAAGGAGATTAGAACACATGTTGGAGATCTTGATGTTGCAGCAGTCCCATGTGGCTTTGGCCGAGCCATTGGCAACAAGGTATGTAGTGTCTTGCACTATCCCGGGCTTCATTTTTTCTACTTTTTAAATTCTGATCCGGCATTTCATTATCTATTGTTATCCAATTTGTCAAATCAGGGAGGCGTGGGTCTGAGAATCAGAGTTTATGACCGAATAATCTGCTTTGTGAACTGCCACTTGGCTGCGCATTTGGAGGCAGTAAATCGCAGAAACGCGGATTTCAATCATATATTCCGATTAATGGTGTTTTCACGAGGACAAAATCTGAATAACGCTGCAGCTGGTATGGTGACGTTCCTGTATTTGTCTTGCCCACTTGGCTTTTCCACATATTTATTTTGGCTGCTTTATTCTTCTGGTTTGCCATGGGCCCTCTCTCTTGCAGCTGGTGTCTCAACAGCAGCTTATACTCTAAAGACCACCACTGTATGTTCCCTATCATATCCCTGCTTCACGATTGTCAGTCCCGGATCTCCTTTATTGTCTGTACTGAACAATGTTCCTCACTGTTTCCCCAGAATCCAAGCACCGGCACTGAAGAAGTCAAGTCTGATTTAGCAGCAGCGGACATGATCGCATTTTTTGGGGATTTCAACTACAGGCTGTTTGGTATAACCTATGATGAAGCGAGAGACTTCATTTCACAGCGATCCTTCGACTGGCTCAGAGAAAGGGACCAACTTGGACAAGAGATGAAGGCTGGGAAAGTCTTCCAAGGAATGCGTGAGGCCTTAATCACTTTCCCTCCCACTTACAAATTCGAAAGGAACCGCTCAGGGCTAGGAGGTAAATATGGATTTTAAGCTGCTCTGTTTTCTGCATTGTTTCCCCTGTTTCGGAACAATCTGTGGCTCCAGAAAAATTTTAACTTTCTGTTCCGTACGGCTCCAGGATATGATTCAGGGGAGAAAAAGCGGATTCCTGCATGGTGTGACAGAGTCATATACAGGGACACTCAATCAAGCCCATTCTCAGAGAGCAACTTGCAATGCCCTGTTGTTTCATCTGTTATTATGTATGCTTTCATGACAACCTTTTGTGTTGTTTCTGGCTCTTTCCCGTCTCTTTTAAATTATTATAACATTCCCACCTGCGTGATCCAACAGGTACGAAGCTTGCATGGATGTTACTGAGAGCGATCACAAGCCCGTACGCTGCAAATTTCATGCGACCATAGCCCACGTTGATAAATCTGTGCGGAGGCAGGAACTGGGGAAAATAATAAGGTCCAACGAGAAGATAATATCCATATTCGAGGATCTAAAATTTGTTCCAGAAACAACTGTGAGCACCAACAACATCGTTCTTCAGAGTCAGGACACAGTCATCTTAACAATCGCAAACAACTCAACCACGAGCAAAGCCATTTTCAGCATTCAATGCGGCGGTCACGCTATAGTTAGGGAGGATGGAGAAGAGCCTGACTATAATTCACGAGGCTCATTTGGTCTTCCTCGCTGGCTTGAGGTACTATATTCTCTTTCGACGCCAAGAAAATTTTCATGTTGTGTATTCAAGATTTAACCATTTCGGAAAACAAATTTTTGTAGGTTTCGCCGGCAGCTGGGATGATAAAACCGGAAGGATCCGTAGATGTGAAGGTTCATCACGAGGATTTCCACACAATGGAAGAGTGTGTTGATGGCATCCCACAGAATTGGTGGTGCGAAGACACTCGAGATAAAGAAGCCATCCTGGTGGTGAACATTCGAGGAAGCTGCTCAACTACATCGACAAGCCACTCTATCAAAGTCCGTCACTGCTTCTCAGCAAGAGTGTGCCTCCTTGAGTCCAAACCCACAAACCTAACAAAGAAACTTGGCGGTTCACGTCGCTATCCAACAGATATTAGCCGTAATGCAAGCACCAGACCCAAAACCCAAGACTCGGTAAAACGGGGTAAAAGCTAGTGATGAGCTCTTTGTAACATTCACAGTTATAACTAGATCGTAGAGCAGATGAACTACAAAGCCATCACAAAACAAATGCATCACGTGAAGGAATCGCTTTTATTCATTCTTTGATTCTTTAGAGAATCCTCTTTTTTATGTCGGAAACTGTAGATTTTCTTTGAGAACAATCCTCAGGTATGTGACTCTTGTATACATTTGTTACTCTTACATAAAAAGGCGCCAATTGACTGAGTCTCAGAGTGCATACATTCTCTTCTTGTTAAATTCGCCGTTGAGAATCTCTGACTCTGAAGGCATATGAGAGAGTGAGAAAGATCTCGACTTGCTTCTCTCTTTCCTCATGTTTTTCAGTTTAGATTCCTCAATCCTATGCATAATCACACAGTAACACATTGCACCTATCGTCGTTAGCATAATCGTCCCGCCAATAACCGTTGCACAAATCGCCAGCCAAATATCTTCCTTACCCACAACGATAAACGAGAGAGAAACAAAGGCAATGGATATGAACAAACAAGCCAACCACATGAGCTTGTTGATCACAAACACAAGCTTCTTCTTTGCCTTCTGCTCAATCACCACAACCGAAGTCTGCACCACAACTACAGCCAACGATATGAACAGCGCCAAGCTGTCGAATATAAAGAAGACCAAGAACGGGGCTTCGTTGGCTATTCGAGCTTCTCCTAACAACAACGGTCCTTTTCTTCTGTCCTCTTCATATTGTCCAGGTATGGTGAAGATTGCTGCAAATGCAACTGTTGCGATTAGGACAGCCACAACGGTTGCTGAGTTGATAGCGTTGTTCAGGCCGCTTATGTGAAGCTTCTTCAGTCTCTTTGCGATCCTCTGAACCCTAGCACCTGTTTGGCGAGACTGTTGGAGCTGAGATTGTACCTCGTGTCTGATGTCGCTTACCGTTTGCTTAAGTTGTATAGCTGGGTTTCGAGGCTTCCCAAGCTCTTTAGCTGTGGCAGCTCCTGCTTCCTTCAAAACCGACACGAGCTCTGCGTTTCCAATCTTTACAGCTACATCAAGTGCAGTATCTCCAGCCTTGTTCATAGCATTAAGGTTAATCCCATCAAATGTTACCAAACATCGCACTATCTGCAAGCCAAGACAAAGAAGCAGCTCGTAAGAACTCATGTATAGACTGAAAAACATTATGGGGAAGAAAAATCAAAGATGATGATACCTTAGTACGGCCTTTCTTTGTGGCAATGTGCAATGGCGTGTTTCCTTTATTATCTTCAACGCTCAAAACCGCAGGATCAGGTTTCACCAACTCAAGAACAATCCCTTCTTTTCTACCTTTGACGGCCATGTGGAGCGGTGTTTGTCCCTTTTTATCGGTTCTGAAGCCGATGCTCGCATCGTTACCTATCAAGGACTTGACAACTTCGACATGACCCATCCGCGCTGCAGAGTGAAGGGCGGTTTTACCATTGTTCTTAGCGATCTTAGCCAAATGAGAATCTGTCTTCAAAAGAAGATTCACCACATCAATGTGTCCTTGTGTAGCAGCCGTGTGCAAAGCGGTTGTACACAGTAAATCTGTTGTCATGGCCAGATTCGGAAACGTCTCCAAGAGCTTCTTCAATGCCTCTGCAAAACATAGCGCACATTCAAGATCCGTGTCCAAAGGAAGGTTTACAGTAAAACAAGTTGTTGAGTTTCTTTATACCGAGATGGCCTTGCTTCGCTGCGACATGGAAAGGATCAAAACCGTTCCTAGCTGCAATCGAAGCGGTTTCAAGGTCCATATGCTTCAACATCTCTCCGACAACTAGCGAATGCCCATTCTCTGCTGCAGCGTAAAGAGGAGTCTCTCCTTCTAGATTCTGATTTGACAACAACTGCTTCAACTCTTCAGTACCGTTACAACACCGAATCGATTCCATAACCTTTCCCAGATTCCCCGTTCGAGCTCCGATATGAAGAGGAGAGTCTCCTCTTTTGCCAGGTGACTCATTCTTCTTCTTCCTCTCACCACCGCCATTCATGAAACTCAGCTGTCTCTCCATAACTAAACGAAAGCTTTTCTGCTTCTCAACAAACCCACGGACGCTTCTCTGCCTCTCCATTGTTGCCCTCTCTTGTTTCTCCATAGCTCTTCCTTTGATTCCATGTTTCTCTACATTCCCAGATTGGAAACTAACTTGCTTCTCCAAAGCTCCTCCCTTTCTCCCCTGATTTGCACCAACGCATCTGAGACTCTCTTGTTCCTCCATGAATTCACCTTGAAAGCTATGTTGCTTCTCCATTACAGGAGCCAAAGTACCCATCTGCCTCTCCCTTATCTTCTTCCTACTACTACCTAATTTCTCGTCGCTATCAATGAAAGCATCAAAATCAAATTACTAATCCACTTGTAATTACCGAAAATTCAAAATGAGAAGGTATCTAATTACACAAAGACCTCGAAGAACAATTTTTTCCCCCCAACCAAATCTAAAAGATGCCAACTTTGTTCGTCTCGCATTCGAAGAATCCGTGAGATCTTTTCCAGCAACCCTTGTTTCCGTAGTAAAGGAATCAGGTGGAAAATGAAAAACCTTCACTTCCTTGCAATTTCCAGATTCTTTGTAGAAATTCAAACAGATGTGAGGACAGAAGATCGAAAGAAAGAAAGAAAAAGGTTGCAGCTGATTTCAGTAGAGTGTAGTACTAAGCATCTGAGGGTTTTGTAAATCTCAAGGCTTTTTTTGTGTGGTCCCACATGTAAGAATCTAAGTCCTAAGCCATTGACGAAGCCCAGGAAGATGCGCATAGAGAGAGAGAGAAAGTGTCAGCATCTTCAGCTGTTCAACGATTTAGGAGCCATCCCTTTTTGGTGGTCCTTTTCTTCATTAATTTATTTCGTTAAATTTCCAAAATCTATTATAATTATTATAGTATATTTAATTAGGGGTCCAGTTAAAAAATGAAAAGCCACATGATAGCTTTATTTTCTTCCCTTTCTTCTACATATGTCTTTCTATTTTTGCTCTCCAAATCAAGCTATGTGACAAGAAAAAACAAACACCTATGTGAATGTGACAGGTCAAAAGTCCTCCACTTAAACAATATTTTATTAATAAATAATTTTGTATACTTGCATGTTACAGAATTTGGTGTCTCGTGTTCATAGGCTTTGTTACAGAAAATAAGTTTTGAGCCCAATCGGTTGATATCCAAAAGCCATTGGGCACAAAACTATCTGGATCCCCTAATTAACATTTTACCATATTTCAATCTCACACCAAATAAATTGGAAATACCTCAATCCCCTAATAACATTTTACCATATTTCATCTCACACCAAATAAATTTACACCAAGAATATTTTGATTTTACCGGTTTAGACAACTAGTAGGTTGGATAACACCGAGACTAGACCCAAGAGCATTAAAACAGAAGGAAGAAGCAGGAGTTCCTTTGTTGTAAGTAAGCTTAATGTCTTGTAACGTGATTCCTGTACATGGATTGCTCTTGCTGCACACCAGCTTCATCGCTTGCTGTGTCGCCGATGTTCCTTGTATGTTCTTATACGTCACTTGGCTTATCTTCACCCCCGAATGCTAATACATATTACATACGCATAAATATTTTTACTATTAGATCAATTCAACAACGTTTGAATTGGATTTAGTCTGATGATCATCAAAATGTGATATATACCTCGGTAGGGCAACCTTGGTGGGAGGGACAATAGTTTTGGTCGATGATGATAGGGTTTTGGACGTTCTTCATGATTAGGTTTTGGAAGAAGACGTTCTTGACGAATCCGGTGCTAGGTCTCGCCCACGACTTTATCCTCACGCCATTTTGTGTTCCTGTGAATACTGAACTCGATACTGTCACGTTCTCTACTCCGTCTTCGTTCAAGTCCTTCGCCAAGCTCCCGATGCTGCAAGTTATCACATAGTCACATATATAAATTTATAGCCATCTCAAACATACTTAATGTTGTTCATTAGGGAAAATAAAGACTTTGTACATAATCCAAAAACATTGGACAGTTCAGTATATAAAGTGTGAGTTTGTAAAAAAGTCATTCAAATATATTAATCGGTGTGGGTGTGACACAAATGGCATACCTAACCCCGTGACCTGGGCCACACGCAAGTTTGGAGATGAGGAAGTTGCGGGTACCAGGGCCGATAGCAACACAATCGTCTCCGGTTTGAACGGTGCTTCCGGTGAATGTGACTCCGGTGGAGAATTGAACGTGGAAGCCGTCGGTGTTAGGGCTGTTTCCGGGAGCCAATAGCTTCACGTTTCGGACGGCCACATTGGTGCAACCGTTGAGGGTCATATGTGTGACCTGGCTGTTCATCGATTTCACTCCACTTATGATCACGTCTTTTCCCGAGTTGAACGTTATGGACTACAATAAAATGCACCAAAGTCTTTATGAGATTGGTTTCTCCGGTCAATTATATAGAATTATATATGAGGTGCTCTATTACATTTTGTTGAATTAATAATTAAAAACATAACAATCATAACTCGTATAAGTACCAATTAAAATAATATTATCATTATTTCCTTATCTAAAATTAATTATTGTAAAACTTACTATAATTGTATGGATGCAATTGACTATTATTACTAATGAATAAATAAGGCTATGGTTGATCTTTTGCATTATGGTGCTTGTGCTTATGTATAAATGAAATCATCATTGTATTTACGAAAGTAAAAAAAATTATAATCTCTTAAAATATTGTGAAATTCCGTACATATTTTAATATATATCACGCATATACGTAAGTATGCATATATTAAAAAGAAACTAGAGATAGAGAAGAACTGCATACCCTAACACCGGGAGGACAATTCTGACCAGCTTTCCGGCAAGACCAGAACCCACTAGCTCGAGCGTCGAAAGTCCCACCTACAAGTGAGATTTTGCTAACCTTGTTGAAGAGAATCCAGTAGCCGGAGTTTCCAAATGCCCTGTAATCTGCCGGAGCAACGACGGTTCCGGCCACTTGGAACTTGAGTTTGCTCTTGCATGGCCCTCCAAACGTTATTCCCTTCACCAGAAATGTACCAGTCGGAACCATCACAGTGGCTGAAACTGCAGAGCCACAAGCCGCTTGCCATGCCTTGAGGAATGCTGCCGTCGAGTCCGTGACTCCGTCCGGTTTGGCTCCGAAGCTAACGACGTTGAATACGATGGATGCGCCTGTTGAGACATCGATTAAGGTGAGGAATGTAAAAAGAAGTGGTAATGTAATATTTGATTTCGTCATTGTAAATATGTGAGCTTGAGTTTGTGTGTTGTTTATTGGTGGTGATGCATGGTTGTATATATAGTGCATGAACGGTTCGTTAATGGAATCTGTTGTACAATTAAGTACATGTGCGATCTATATGATAAGAGTTCGTGAAATTATTTGTAATTGATAAAAGAGTTTACATTTCCAATCATGAGGTGCACACATGGTTGATATATAGTTTTAGGAGCAACGGTCGTTGAATTAACGATAAAATGATTAGTGGTGTATAATATCAGTTTCCAGTTATATATCATTCTTGGTATTTGGTGTAGGTTACTTTTATTTTGATGATAAGAAAATACGGTGGAACTTACTGCACGGTTGATTTCACTATAAATATTATATAGGTCGCATAAATTGTATATGTAACGTTAAATCGATAGAGAAACAACGAATTTACATTGCTACAATCGAATCCATAAATGATTTGTCCATCAGCCATTTTCTTGCAGCGCAATGCTAAATTTCTGTTGTAACAAAATTAGGAACATCTTCACAATCAAGCTTTTTTAATTAAAAGTTTCAATATAAGTAAATATTAATTAACTTGAGCAATCTTTCAATTATATACCAAAATATCGTATGCAGCTTGCGTAGTCACGTACGTATATGCAATGCACGTCAGACCAAAATCGCCCCCGTTAACTAATGTGAATTTTAAAATACACTTTTTAGAAAAATGTATATATATGTATATATCAACATATATATCAACATATTTTATACCACATGACATGTGATTAAGTAGCTGTTGACCCAAAAAAATGAAAGACATGTGAATAACTAGCTCGCAGATTATTGAAACTAACCCAATCATATTCCTTAATTATTCTGATCAGAATGACAGAAAGTCAATATATTAATAGAAGCGACTTATTTATTATGTAGATGATAATGCGAAAGATGTAATTAAGTAAATGAAAATAGTGTGATTTACTGCTATCAAATAGTGTGAAATTTGTAATTTTATCGTGAAAAACTACCAAATTTCAATGTGTAAGTAAAGAAAAAGAGATAAAAGAAGAAAAAAAAATACTACCAAATTATAGTTAAGTAGATAAATATTTGAGAAACATAGAACGGCTTTTGGGACCAGTCCATTAAATGGTCAGAAGATTCGGATAATATATGTTTTTTAGCAAAAACACTATAAAATAAAATTGAAGCAGCGGCAAAGAATTAAGTAAAATCAGTCATGTCCACATGTGAGTGGAGGAGGAGAGGCGCAGCATTTGACGGAGAAAGAGACGCCGGAGCTCTCGGATTAGTAAGATGATTAAGGAGGCCAAAATTAACAACAACGACAAATATAGTGGCAAAACGATATAAATAAAGTTGCGTGATTTAAATATAAACATGGCATCTTGCAAAATAGTAAAATAAAATCATTTGTTATTGGACAAAATAACATAATATTTGTTTTTAAAAAAATCATGTTATTGTAAAGAATACACACAAATCATCTTCATCATCTCTACAAAGTACCAACTACCAACCACCGGTGGTCGATTTCGATTTTTACGGCAGATTGAAGAGCTGGTATGGTGGTTATCAGCAGACCATCATCTCCTCCAATCACTCACAGCTTCTTTGCGTATTCTGCTCTTGACATCTTCTTCTCCTGCAAAACATCACAATCACATAGACTCAGTAATACAATATGACATACAACTTGACAAGGGTAAAAAAGCAAGAACTCAAACAGTTTACTACTATACCCTAAGCTGTTGGTAATCAGCAGTGAACAAGTTCATGTCTTTCTGGACAATTTTGCTTCAGATTGCATCGAACAGCAGAGGGAACAGCAGAGGGCCTCTTACTGCTGGAACCGGCATAGTTGTTTGCTCTTCCTCAAGACCTTCGTTTGTCCCCTGTTTTAAACACTGTTTCAGGTCCCAATCACCTCTTGTGAAGGAGAAACTTCCTCACAACGATTAACTTGTGTGACCTACCACCAGCTAATTGGCTTCCCTTAGTTCCTCATCTACAAGGTAATTCTCTATTATCTCATCAACAGGATCCGCAATTGTATCTGGCCTCCTTCCCTTGTATTTTGTATCACTGAAGAAGTCCAAAATCTCTTTATCCGCAGCTAACCCTTCTCTTTTCATCTGCTCGAACACTTCTCTCGCCTCCACGAACTTCTTCCTCTTGAAGAACCCTCTAATGAGAGCGCTATACGCGCTGGAGGAGACACTAATACCTTTCCCGTTCATTTCCTGGAACAAAAACCATGCCTCCTTCATGTTCCTCGCCTTGCAGTGGCCTCGTATTAGGTTCTCGTACGTCTTACCATCAGGCCCTGCTTCCCGAGAACACATGTCCTTATAGATGGCAGTTGCCGCCTTGAGATTGTTCCTAATGCAATACTGCTTCACCAGAGAATTGTATGTGGTTGCATTAGGTGCTATACCTTTTGCCAGCATCCAATCTAGAAGCTTCTCACCATCTTCCAGCATCCCGTGCAAACAAAAACCGTTCATTAGGACGTTGAATGTGACAACACTAGGCTGAAGCCCTCTCCCGAGCATCTCCTTCAGAACCTCTTGAGCCTTCTCCATCTCCCCTGCTTTACAGTAGGCGTCCATTAAAGTTGTATAAGTGACAGTGTCTGGCTTAAATCCCGCAGCTTCGAAATCTCCAACAAGTTTAACTACCTCCTCGATATTCCCCGACTTACACAGACCATTCACTATAGAATTATAAGTAAAAATATTTGGTTGAAGACCTATTTTCCACATTTCATGGAGAAGGTCGTTCGCTGATTCCAAGTCCCCTTCCTTACAGAGACCATCGATCAATGCGGTGTATGTCACAACATTCGGGGAGCAACGAGCCTGAACCATGTGATTGTGGACACTAAATGCATCTTTCATCTGCCCTGCTTTGCAATATCCATGTATGAGTTCAGTAAAAGCAACGCTATCCGGTTCTAAACCCCTGCAACGCATCTCATGGAACAGTTTACTCGCCTCCACCATGTCGCCAATCTGACAAAACCCTGATATAACAGCAGTGTATGTCAAAACATCCGGTGTAATATCCAGAGACTGCATCTCGTAGAAAAACCTCGACGCAGACCGAATATCCCCTCGCTTGCAGAAACCATCAATAAGACTTGTGTATACTACAGTGTCAGGAAGTACGCCCTGCACTATCATCTCTCGAAAAGCCTCTTCCGCTTCAGCTAGCTTACAAGTCCTGCAGAGCAAAAGAATTATGCTACCATAGGTATAAGAATTAGGCTTCAGCCCCTTGTGTCTCATTTCTTCAGTGAGCTTCAAACACTTTTCAAGCTCCCCAAATCTACAGTACCCGTTTATCAATGTGCTGTAACTGATCACATCAGGGGTGTATCCCTTCAGCTCCATAAGCAGGAGTAGATGGTGAGCTTCGATGATCCTCCCAAGTTGACAAATACAATGAAGAACAATGTTATAAGACGTAACATCCCAGCAAACACCCACTCGAGAGAATTCCCTGAACACTCTGATTGCTGTTGCTGCAGTTTTCTTGCAGCCTTTCGAAAGACGGTCAAGGTATAAGTTGCAAGAATCAACAGAGAGAACCAACCCGTAACTCAACATCTTGTCAAAGACTTTCCTCGCTTCACGGAGCATTCCAAATTCAACGAGTACTTGGAAGAAGACATCGAATACATGAGGATCCGAACCCCAGTCCTTGTAGGTGTACACTAAAAGATCAAAGAACTGTACAAAGGAATCAGAAGCATTCAGCTTTGGTCTCTCCCAGAAACTGCTGACGAGAGAATGTGCCACCCTCAGATCCTTGGCTGCCACAGCAAGATGAGTGACAATGCAAAGGGATTCAAGGTTAGAGTCGCGGCGGGAGCGTGCCCAGTCAAAGAAATCAAGAACCAACCTGTAATCTGACTGAATCTTCATCAGAACCCAGATCAAATGATCAGTCTTGAACTTGCATTCGTAAGGCTTTAAACTCCGCCTGAGAGGCTCAGCGCGACGCAGCTTGATGACGTTGGTGATTTGGTGTACCAATTCAGAGTCTCTGACTGAAGGTTTCTTGGGAGAGTAATCAGGAAAAGGTCTGATGTCAGCTATCGTTGAGAAACCGAGTCCACGAGCGTTGGGAGTATCTCGGAAAGACCGAAGTGAAGAGAGCTGAATGAAACTTCCAAAGGCAGAGAGAGTACCTCTTTTCATCACAGACCAGTGGATATGGCTGCTTCATCGTTCCATCGCAGAATAACACGGCGCGAGCTAACTACACAGTCGAGGAGGCATGAGGAGGAGAGGAAAAGGTGTTCGAAAAACCCTAAAAATCTCTGAAGCGAAAAAACTTGACCCGACCACAGCGGGTGATTGGGTTTCGACGTGGGTTTGGTTTGAAACGGTAAATTATAGGAATTGCGTCGAGAAATTGAAACTCTCCCAGTCTCTCCCTCTTTGAGGAGAAACAAAAACCGTTCTTTTAAAAACCAAACTCACAGCGTGCGACTGAGAAGGACGACTGATTTTGGCATTTTGGTTGTCGGAAAGACTGAGAAGGACGAACTTACTTTCACTGCGTCCTAAAGCCCATTTTAGGATTTTGGTTGTAGGAGAATCTTAAGAATTTAAGACGTTAAGCCCATTAAGATAATCTTACTTTTATGTGTGTGGCGAAAACGATTGGGATTTGGGATGCATATTCAACTTTAAAAAGTTTCATGTCAGCTAGTCAATCACTGAAAGCGAAGTTATGATTTGTTTAACAAAAAGATCTTTTAATCGCATAGAAGTAATATAAGATTTCTCAAAACATGGCGCTTATAGAATTTTCAATAAGTACTCATCATATTCAATCATATAAATAACTAATCTTCACTCTTATGATCTCATTTGGAACTTTAAACAGAGAGCTAAATAGTTTACAAACGAACCCATCATCTTAATTTATTATTAGTATTACAGTCAAAACAACAACAAACAAAGTGAAAAAAAGAAGAAGATTGAAATCTAATAAAAATACAACCATGTATTTGCAATAGACGACAATTACTCTTTCTAACATCTCAAATCAAATCCTTCAACAAAACATAGAAACAAACTGATCGATGCTCTTGTCAGAGCTACCTCCTTCCGAAACAGCCTCTCGAGCCAACACTTTCCACTTCTCAACATTTCTTCTAATCTCTTTCCCTCTCTCTCCCTCCATAACTTCTCCCACACATCTCACAACCTCCTCTCTTCTCACTAACCCATCAGCTTCTGCCTTAACCCTAACTCCAACCTTCCACACATCCTCAATGAACTTAGCATTCGTGGGCTGATCCGTCCAATGAGGCATGCCAATCATCGGAACTCCCAAACTTAGTCCTTCTAACGTTGAGTTCCATCCACAATGTGTCAAGAAACAACCTACCGATTTATGCGCAAGAACTTCAAGCTGAGGGCTCCAGCTCACAACCAGTCCTTTCTCACTGATTTCCTCTGCGTAGTATTTTGGAATTTTGGCTGCCTCTGTCTCTCTCACTACCCACAAGAAGAAACATCCCGTTTTTGTCAAACCTGCTGCGAGTTCCATCATTTGATCTTCGTTTAGAATCACTAAACTTCCGAATGATACATAGACAACTGAATTAGGCTGCTTTGAGTCTAGCCACTCGATGCATTCAGTGACTTTCGCATTGAAGAGGCTGAATCCGTAGTTTTTGTCTTCGGACAGTCGCTTGTCTAAGTACATAGATGGAACCGTTGGTCCTATGTTCAGGACTGGCCACAAGCTTTTGACCCATTTCAACAACTAAAAGTAGCAAGAAAAAAGAGAGAGAGGGAAATTAGACCATAAATACATTGATAACGAGGATGAAAAATAAATCTAGAACAAAATAATGCCAATTAGTATCACAACTTTAAGTTTATCAAATCTAGTAATTTTTGCATTTTAATTTATGATCTAGTTTGTAACTAAACTCAAAAAAAATCTCGAATAACAACTAGTCTAATAGTTTTCTTGAAATTATACCATTTTGGGATATATTTTCGGTACCTTTTCCTCCAATCTATCGAAAGTGTTGCACAACACAATGTCGACTCGATCAATGTTTGAGAGCTGGTCGACGACAATCCTTAGTATATTGGGGTACGAGGACGATTCAGAGAGGAAAGACGGCAAATCACTCGCATTCAGCACAGGAAACGCAGGGAAAGATGCTAACGTCGAGTGACCGTACTTTGTAGACGGTATAGAGAATGAGCCCTTGAGAACATGGTAGTAAATAGCTGAGACAAGCCAAGGTTGCGTGAAAAACGCGGCACCGCGCAAACCATGACCATGAGCTAAATCAAGAAGCCATGGCATGGTGGAGTCGTACACGAGAGCCCTAGGAGGATTTCCCGACAGCTTCATGTCCTGTATCAACTCCGGTAGTCGTTTTTTGATGCTTGTTTCTACTCTTTCCATGTAATCATCGAGGTCTTGTAATGGGTCCTCGCCATCTTGGAAGCCATTGGTGATGGGGAAGACAGTGATGGAGTCATGCTCTGTTTTGTATGGCGGAGAGGGTTTGTCGGAGACGAGAACAAAAGTGGGCTTGAGACCCTTTGAGGCTAAGCGTTTGCAGAACTGGGACATTGGAGTTAGGTGGCCTTGTCCAGGGAAAGGCAAGACGATAACATGAGATCCTTCAATCATTTTTCTATTTCTTTTTAATCTTTGCTCTTTTGTTGTTGCTTACTCTAGCTTGATGTTTGGGGCATGTGTTTATATAGCCATAAGATTGGATTAGAGGACTTTGATTTGACTACGTCTTTAGTGGGGCGATTCCTTGGACTAGAATCCAAAAGGGTAAAGGTTTCGTGGCGACCAAGATGTGTTGAACAGAGACCGAGGCCCACGATAATGCAACCCCACTACTGTGGACATAAATTACATAATTATTGTTTTTTATTAGCTTATCGTTAGGATGTGACATAGTACGAGTGTACAACATATTAACGTATCAATATAATAATTTGCAGCATATATTTGGTTCATTTTGTCATCTTCCATGAGAGAGAGACACTGCATCTCAGCTGAATATTACTACTGTTGATGTCATTGCTTATGCAATCCGGATCCAAATTGTATAAGTATAACATTGATAGAAAACCCATCACAACCATCTCGAAATTAAAGCTAATATTTATTGAACTTTAACTTCTTATACGTTAAAAACAAATCTTTTAAAATTCTTCTTTTTTTAGCCAAACTTTAACTTATCTTTAAAAACTTTACTGATAGCTGCTTGCCTGCTTGTGGAATTTTGTTTTAAATGTGAATAGTATTTGCCTCGATCGATATACAGTTTTTGAAGACTAATAAACATCAAATTATAATTGATAAGAAAGATTTGTTTTTCTTTCTTATAAAAAAAAAGACGAGAGAAGAATTGGTTGTGCAAACTATATAATATATAAACATATATTTATAAATATCTTGCTTTGAAGAAGTGATTCTTTGATACTGAAAGGGACTGGGGTCCTAGCCGACTTTTCTTTCTGGAACCTCGTGAGTCAGGACTGTCAACTGTGCCGTCAGTTTCCTTCGAATTCCGAGTGGCCACCGTTATTAGTAATTCATATAAATAAATAAATAAAAACATTTACTTGCATATATAATATAATAATATGAATAGCATCGTCTCACCAATACAGACTATACAGTTATCAATCTGTAATAGAGAGTAAAGTGGCGAAGTTTTCTAAATTTTCTTTAATAGGTTAACAACACCAATTTCATATAAATAGATGCCTGTCTTTTTTAAAAGAATCTGAAAATTTTAAATTTTAATTTCTAAGTGTTGCTGAGCTTTTGGATGTTCATAATTAAATGGGCTTCCAATTCATAAAATGTGCACATAGCTTCCAGGACCCGTAAGGCCCAATCTACGAAAAAGCCACGTCCTCATCCATCCACGTGGTAATATTTCATTGGTCTGTCAGTTGTATCCGTCACGGCCAAGCGCTGCTGAGATCATTCTAGATCAGTTTCTGCAATAAATTAAAGTTGGCATTTGACCCCTCTATTTGTTTTTCCCTGAAACCCGTGAAAATAATCATTGCTTATCACTTATCTATAAATCAAAACAGAAAAAGAGTTTAAATTACTCAAATCACTGATTTTTTTCCCCTTAACGCTCTAACTCACAATTTTAGTATTACTAGATTATTTATTTTATTAACTCAACTGGTTGTTGTTTTCGTTCTTATCATTCTTGATTAATCATTCTTTCCCCTAATAGTATCTTCTATATTAAGGTTAAAGATGTGAACACCTTTATTTCTATCATATTCGTTTTGGTCGGTATTATTCTTTTCACTGGCTAGTCGGTACGATAATGTGATAAGAGAATACGTATTAATTATATATTTAATTAACTGATAAGAGACATAATACAAAAATATATGGTGACAAGGATCACTAACTTTTAGTCTTTAGTGCAATTCAAGATCAGCCAGAGATGTCTTTCAATCTTATATTTTTCCTCAAATCAATCTAAGTTAAAAATTAATTTCTAAAAACATTCGTGGCCTTCATTTTTCCGCTCTCCTGTTTTTCATTTCTTATTTTCATCCATTTGTCTTTTATATCGGAATGCCATAAATATATTCTCACTTTAAACGACGACGTTTCGGTACGTTATGTATGCAAATTTGCTACTTTCCGTGTCCTCTGATATCTGTAATGTGATTTACGACGAAACCACTTGGCACCAAAAAGCTTCTTCTCTCTTTGCTTCCATTGTCTCTCTCCTTACGATTGATTATTATAAACTTCTTAGTAGCGAGAGTCGAGTTCGTGATTGAAGATTAATGGTTGTGAACTTCACTTAGTACTGCATCATCAAAGAGATGATTCTTCTGCCGAATACTGGGTAAACCTCGGATTCTCACTTTCTGGGTAAGAATGAAAACGATTCTTCCTTTATTCTTCCTCTTTTCCTTGCTTCTATCATATTTCGATTTCTTCGTTTGTGTGAGCACTTTTTCGTCGCTCCACTTTCTGGGTTTGATTGTTTACTTTTTCTTGGTATGAATGTTTTTGATTGGCTTTCTTTCATGACTGAGAACATTTCCGTATAATTTCACCTACTGTTGATTTGATTTATCGGGTCACCACAATGTTCGTGCTCGTTGTTCTTTCATTTCTTGGTCTTGATAATCTCTGTCTCTTCCTCTGGATTCTCATTAGCGTTAAGGATACTAATTACGAGAATCACTTTTGAAATCAGGTTTCAGTTAGTTCCTGCTTGGGGCACTGTTTGATGTTTTTCGAATTAAAAAGTCCGGCAAAGTTGCTAACTTTTTTGTTCGATGGTTATTCTCAAGATGGATTCTTGACATTTATGGAGATTTGATTCAAAAGTCCTGAGATTGCACTTGAGGAGTAGGGGATTCGAATCTTGGTTAGAGAACACTTGAAGTAACGCTAAGAGAAAGCTGAGATCGACTCTTAACTTTTTGCTTGCTTCTTGCATTTGATGATCTCAGCAGATTGAACAACAGTTTATCTCTCTACTAACTTCCTCTCTGTAACAGAATCCTATTGTCAATTCGCGGGTTTGATTCGATGGCTTCTTCAGAAGTTTATACTTACTCAGTATCTACTCATGGCGATGATACATTCTCGCAAGTGTTCCATATCGGAGATAAAGAGTATTACTATGCTCCTGCTGATGATGAATTGGCTCTGTTTCACTCTACTACTACACCGCCAACAATCCCTAGTACCAAGAACATTCCAGAACCTCCTCCTCTTCCTTGTATAACCTACCAACGTTTTCAAGCTTCCAGAAGGAAACCTTCGAGCTCATCACGCCTTGTGCCTAAAGAAGCAGTAGAAACTTGGGATAAGCTTTTCAAAGAAGGAATTGGAGCAGATACATATGTTGAAACCGATAACAAATCTCATTTTCCAGCCCATACAAGTATCCTGGTGAGTTTCTGTTAAGATATTACACTTACTTCAACTGGTCATTGAGCTCATTTTCGAGTCCTATTGAGGGATATAACAAGTTTTTGTCTTCTGCAGGCAGCAGCATCCCCTGTTATGGCGAGACTTCTAAATCAATCAAGGGATAAAAAAGGAAAATCATTTCTCAGAATCCCTGGAGTTCCTTGTGAAGCAGTCTACATGTTCATTCGGTTTCTATACTCTTCCTGGTATGTCTTATGTGTTCAAATGAAAGATGCTTTCGCAATGCTAGTTGAGTATTTTCTCTTCTGAAAGCATGCCTGATTTAAAATTCCTGCAGCTACGAGGAGGAAGAAATGAACAAGTTTGTGCTCCCTTTGTTGGTTCTGTCACACTGCTACTCGGTCCCATCTCTTAAAAGAGTTTGTGTAGAGGTTCTCGATCAGGGGTGGATTAACAAGGAGAATGTGATTGACGTGCTCCAATTGGCACGAAGCTGCGACGCCACAAGGATTTGCTTTCTCTGTGTTTCAATGGTCATCAAAGACTTCAAATCTATATCTTCAACAGAGGGATGGAAAGTGATGAGACAGGCTGATCCTCTGCTCGAACAAGAGCTTGTTGAGGCAGTTGTTGAAGCTGACGCTCGGAAACAAGAAAGAAGGAGAAAACTAGAGGAGAGGAAAATGTATTTGGAACTTTACGAAGCCATGGAAGCACTTGTCCACATATATAGGGAAGGTTGTGGGACAATAGGGCCTCGATGTAAAGCCCTTAAAGGAAGCCAAACCGTGTGTAAGTTCCCGGTGTGTAAAGGAGTTGAAGGTGCGCTTCGACATTTCTTGGGATGCAACTCTAGGGCTTCGTGTCCTCATTGCAAACGAATGTGGCAGCTTCTTCAGCTTCACTCTTGTATCTGTGATGATTCCGATTCTTGCGAGGTTCCTCTCTGCTGGTAAGTTTCAATTTAAAACTACAGATGGCTTTATTCTTAAAGATACAGATTGTAATCAGTATTTTTGTATCTTGCAGGAATATTAAGGAGAAAATGAAGAAGCTTAGCAAGAAAGAAGAATCTAAATGGCGATTGCTTGCAGAAAACGTTATTACAGCGAAGAACAGTCTTGGGCCACTCTCTTCACGTCCATCTGGTTTGATATAGGACAGGTTTTAGAGTCACTTTAGGGTAAATGTATACAAGGGAAAGTGATAAACGACTATATGCGCAGGGTAAAGTGTATATTCCGCAAGAAAAAGGTGCACAACAGTTGTTTTGTTAAAAAACATTGTATATATATTGGTTGTTATATACGTGCCGGATCGTGATCCGAGATAGTCATGTAAAGAAGATTTTGCATCATTGTGAGTATATTATGTTTCACACCAAAGTAAATAAAATTGGTCGTAAACGACTTTAGACGCAGAGATACGATAATGAAAGTATAGATTAACGTTTTCTATCTGTATCATGCTTGCTTGTCATGTCTTTCCATTTGACCTTTGCTTTAGTCACTTTCTTTCCATTTCAAAACGGGCATAAACTACGTCTCGGATTCCTTTGTCGAAACTCGGTTTGGAAAATTGTGGAGATCGCTTTAGCATCTGTTTTTTAAAAGGCTTGAGGTTTGTGTTGTTGTAGTTAAAGCCCAAAGTAATGAAATAAGATCCTTTAAATTTTGGTCAACTCCAATAAAAATATTGAAGCCCACATATCAAGATGCCAGGCCGGGAAAAAAATACTGCAGCGTAATATCGCAAATGGCCTAGTTATATCATCATATATTCATACTTGCTTTAATGCTTTATCATACGTTTACTATTATATTTTGCGTCCGTTTTATTGATAACAACAAACTAACAATGATAGTATTTGATTGTTCATTTCAATTGTTCATTCCGTTTTACTTCACCCTTCAAAAGCTCAAAGGACTTAATAAGTTGAGTTTGTAATTGAATTGGCTCATAGGAACTGAAAAAACGACCAAGAAAATAAATGGAGTAGAAAAACAAAAAAAAATATACTCTATTTTGTAATCCGGACGCCACAAAGAAAAGGAGAAAAAAAAAAGGACAAGAAGATATTGACAGGGAGGCAAAGACCAAAACCGCGTGGGGCCCACGTACCTTTTGAAGAAAACGCTGATTCCTTGGACTTTTGCGACGCACGGTCTGTGCTGCTGTCCCCACAAATCTCTCTGTTCAACTCACGCGATCGCCCCTCCGCGACTGCGTTTCGAAACGCATTTCCTTTAACCGCTCCACGTGAATGATTCGTAGGGCGAGTTTGATGTTCGTGCGCACGCGCGCGTCTCCTCCTCACCGTCAGAGTCTTTGTGCGTTGCATTGACGTCAGACAAATATAGTTTTGTCTTACTTCTCTGTCAGTTAATTTATTAAGTTTAGCAATTTACATTCAATTCTAACAAATTTATCATCATCACTCTTCAACCAATTCTCTTGTAATTAAGTCTTATGATTAATCTACGGATATTAAGGAACTTGTTTTGTTTTATCTAATAAAAATATTATTATGTGTACCCAGGCCTGTGTGTACCACATTTGTTAAAGCAATTGTAAAAGGTTAAAAAATAGTGTATTCGTTGAGAAATGATTGATGTTTTGTTTCCATCGTGAAACCGATTGATTGATTGATTTATAGATTTATCTTGAAATATCAACAACTCAAAGAATTGTACTATGCTGTGTGAGTAGTAGAGTCCGATGCGTTAACCGCCCTTTAGTTCAAAGAGAAGAGAACAAAATTCAAATAATAAAAAGTAAAGCAAAAAGTGGAAAGTGGAAAGGAAAAGATTGATGGGTGCATAGAGTTGGTCAAATATGTTGACAAAATAAATAACCTTCCAAATGTCACTATCAAATAAAGAAAATAGTTCTATTCTATCTATCAATAATAATAATAATATTAAAAATATCGAGTAGTGTTGAAAATATAATAAAAGCGACTTCTCTACCTGGGACTGGTATAACTACGAGGACCTCTCTGCTCAATAGCTGTCAGATTTATATGATTATACAAAATATCAAATGGGTCGCCACGAGCAGTCTCAAATTAAGAATTTAATGTAGTTTCCATTTTTGTTGTGGTAAGAACAGATTTAAAGAATTTTAACAGCGATTATCAATCGACTGTTATTTTCTAATAGTTGAACCAAAAGTTAACATGTTTTGGATTATGATTTTCTTCTCCAATTTTTGTTTGTCAAACTTTGAAAAGTGATAAATGCCAAACCCTATGTAGTTATTGGGATTGAAACAAACTGCAATTAGCCTGAACACTAAAGACTCTAAATGATTAGGAATTAGGAATTAGTCCTTACTCTTTAGTCATCATCTGTTACGACTTTCACTACAAAACTTTGCACATATGTCAAATGGTAGTAGATGGTGTGGGGGCATGTTTTCAAAATTTCGTAAATACGTTAACTAGTCCTCCAAGTACTCGCGAGTTCCTTTAACAAGCCAAAATTGTGAAAATGAAATTTTAGTTTGAAGCTAAGAATATGTGTGAAAATAAAATTAAAGAGGCATTGTGAAAATGATTTCGACTACCTGAACAAATTTGAAGCCCGTTTCTAACATTACAGTCGTTGGACATTAAGGAAAAGAAAACATTGTCGATAAAAATGAAAAAACAATAAAGGTTTTTTAGTCCCAAGAAATTACTGAAAATGTTGGAGAGTTAAATGACATTACTTCAGCCAGGAAAAAAATCGAGAGGAAAAAGACATAAAAAGCAGTTCCGTTCTTATTTGCTTTTTTGTTTGAGCGTATACACAGACACAGTTTCTTCTCTCTCTCTCTTCTCACGCCGAAATTTCTGCGACTGCTCGTAATCTCACGACGTTTAAAGAAACGACGCCATTTTCACTCAGCCTGAGCTCTTCATCATGACCTGATTTCGCGTTACAGCTCGATCTTGGACGTCATTTTATATATTTAGGTGCAAAACAAAGGAAAATACTGATGTTGTATAGACTAGATACGGTTTTACCGTTTTAGTGTTTTGCGTTTTAGACTGAGAAAAATCTAAAGAGAGAAAACATTTGTGTCTTATCGGGTTTTGTGTCGTCAGAAGCTGAAGGACAAAGGACAATTATTTCTAGGGTTTAGACGAAAGAAAAATTGGAGCTTTGACAAGTTGTGGGTGGTGGCTTCTTAAAGAACAAAGCTTTTTCTTAGATTCTTCTGCCAATTTGCGGGTCTTATCTCTCTCTCTCTCTCCGTAAGCTCTCTCTCTCTGCTCTGTTCTTTTTTTTTTCTTTTGCTCTGTTTCTCCTTCTCCATTTTTGGCTTTAATTTATAGAAATTTTTTAGCATATTTACTTCTCTCTCTCGTCTTCTTGTTGCTAAATTTTTCATTTGGATTAGCTTTTGATTTCGTTTATACAAATTATCTCATGACCAAAAAAGTTACCATCTTTTATAATGTTAACATTTTATACTCATAGAGTTTTTCTTATTGTAATGAAATAAGTTAATTTATAGTTGATTGAAGTCAATTCAATAATTCTCCTCTGATCCGTGGAGGGTTCTGTGTGTATTCCCCTGTTTTTAGGGACGCAAGTGATTCATGCGTATAAGATGTATTTGTCAGTTTATGAGTATATGGAAATTATTTAAGCAAGTTATGATAGGATATATTTGGTTTTAGCTTATAATTGTGCTTACAAATCTTAAAATAATGCTTAAGCTGATGTGAACTAAAAGGCCTAGCCTCTGACCACATATCCTTCCCTACTTCGTTGACCTTACCTTTGTCTTGGCCTAATATTCTATAATCTGTATCTTGTCTCCCAATGCATTGGTTGGTCCGAAACAAGATCATCATTCATCGATCTTATAATCTTCTTGGTCTGTAAAGGATGGTAACCTCGTACCTCATGTGAAATGTCTTGTAGTATATAATCTTGGTCATGTTTGCTTTTGTTGATGATTGTTCGCATTGTGTTGATGTTTTCCCTCTGTTTTTCTCATTGACAAAGGGATGGAATTCTCAAGAGAGGCCGGAATGATGATGGAGAATAAGCGAAATGTTTGCCCTCTCGAACAAAGCAGCATCAAACGCCATAAGTCTGATCTCTCTTTCAATACCAAGGTACTACTTAACCTAGTTTTCATGGATTTCGAGGTCGAATGAGTCTTCGGTTCTATTGCGAGCGAACCGGCATGGTGATGATCGTTTCATCTTTCTTCTATTTATGGTTAATACAGGAGAGGAAGGACAAAGTTGGAGAACGTATCTCAGCTCTCCAACAGATAGTTTCCCCTTACGGAAAGGTAACATTTTCTCTTGAGCAAATCAAAGAGAATTCATCTCTTCACTCATACTTTTTCTCTAATCTTCTTTTTAACTCCGTGCCACAGACTGACACTGCATCGGTTCTTCTAGACGCGATGCATTACATAGAGTTTCTACATGAACAAGTGAAGGTCTGCGAACTTCTCAATCATCAGTTCAATACCATAATTAAGCATGATTCTTCATCTTTACCGGCATAAACATATGAGTTTTCATGTTCTTCTGTGTACAGGTGCTAAGCGCTCCGTATCTGCAAACAATGTCCGCTGCTACACAGGTGAGCATGACCTTGAATCTTGAACCCATTGATACTTGGTTCATTATTTCGATTCTGCATCTGATCGTTCTGCACTTTGGGAACTTGAATATCTTGCACTGAATGATTTTCCCATCTTAAAAACTAGGTGGAGTTGGAGCAGTACAGCCTGAGAAACAGAGGATTATGTCTTGTTCCAATGGAGTATACAGTAGGAGTTGCCCAAAGCAACGGAGCTGATATCTGGGCGCCCGTGAAGACTCCTCCATCTCCAGCTTTCAGTGTCAATTCTCAATCACCCTTTACATGACCGATTCGACTCTTCACAACCTACTAAGATCATTTGTCTTGTGCCTTAAGAAGTTGGCCAATTGTTATTATTCGGATGATGCCTCTCTTAACATATATAGACAGAGAGACACAGGAAGATGTTTTAGAACAGCTCATGGTTGGCCATGGCTGTTTATTATTTGACTGCTTAATGCATCCTCTTACTTGGAGTTGTGTAATTTGCCCAGACAAATCAAATGATTCTAATCTTTATGCGAAAGAATTGCCTAATATCTAAGTTTTTCTGTTCTTACCAAAGCTATCCTATGCAACTTTCTAGATCTAAAGATCCAACGCAAGATATAATTCACTGTTGAAGGAAAATAGCATAACACAAGAAAGGTGGTGATATGGGTTATTTTTGCTTGTAATAATATCAAACGGCTGAGCACAAAATTCACATTACTCTTTCATAAGAACATTCGATAGAAGACATTAACAACAAGATTGCAAAGAGGTTCAGAACATACAGACTGCTGATGCTGAGGGACGAAATAGCTTGGAGAAAGTAAAGATAAGTCGATTACAATGTTTTTTAATTATAAGATCGCTGATGCTGATGCTGATGCTGAGTGGATCGGTGACTTAGTGATCTGTGGCAGAAGTATTCAGCCCTACATAGTGATCAGTGACTAAACTAACTTGCTGAAGTAGGCTTGACCTTCTCCCGCATATACTGTAGCAGATGTTCGCGTTTCCAGTTGTCGATTCTGCAAAGACAGCAAAATCAAGAAACATAAAGGCCAGTTACAACTTTGTAGGAACGAAACTCCTCTGCTAAAACACACACTAATTTGATTTATTCATGCCCTTTGCTAATGATAAATCATCCTCCAAAAACCAATCTTCATTAGAGGGTGCACTAATCATACAGGAGAATATACCAGAGCACACACAGAGTGAAACTAAGAATTGCTGCAGATAGATCCATAGTTACATTGACACTTTATCTACCATGCTATATATTAAGACACCTCGAAAGTCTTTAGATTAGGGCAACTCGAGCCCCATCAAAACTCTTTTGCTAAGATAAGAAGGCTTCAGAATATTCCAGAGCAAGGAGTTGAACAAAGAAGGGGCAAAGCAATATATACCTTATAGTTTCCTTGTGTTCACCATCTTCATCCAGCATGATCAACTTGGGTGGTGAGTTGAAAATGTACTGAACTTTAACGCTGGGGAACTTTTCTTTCTCTTCCTCAATAAAACCAACAATCTCAGGATAGAAAACCAACTTTCTCATACACACCTCTAATATAGCGCCTGAATAGGTAATCTGCAGTCGCAAACAAAAAATGTAAACGAGTTGTATTTATAAAGAATATCAGAGAAGATGTTTCTGTGTCCAACTAATCTACTTCTGGTAAAATCCAGTTTCCAAAAGCATACCTTGCTCATGGAATCCTCAGAATCATCGGCGCAACATTTCAAGCAGTCAGATACCAACTCTGCATTACAACCACGAATCATAACATTGGTGTATACAATATGATAGCCTCCAAAGAGAATACTTTAGCTCATAATAATTCACAAAAACTAAAGATATCCCACTCTTCTGAATTCTTCCAGATGTTTACTATCGATTTCTTAATTCCGATAATATCTTCAGAAGTCATAATCAACAGTTTACATTGCATATCAAATCAAAGCAAAAACTGCGATACTCTCAAATCAAGCAGGCATATAAAATCCTATGAGGGAAAGAAAGAAGGAACCTTGGTCCTTGACGTATTCAGAGAGGGAGTGGCAATCGGAGCAGAGAGCAAGACCGGTAAAACCTAGATCCTCGCATTCTTTAGAGCTCAGCTGCTCTTTTGCTGAGATCGTCGACGTCAACATCAGAATCATCACCATCATTTTCGCTGATAGTACATCCATCTTCGACCTCGCTCGACCCATCTCTCTCTTTCTCATCAACAGATCCCAAGTCTTCGCAGTTGCGACGAAGAGACATGTTGATGCCTTGCTGCTAAACCGATCCGGTTAACTCCGGTTTCAAATATCAAAAATGCAATTGGTACAATGGTACTTGGTAGTGGACATCATCTCCGGTTTATAAAATAACCGGGTAAGAGAAAACCGGAAAAGCCTCGAACGACGTCAGAAGTGTTAAAAAAAAAAAACCAGTGGCGACATGCTTTGCGAGCAGCTAAACCCCTAAAGCCCTAAAATCAAAATTACGCTTCAGAGAAAGTGAGAGAGAGACGATGGATCACATAGCAGCGGCGGAAGAGCAAATTGTATCGGAGAGGATTAGAAGAAAACTCGAAGAAGTGAATGCATCTGCTCTGTCGCAGCTCTTTCCTATTCAGGATCATATCAATTTCACCCTTCAGGTATTTACATTCATCTTTTACAATCCTATATTGTTGGTTCTCGTGCTTATAAGGGTGTGTTGCATATGTGTTTGCGTGTTCATCGGCTTTTGATTTTGGGTCGGAGGAACAATTTCGCCGATTCTGAGAAAATAGCCAAAAATCCGAAATTTCCCTTCCAAGTATAAATATTTGCTCCTTATTTTAACAGATTAGGGGAATAGGGGAATAGAAATTAAAACAAAAAATGGTGAATCTCTTTTCTATTGAAGGTTTCTGAGCTTAATTCTGCTGTATATGTGAATTTTTTTTAATATGCTCTGTGTAGTTCTAAAAGCCATTCTATAAAAAATTGGTTACCAAGGCAATGTGATAAGAAGTTCCTACAACTATACAACTATAGCTCAAGTTTTACGAAAGTTTATCGCTTTTCATATGATATTCTAATCAAACATGCACTAGTTATATTCAGTTTCTGTAAAGTTGATGTTCCTGTGACTGATGATCAATTGCAGCAAGCTTATTTCAAATGTGCATACGAGTGCTTTGACAGAAGTAGGAAGCAAGAAGAGATAAGCAACTGTGTTGAGCACTGCAGTGTTCCAGTTGTCAATTCTCAACAGCATTTTGAAAGCGAAATGGCTCAATTTCAGGTAATTATGATTATGTAACTCTCACAAAGGCACTTGCTTGTTTTGCTAATGTTATACTGAAACTGCAATTGTATATTCATTCCAGGAAAGGATGAACAGATCTCTCATGGTCTGTCAAGACAAATTTGAGGCGTCAAAGCTCCATAAGAACAGAGTTGATGCGGCCAAAGATATGGAGGGTTGCGTGAACCAGTCCATTGAGGAGAATCTCAATACATTACCTCATATTGTGCAGAGAATGAAGACAGCCTTCTCCATTCGCGACTAAAACGATCTTCTGTTAGAAAGTAATAAGAGTTTTTTATATCTTTGTCCGGCTGATCATAAATCCTTTTTTCATTATCACTCAAGAGATTGGATTGTTGTAGGAGTTTGAGTAATGGTCTTTCTCTTTGTACTTAAGATTTGGAAAAAAAAAGAAGTTTCTTTTGATTGTTGGTGCTTTCAATTGTCTGCGATTGTTCGATTCGAGTTACCGAGGATTGATTGCAGGAAACCGATGATTGACCAAAAACATCCTTTTATTTGTGTGGTCAAAATGCAAATCGTCTAATTGCTGAAATAAACGGTTTAATAATCTTAAACCGAACCAAACCGGATTCTATTTTATCCGGCGTGATCCAGATTCGGGTTTAGCTAGAGAGAGAAACATAATACCATATCTCTATTGAATGGGTCTCCTTCCCGTCGTCGGAGTTTCTTCGCCGGCTCTACCGCAACAAATACCCTTCATCTCCCGCAAAAACCACGCAAATCCAAAAATACAGAAACTTAACCAATCCACCGCCGAGACTACCGTTTCATGGACTTCTCGCATCACTCTCCTCTCACGCAATGGTCGATTAGCAGAGGCAGTGAAGGAATTCTCCGGTATGAGACTCGCAGGCGTCGAGCCTAACCACATCACTTTCATTGCTCTACTCTCCGGATGTGGCGATTTTGCCTCCGGAAGTGAAGCCCTGGGAGATTTGCTTCATGGGTATGCTTGTAAACTTGGTCTTGATAGAAACCATGTCATGGTTGGCACCGCAATTCTCGGCATGTACTCCAAACGCGGTCGTTTCCGCAAGGCCAGATTGGTTTTCGATTACATGGAAGATAAAAACTCGGTTACTTGGAACACAATGATCGATGGGTACATGAGGAGTGGTCAGGTCGATGAAGCTGTCAAGTTGTTCGACGAAATGCCTGACCGAGACTTGATTTCTTGGACAGCTATGATAAATGGGTTTGTTAAGAAAGGCTTTCACGAGGAAGCTTTGGCATGGTTCCGTGAGATGCAGGTTTCTGGAGTAGAACCAGATTACGTTGCTATTATTGCTGCTCTTGCCGCTTGCACAAACCTTGGTGCTCTCTCGTTCGGATTGTGGGTACATCGCTACGTCGTGAGTCAGGATTTCAAGAACAATGTCAGGGTGAGTAATTCGCTGATCGATCTGTATTGTCGATGCGGGTGTGTGGAGTTTGCTCGACAAGTGTTTGACAAGATGGAGAAACGAACCGTAGTTTCATGGAACTCAGTCATTGTTGGCTTTGCTGCTAACGGGCATGCACATGAATCTTTGGTCTACTTCAGAAAAATGCAAGAAGACGGGTTTAAACCTGACGCGGTCACTTTCACTGGGGCGCTAACCGCTTGTAGCCATGTAGGTCTAGTTGAAGAAGGTCTTGGATATTTCCAAACTATGAAAAGGGATTACAGAATCTCACCTCGAATTGAACACTATGGATGCTTAGTGGATCTGTATAGTAGGGCTGGGAGATTGGAAGATGCTTTGAAGGTGGTACAGAGCATGCCGATGAAGCCAAATGAAGTTGTGATTGGCTCCTTGCTGGCAGCCTGCAGGACTAATGGGAACAATACCGAGTTAGCAGAGAGGCTGATGAAGCATCTTAGCGAGCTTAAAGTGAAAAGCCATTCGAATTATGTGATTCTCTCGAACATGTATGCGGCTGATGGAAAATGGGAAGGAGCAAGTAAGATGAGAAGGAAGATGAAGGGTCTTGGTCTAAGGAAGCAGCCAGGGTTTAGTTCAATAGAGATTGATGATCGTAAGCATGTGTTCATGGCCGGTGACAGTGCCCATGTCGAGACAGCATATATCCGTGAGGTCCTAAAGCTAATTTCTTCTGATTCGCGATTACAAGGCTGTGTGGTTGAAACACTTGTTGCTGGTGATCTCCTCGATGATTGATATACATTGACTTTCACATCTCAAATTTTGTTCAAGACAGATTGGCGAAAGCTTCGAGTCGCATTCTTTCGCTAAGTAGTAGGTAATAGCAAACACTTCAAACATATTTCTAACCTTTATTAAACGAAAGACCAAACTCAAAGCTCATGACAGCAATCTGTATTACACTTCAGTGCCGTCACTGTTACATGTAAATCACGATAAGAAATTAGCGAACAAAGGTTTAGAAAGCGAATTTCTTTTCCCATCCTAGGCAGTAACATGAGTTTCTTTCTTTGGAATCTTCGAGGCAGAGTTGGGTGGCGTTGTTTTAACACTAAGATAGAAACCTATGGAGGAGAGGGCATTAGATGTATAGGTCCCATGAAAACCACCGAATTGAGAGGACTTTCCAAGGTTGTAGGTAAAAAGTCTTGGGTTGTGAAAGTTGCGCTGTAGATTTGCGTTGGTTATTCCAAACGGACCATACTTCTGGATGTTGGTAGTGAAAGTGATCGTTTTAATGTAATCATCTGTATATAGACCGTCGACTCCAGTAATATACTCAGCAGGATGGTTCAACTCAATCTGCAGAGTGTAAAATATTGATTTGGAGAATTCAGAGGATAAAAATGAATAGAGAATATGATACTTATAAAGATAAAAAAAAAACATGGCTCTTACGGTGTGGAACTGGTTGGTATTGCCAGCAAAACCGTATTGACCTGATAACTCGTATTTCCCATTTGCCACGTATTGGAATTGGATCGACGCTATCCCATTGTCTCCGCCTGAAACGAAAATCTGGGAGATTTCCTTGTGGCCTTTAAGATCAAAAGGTTGCGGTGAGTTGTAATAGTGATTATACCTCCCTGCTGGACCAACTTTGATCATCCTATCACATCAAAACGACAACGTGTGTTCAGGCAACTTCTTATGGTTTAAGTACGAAGAGACTTATACAGAAAATAAGACGATGATCAAGACCTGGTCTCAGAATTCATTTCTTTCTATGTAACTACTCTATTTGGGATTTGGTGCCTCCGGAAAAATAACAATTCAGGATGGTCGAGAAGTGAAGAAGTTGTGGTGAATATATAGAGTAGGATGATAAAAATATGGGCTGTTGATATTAGTTCAGTTTGACCATTGTGAAGGAGGAATCGTAAAGGTCCACTCAATTCAAACGTCTCCAAGACGTTCCTTTGAATTCCATCTCTCTTTAATACTAAAGCTAGCATTTAATAATGTGGCAATCCGCAATAAAGATATCTAAATTAGATAGATGAACGTAGAAGCATTAACATATATAAACATTTAATACGTCACGTTATTAATAAACGCATTTGGAGTATAATAATAATCGGCAGAATAATATCCAAGTATACAAACATTTTCAACCCAAGACAATTTTTGACTCCATTTCTTCTGCACCGCCCGTATCGATTTTAGGTGGAACTGTTTTAGGCCGGAGATAAACACCAATGTACTGTAGTCCCGAGGCGTCGTAAGTCCCGTGGAAACCGCCGAACTGGGGAGACTTCCCGAGTTTAAACGCGAATTTATCGTAGCTCGAAGCCGAGGTGCCAAAAGGACCGTACTCTTTAGTGTTTGTATTGAATTTGAGAGACCTAATGTGAGGGTTGCTAGCTTCGTACTTGTAATACTCTCCACTTATTCCAGTTATGTACTCGTGCGGATAGTTCAGCTCTATCTGCTGGGTCCAAATCACATGTTTGTCGTCTTATAAAACTTATATATCAAGCAACCAAATATTTTAAATCAAATCTTGATATCCCTACAAATTAGTTTCTTTTTTAAGCCTATTTTTTTTTTTTTAGGCCATATAGATTTAATAAAATTTACGATGGAGAAAGATAATAAGAGTCAAAATCAAACTTACGACGTCGAACATGTTGCCAGAAAAAGGACCGTGACGGTCGGATAAAACGAGCTTTCCGTCCATAACGAACTGGAATTGGATTGACATGATTCCTGCGACACCATGAGATAGAAATATCTGAGAGACGATGCCATTGTGACTCCCTTCGTCCCAGTTTACGATTGTAGTGCTTCTTGCATCATGCTTCCCTACTGGTCCTATCTTCATCTTTCCTTCCATTCTTTTTACCACCAAAACTGATTGGTTACATGACAAATAAAAAGAAGACAGCACTCAGTTAAATATATACACATAGAGACATCATAGATAGTTCTCTAAGTCTGAAGCTTCAGATTGGAATATTCCTTTCCAATCTTGTATAACTTCATCTAACGTATACGATTCTTTGTTTTCTTTCATTTTCTCTTTGCTTCCTCCCAATTGGCAATATTTATTTATGTATGAAAACACAAAACTTACTCTACAAATATTTGATGAGTTACCATTGAAAAACATGGGAGCATAATAATTAATGATTTTCTTTTACATAATTTGTAAACTTCAGCCATTAATTAAATCCGGCTGAAAAAAAACGGAGTAATAATTTTGAATCGATCGAACCAAAAAACAGTTAGGGGTGTTATTAGGGCCAAAACTCGAAACTCGATCCGGTTCAGCCTTGATAAAACCGAGCTGGAGCTTTGATATAAAGCCCAAATCAAAATCAAAATTTTCGAACTAAACCCATTTAAGTTTATGGATTTTACTGATTTTGGGTTGGGCTGGGCCGGGTCGGGCCAGCCCAGCCCGATTGACATGTCTACTAACACAAGTAAAACAGCCATTTTAGAGAAGCGGTTTGTCGTATTTTGTTTCTTCGGAAGTTGGCAAAGAATCGCCAGATCCTCGACTCTCTCTTGCTACGTTCAACTACGGTAACTCTCTCTCTCTCTCTTCTTCTCTGCTTTGAATTTGAGCTTTTGGGGATTGATTCTGTTTGGTGGGATTGTAATATATTGGGGATTTCGCGCAAAAGACGCTTTTTTTTTTATTGCAAATTTTTACTGTTACAGAGAAAGAGAATCCCTCATTGAATTTCTCTAGTCCTTCCGAGATCTAACATTTGATTTGCTGATTCATTTTTCTTCTTCTAATGTTGATTGATCATTGATGTGTGGGATGATTCTCGGCCTTCTTCAGCTTAACTTGTGTTGACACCAGTTTTACACTTTAGTATTACTATTAGTAATTGGTTTGCTTTTAGTTTCTGCCGATGAAGAGACAACTTAACTATTTGTGTAGGATTTAGGGTAATGAAATTTAAGGATCGAATAAGCTGTTATGTCTCTCTGCCTTGTGATTGAGAATCACGGGTCAGTTTTGAACCAATTAGTTGTTTGGACTGTTAAGCTCTGATTGCCTCAAAAGTAATTTGTCCAAGCTTATGTTTACTGGTACCTTCTTCCTCTGGCAAACAGATTTCAAACTACAGTTACCAAGATGGCGTACGAACTAACTGAGCAAAAAAGTATGTGTTTATTCGGTGAACATGTATGTTTTTACAATTTTTACATCTTCTGTGTATACCTCTTACTGATTAAAGTTCATTTTTTTCTTCAGCTAATGGCATCCATTTCTTGAATTTTTGCAGAAGTTGGGTTGGGCCTGTTTGGTTTTGGTCTATCTTTTACATTCCTCGGCGTCATCTTGTACTTCGACAGAGGTTTGCTTGCTCTAGGAAACGTGAGAATCCCCTCGCTGTGTATTAGCTTCCGGAACCATCAGTGTACAAAAGGGTCCAACATTTGAATCTCCTTTGGCTTTGTGTTTTTCAGTTATTTTGGTTGATAGGCGTTGGCCTTTTACTTGGTTGGCAATCAACTTGGGGACTATTCACCAACGTCAATAACTTGAGGGTACGCATAGATCTAGTACTAATCTCTGTTCAAAATGTTTCTCTTGTTGAACATTTTGTTAGTGACATATCAGTTTCCTCGTTTCATTTCTTTTCGCAGGGAACCGTCTGTTTCGTCCTTGGAATCTTTCTTATATTTGTGCGTTGGCCGATAATTGGCATTGCCCTGGAGATCTACGGTTGCATTGTCCTATTTGGGTGAGAGCATTTGTTTCCTCCGATTCTTTTCTCATACTTTCTTCCTGGAGATTGTGTTTAAAACTGGAGTGTTAATGTAGACGGAAATATGAGTAAGCAATGGTTCCCTCGTGGCACACAAAGATGATTGCGTAGAGAATTCTTAGTTTATTAAGCTACTTTTCTTGCTTAAAGAATCAGCCTGTCACCGTGTCTAACAAACATCTCATGTATGTACTTACTATCTTTGCAGCGGATTTTGGTCGACAGTAAAGGCATTTCTGTCCCAGATTCCTTTTGTTGGATGGATAATACAGTATCCTATCATGGTAAGCAATCCTCAACAACACTTCCCTCGTACTCTAATTGTTCCTTCCTTTTGCTTTCCGAACACTTGGAGCTTACTGTCACGGATTTGTTCTTGAACAACTTAGCTCCTGGTGTCCCTTTGTAGTAGCTAAGTCACGCCATCTCTTGGAAGGGACAGAGATCTAATAGACTTGTCCTGAAATGTAGTTTGCACAGGATTTTGGTAGAGCTATGAACAGTTAGGATTTGCGTATCCTTTAACATATATATTTTTATTTGCAGGTTCTTGAGCAACTTATACGAGGTTCTCGTTGAAAAAAGATCCATCTCAATCTCATTGCTCTTCAGCCTCTTCACCAGATCAAAACCTCTCCATTGTTCCAAAACAGCGGCTGCTCGCTTTTTTCTTCTTCTTCTTTTAGAAACAGAATCAAATCCGTTTGCTTTCTTCTTCTTCTTTTGGGATATGACAGAGACTTTGCTCTGTTATGTCTAAAATCTTTGCTCTGTTTCACATTTCTTAAATCGTTTTATATATATATCCAAGAAGAAAAAGTAGTTTATCCTTAAAATGACTTGTCTAATCGTTAAACAGATGTATCCTGTATGTATATAACTCCAGTCTTGGGCCAACTCATCTTGATCATGTAACGTGTGAATAATAATATTTTATTGGTAACAAGCCAACAATACAATATTTATCTAATAAACGAATTTGAATAAAGTGTTATTTTATTTAATATTTCGTTAGGACATTAGTTTCCAAATGTGTCAGCCAATTGTTTTTCTCTCATCGAAGATCAACACATATCTCAGATAAATCGTCAGAGTGCGGATTTCTCTCGGAGATGTCTCTTCGTGCTTTCTTGCCCGTCGAGACATTCACCTAAACCCGCTTTATCTCCGACTAACGATCACATAATCACTCGGCGTCAAGAGGGGAAAAACAAAATCAAACAATCATGTGGATTTCGAGGTTGAAGAGAGTTAGGAGAACGATAATGGTTCTGGGCGTTACCAATTTCGCCGTGATTGTTTCCGGCGGTGTTCTGACTCTCGTTTCCAACCCAGATTGCGATAGCGCCGGCCAACTGTTTCCCATCTTCGCCGTTTGTATAGCCGCCGGCGTCAAACTCGCCGCCATGGTTAAGGTCGGCACTACCCAGGAACTCATGGCTATGACCATTATGGATTCCCCTACTCAGAACAGCCTCGAAAGAAAGGTGTCTTCTTTTTTTGTCTTATCTTTCCAGTTTTTTCACTCTCTCAATTTCCCAATTTCGTTTTTAAAAACCAAGTCTTTGAAGGATTTGCGTTGACTTAATTAATGTTAGAGAATGTCATGAGAAACATAGGATTGTGTAGCGAGCAGAATTGGTTCTCAGTTAGTGACAGTGTTTTGTTTTTCTTATCTGAATCTGCAGTTGAAGTATAAGACCTGGCTTTGGTGGACTCGGTTTGCAATGGTAATTACTGTATTGCAATTTATTGGTGCAACTTACCTTATGTTCCCTGTCGCCAAATTTGTTTCCCATGATGGAATGCCAAGGGATTGCGTTTTAGGTAAACTGAGACACGGTTTACATTGTTTCGGTTGTCTTAATGTCAAGTACTTTGGCTAGTTAAAATCTTGAACATGGCATATCTATTTTCCCTCTTTGTATAGCACTGAATTGTTTGACGTTGAAGCTTAGTTTGTGGTTCAGTTTATCTGTACAATTTTTTACCTATGCAATTTTTTCTTGATTAACAATCTCTTTAGTAACTTCCTTGCTCAGGGCTATCTCCAGACACTCGTGGGTGGAAGCAAACGCTGCAGGTTGCCTTCTTGATCACAGTTTGCTTTGTTGCGTTGGCACAATGCTTTACGGGATCAGACATATTGCAATGGCGGTCTTTCTATGCAACACAAGATGATGCCTGGAAAGCTCACTACCAGGAGGTATTTGACCATGGAATTCGTGAAGTGTTGTGCTGTCTTGGACGCCGCGAATATATGTAAGTTTAGTGAATATTCCCTTTTCCTCATTCTGGAGACTTAGATCTTGTCTGTTGCAAGTAGTTACTTTTTCAGTCTCTTAGAAACTGATTGTCTGCTCCAGGGGTGTTATCGAGGAAGATGAAGTGTGTTCAGTTGCAAGGCTGTTGGGTGATCTTGTTTCGTATCGTGCATCAGGCACTGGCCATTTGGAGTTTCTGGCAGGTTAAGATCTGAAACTTAAATAAGCCTGACTGGTGTTGGTGGTGATGATGTTCCCTAAAGAACGTTTAAATTGATATGATATGGTTTTCACTTTGTCTGTGAACCTTATATCCAATCTTTGTCTATTCAGGCCTTGCTCTGTTGCAAAACAATAGCCAGTTTCCTGAATCATATGAGGACTGTATGGAGGCTCCAGCATTTCATCTTCAGGAGGCTGCTACGTTGCATAAATTTGCAGAAGCCGCTTATACTGTACGTTTGAACGACACAGGCTCCAAAGCTCTTGTTTAAATGGTAGATATCTCTCTTACCTGCGTGTGTGGCATTTTGCAGGGGCCACTGCTCGATGTTGGGAGAAATCCTGCCTTGTTTTTATGCACATGGATTTGTAGGCAAGGGATTTTAACACCTTGGAGCCGTAAATGGTATACTATACCTGGTTAGCTCGTTATAAGAAACTCAACTTGTTTCTGTGAAGTCTAGTTTTTCTAGTTTCTATACGTTTTTCCATGTGTCTGAATGTTGATACAGAAAAATTCGGATGATATTATTGTAAGAAGTTTCCTTGCAATTATTCGCAGGCGGCCTAAACTTGATGGTGATAATTGGTGGCGAGGTCATGCAGCTGCCTTCCTCAAGTTCATAGACTTTCCTGCTCATGTTCTTCGACGAGGTCGAATTTGTAGGGTAAGTTGGTTTGAAAGTGTTTGATATCTTGTCGCATCAGTGAATGCATCATAGCCTTTCTCATCTATTTGCGTAAATGATTTTGTTGTGGCAGGAGAAGTGTAAAGCAACGTACTTCGTTGTAGTCTTACATTACCTTAGATGTGTTGTAATTGCTGTTCGAGGAACTGAGACGGCTGAAGACCTCATAACTGATGGTTTGGGTCGTGCCTGTTCGCTAACTGCTCAAGACTTGGACGGGCTAACAAAGTCAGTCTCTATCTCTTCTCTCTCTCTTTGATCAGAGTCAATAACTCAAATGGTTCGAAGCCAGTCTCCATTTGATAGTAATGTTTCTACTCTCTGCCATTTTGTTAACTATCAGTCATATCAATGGTATGGATTCTTCTCGTATGCACTACGGGCATTCGGGAATAGTAGAAGCTGCAAGAGATCTATTTATGCAAATAGAAGGAGACTCCAAATTTGGAGGTAAGAAACTTGGTAACTTTTGATTTACCATTTCTTGCGAGATGAGATGTGTTCATAAATTGTCACAATACAGGCTTTCTCTAAGCTGTTATACGAATGGAAAATGCAGAGTCAGGATCTATTGGGTTCCTGTCCTCGTTAATCGGTGATGGATGCGAGTGTGATGGCTACAGCATTCGCATTGTTGGCCATTCCTTAGGAGGTGCTATCGCCTCGTTGCTGGGAATTAGAGTATGTTTTCTGTTAACAAAACATTACATTTCTCATTTTTTGTTTCTGTTTCTTTTACTTTCTTTTCAAATCCCTATTTTGGTGTATAGCTTCGTTGCAGATTCCCTAACCTATATGTATATGCCTACGGACCCCTCCCGTGTGTAGATTCAGATGTGGCAGATGCATGTTCTGAATTTGTTACAAGGTAGGTTTTATTTTTAGAATCATGCTGATCTTAATGGTGTCTGTGTAGATTTAAGTCACTAACTTTAGTCCATTGATGCAATTCTCAACAGCATTGTTCTTGATAACGAATTCTCATCACGACTTTCATATGGATCAATCCGCCGGCTCCAAGTAGCAGCGATCAAAGTACTGTCTCAAGACCCAAAAGCTGACACAGCACTCATTTTCAGACTCGCGCGCCGGTTTTTGTCTGCGAGCAAACGCCAACAACGACAAAACGTCATTGAAGAATCCTCAGGAGAAGCAATACCATCAATAATTGGTAACACCTTTTTTAATCTCACTCTGATACTCTTTCTTTTAAGAATGATTTACTAAATGAGAAAGAGTTTGTTTCTTCTTTTATGTTACGTTTGTGTAAGTTGACGATTCACGGGAGAGCATACAACAAGAAGATCAAATCCACCCAATTTGGGAAGAAGCTGAAGCAGAAACGAGGCAAGATGACGAAGAATTCGTAAATCCGTTCCACGATATGGCCTCAGCGGATAATCCGGTGTCTCAGTTCATGGGAACAGTCCCAAAAAGAGAAGAAGATGATGAAGCTCCCGAGATGTTCTTACCAGGTTTAGTCATTCATATTGTTCCCGAAGGAGACAACATGAGCGTGCCGATATGGCGAGGATGGGCCATCTGTGACGTGACAGAGCGTTACAAAGCTTATGTTGCAAACAGAGAGAGCTTCAAAGAAATTATGGTTTCTCCATCAATGTTCCTTGATCATCTTCCTTGGAGGTAACTCTTCTAAATCTAAAAAAAACTTCGATTTTTTTTCAATGAATACTCTCTGAATCTTAGCTACTGTAATTTGTTCACTCCAGATGTAAACACGCAATGCACAAGGTTCTAGAATCTCGGAATCTCTTCTGCGATCTGACAAGTGAATCTGATATAGTGTGACACGAGACCTGAAAGAGGTTTCTCTTAACTTGGATTAAACAACACAATGTGCATATGTTTCTTGTATTCAAACATCGATCTATTGAATGAACTTGGTCATTTATTGGTTTCTAGTTTGTTTTTGGCGGAGGTCACTAAGATAATGCTTAATCTCTAGATGCTAGGAGAAGGGATCGAACACTTGACTTGTTAGGACATTTTACAGTTATAGAACACTTTAGTATTGTCGGCTGGCCGTTATTATAGAATTGGTTTCAACTATGAATAATCATTTAATTTTGCAGCAATGAGTTTGGTATAACTGTAGCTTTATTCCGAATCAAATCCAGGAGCCCTCACTGCAGCTTCCTTCGAGAGTAGACTTGTCTCTCAATCTTTTAAAGTGAGAAAAGAGAGATAAATAAAACCTCGAACCAAATTTGGCTGCGTACACTTGAAAGAGTTTCTTATTATACGAACAAAAAAAGACAAAAGAAAAGCAAAGTAGTATTAAAAAAAGAAAGTTATTTTTAGACTATTACCGAAATTCTTATTTGACAAATTTTTGACCAAGAAACCAAATGCAGAAGAAAAAAAAAATCATGTAAAATTCCATGATCATAACAAAATTAAATTCATTCAGTTTTATCTTATTTTGTTAACAAACACGCTTTTTTAGTTGTTTAAGCGAATAAAATTCACTGTTTACAAGAAAATAATGATAAAAAACATTTCGGTCATAACAATTAACACTATAGTACGTGTATAGTTTTGTTGTAAAAGTATTTTTGAGACGAACAAAAAGCATCTCAAGTTGCTTAGGATGCCTTTGAAAAATCATAAGCTAAATTGATTGGGAATCATTTGATAATTATTCCTTTGCATTATATTGAAAACTAAGAGTTGAAAGAGAAGAAGCAGGGTAGATCCAATGAAGCTGAGTATTTGGACCCTATGGACCTAATGTAGTCTCTTCTCCTTAACAACCGAAAGTTTTTATCAGTTTTGAAGT